CAGCTTACGCGCGTGCCTCGACAGTATTTGGGGACGTCCGCTGCGTGGTTTGTCTTCTGTTGTGCCCGTTGTGGTGGCCTTCTTGATAAGGCGCGATATGGTGGATTTCGAGCGCCCGCACGCGTCCGCCACCTCTACTATCGTACAGCCAGCTTTCCACATCCCGATGGCTATATTGCGCTCGGAAAGACTCATATTTGGCTTACGCCGTACATTTTGCGATATCTCACGTCCAAAAACACGCGGTGTTGACATAGTTATAGTGGGTTGTTGTTGTGGTGGTGGTGATGGTGGGGGAGAGATTTGGCGCTAGCGTTGCAAAACTTTTGACGCGTAATTGTAGCTCCTGCTCGGCTTTTCTCTCGTTTGCCATTCTGATCGACGCATGCCCTTTTGCAATATTGTGCATCTGGCTGTTGGCAAAACCAAGAACGTTTGAGCCAACATCATTTAACAATTCAGAGCGTAGGTCAGGTTTGATTAACAAGCAACAAGAAAGATTGATTTTTTTTTTTTACAACGGCTTAGCTCAGCTGCCAAAATATTCGTCATGACGGTGTCCACAACATCTGCTATGACTGAAAACTTTTCTTATGATCCATTTTCCTATTCTTCATCGACTTTACTACTCTCCTCCCTTGTCGACATCCTGTCTACGACCTCTTCCAGGCACTCCATTTCTTCAGCTCCGAGTCTATCATGGTTCACTCAAAACTGTTTGCGCCTATCCGAATAGGACGCGTCGACCTACAACACAGGGTCGCCATGGCGCCATTGACGCGTCTACGCGCGGATAAAGATCACGTCCAGCTCCCTATGGCTGTGGAGTATTATGCCCAGCGAGCTGCTGTACCCGGGACCCTTATCATCGCTGAAGCGACCCAAATCTCTCCGGCGCATGGTGGAGTACCACACGGCCCTGCGCTTTGGAATGAAGCCCATATCACAGGATGGAGAGACATCACCAACGCAGTTCATGAGCGTGGCTGTAGTATTGTATGCCAATTGGTTGCTCCAGGCCGAGCAGCGGACGCCGAGCAGCTCAGAGCAGGCGGGCATGAGTTGTTGAGCTCAAGTGCCATACCGATGCCTGGGGAGGGGTTTGCACCTAAAGGTGGTTCAACTACTGCACCGCGCGCAATGACTGAAGATGAAATTTGGGGTTGTGTTGCGGACTTTGCGCAAGCAGCAAAGAACGCTATCGCTGCTGGATTTGACGGCATAGAGATACACGGCGCGAACGGATATCTAGTCGATCAGTTTTTGCAAGATACATGCAACCAGCGGCGCGATACTTGGGGCGGAAGCGTAGAAAATCGCAGTAAATTCGGCATCGAGGTTGCAAAGGCTGTCGCAGCCGCTATTGGATCAGATCGCGTGGGATTCCGCTTGAGTCCATGGAGTTCTTTCCAAGGCATGCTCATGTCCGACCCTATTCCCACATTTTCCCACCTTGCCGCGCAACTCAAGGAACTACAAATCGGCTATCTACATATAATCGAGTCCCGGGTGGACAATAACGTCGATTGCGAGTCCACTCAGAGCATTGATTTCCTGCTTAATATCTGGGATAATGTAACACCTGTTTTGATAGCTGGTGGCTATACTCCAGGCAACGTGTTTGAAGCCGCTGATGAGAAGTATGGTGCATCAGACGTCGTCTTCGTCTTCGGACGGCACTTTGTGTCCAATCCAGACTTACCATACAGACTAAGGAATGGTCTGGAATTGAACAAATATGATCGAAGTACATTCTACACACCAGAGAGCCTTCAAGGATATATTGACTATCCCTTCAGCAAGGGATTTCAACCTGGTGTAAGACTGTAAGATCTAGAGATGCTTAGTTTTCAGACTGCATGATAATAAATTGTACAATTAAGGAATCTGCTCCTTCGTTTCTTGCTATCGAAATCTGCTTGTGTATTCGCGTACTAGAACGATGGCCGTTAAGCACTCTCCTCTTTGTCGTATCGGTCATCTGACTGAGAAGTAAATTGATGAGAGGTTAGACAAAAAGAGATGAGAAAGGTATGAGATGAAGCCAGCGGAACCTGTACCCACACAAGGCGGTAAATCACGACGAATACATCAAGGGTCCATGAGGTCAGAATGACATTCGCGAATCAGCGTAGGATATGCTAACTCGTTTAGGCTGCTCATGTAGGCACTGCAGCACAGTCATCTTGGTACTCCAAGCCCACAAAGCAACGCTAAGCGCCACTTTAGACCCCGCGAAGAAGACGTCATATCTAGTACCGTCTTCCATACCCCTCCTCACCGTATCCTCCAGAGCCACCATAGCCGCCAGAGCCATATTCTTGTCTCCTCTGGCCATATTCATCTTCGTCATCACGGCGACGACCGTAGCCTTGAGGCTCTTCGCCAAAGCCTCCAGGGACACCAGAGGCGCCATAAGCCTGATCGGATCGTTCACCACCGTATTCCTGACCTTCTGAACGACCATATCCACCGGAGCTGTAAGGGTCAGCACCGTAACGAGATGATTCCTGGCGGCCATACTCTTGGCGGCCGTAATTCGACTCTTCCTGGCGGCGGCCATATCCGGACTCCTCTTGACGGCCGTATCCACCAGTACTGTATGAGTCAGCACCATACTGCGGCTGCTGACGGCCGTAGCCTCCAGTTTCACCGCCGTATTCTTGACGTTCGTACCTGGATGGTTGTTCACGGCCATAGCTGGGTTCCTCCTGACGACGACCGTAGCTCGACTCCTGGCCGTAGCTCTGCTCCTGGCCATAGCCTCCCGAGTGGCCTCCAGAATGACGCTTGGGTGAGCGGCTGCTACTCTTCTTGCGACGGTGCTCTTGCTCGCGGGAGCGAGAGCGACGTCTGTATTCACCCGATCCTGAGCGGCGTTTGTCAGCATCCGAGTCTTCGTCACCGCTGCCGTGCTTCCGGTATTTATTGCGCTTTTTCTCCTCCTTTTCACGCTTCTTGCGTTCCTTCTTCATTCGCTTCTCGTACGAATCTTCGCCGCCCGAATCGTTCGAATCGTCGTCGTCGGAGTGTTTCTTGGACTTACCACGTCGTCTGAACATTTGTTAGCCTACAACCACGATAGTACAAATGTGTGACTTACTCTTTCTCCTCAGAGTAGTACTCCCCTGAGCGGTCGAAGCCTTCGCGCGTCTCCTCGGAGCGCCATTCACTGCCGTGCTGTACACGCCGCTCCTCCCGACGCTCATATCCACTGGAACCACTGTAGCCGGTAGTCTCAACGCTCTGCTCGTAGCTGTAGGACCCGCCACGCTCATCACGCTCCTGACGGGAGTACTCTTCGCGACGTCCACCGCTTGGGTATTGTGTCTGCTGATACTCAGCGCGACCGTAGCGATCGCTATCACCATACGAAGATGCCTGGTGATGACCAGTTTCGGAGTATGATTGAGTGTAGGAACCATCTTGGCCGTAATGCTCTTCCTTGCGGCCCTTCTTTTCGTTCCCTCCAAAAGCGTCACCAAGCAGAGAGCCACCAATGCCGCCGACTAGACCACCGACAAGACCGCCCAGGGCGCCGCCACCTACAGCTTCACCAGCAAGCTTGCCAACATGATCAGTGGCTTGCTGAATCTGTGGGTTAACACCACCCTGTCCGCCGGAAGAACCGAAGTTATTCGCCATACCCAGAGGTTTGCCGCAGCCGTGGCCCTTGTCGTGTACGTTCTCCTTGTGGTTGCGAAGGTTTTGTACACCGTCGCGACTGAGTTGGTCACGGAACTCACGCTTGGCTCTGCTATCTTTGGAATCCCACCATTTTCCGACAGTGTCGAGCATGATTTGATGGCATTGTGTAGCTCCGCGATCCCTTCCTCCGCCATGTCTCTTCTCTGCCATAGCAACGGCAGGATGGTGGAAGACACCCTTGATGATGCGATCAATGGTTTCCTCGGGATCAGCCTCACCGTCCCAGCACTGAACGACTTGGGGAACAGCCCAGCTCAGTACGGCAGACGCTACTCGACCGGCAGGCTCGTTGAGCACGTTGGAAAAGTGGTCCTTGGAGAGCATGCTGTGAGTTGGATCGGTTGAGTAGTCGTCGTTAAAGACAATGTGCTGCTTCTCGCGGGAGCTTGCAATAACCTCGCTGGATCCAGTCTCAAGCTCAGCCTTGACCTGGCTAAGAATAGGCAAGATATAAGGCGCAAGGAGACTGAAAACAAAGACGGTAACTTGGCTTTGAATCTCCTCGATCAGGTCTGGTAGGATCGGAATCTTCTCGATAAACTCAGCGATGGATTGCATGATCTCATCGTGGAACTCCATAATGGGATAAATTTGCTTGACCAGCTCGCCAATCTGCTCTGTAAAGGCTTCAGGTTCCTTGGGAGTAATCTGGATGTTTCCCATGGCAGCAGCGTTGGCGTTGTCGGCGAGCTCGTCAGCCTTGCCAGATTCGTCTTTGCCGCCAAAGATGCCGTCTGGAAGCTTGGCGAGAAGCTCCTGAATTTTGCTCTTGTTCTCGCTCCTTTCAGCATTGGCAATTGCGCCTTCGAGTTCCTGCAGCTCGGATTGTGTGGCCTTGTCGGTAATCTCTCCGCACACTGAGTGCAAAAAGTCGACACCACCGAATGTACCTGTTATTATGGGGTATACCTGCTTTCCGGCGGCGCGGACATCAAACAGGGCGTTTCTGCCCACGTGAGGGAATATGTCACGATTCTCTTCGTCGATCTCAATCAAGGCAAGCTCGACGTAGTTTGAGTGGGCAGAGTAGTCCTCCATACAATGGGTTGCAGTGCCGAGCAGTCTCAAGGCTTCGTAGAAGTCGGGACCACGTCCTCCTGAGCGTCGACCGAGATCAATGCAACGCCTGAGCAGGTCGCGGACCATGCCCGCCGATGTTGTGATGCCCAAGTCTTCTGAGGCGATGTAGTTTTTCAGACCGGTCCGCTCGTCGACACTAAGCTCGCGTCTCTCGTCAACGGGGCCTCGTAGGCGTCGGTCGTAGTCGCGGGCGTCGAGGTTGTCGGCATAGTCCTGGACAGTCAGTCTCTAGTCATGAGTGGGCAGGCCATGTGCTAACCTTGGGGTTGTCAATATGCCTAAAGGCGGGTGTACCAAGTCAGTGTTTGTTTCACGTGCAGTCTGTGCAGGGACATTTCTTACTCTTCTGGTCGGTAGCATCCAAGGCGATCGCGCGTAACCTCGAACTCCTTGGTTCCGTAGCCGAAGCTCATGAAGCCGAGCACCCAGAGGAGGATGCGGATGGCCTCTGCAGAGACCATCTTGACGGTGCCGACATCGACAGCCTGCGAGTAGTCGCGAAGCCAGTTGCCAAAGTAGACGCGCTTGACATCCATCTTGCTGAACTTCTTGCCAGTCTGGCCGCTAATGAGCAGGGTGAGCAGCGTGTCCTCGATATCTCCATGGCGCCAGTTCTGTCCCTCAATGGCGCTCAAGCTCGCAATGTTGCCGGCACCGAAAGCTGCCGTGGGCCTGGCCCAAAACACGACGAGAATGAGGCATGGGAGCCAGATGTCGCTGATCTGCGGCATCGTGCGTGTGCTGTCGTGAGCTCTTGTGAATAATCAGGGAAGAGTTTATGGGGGTATAGAGAGAGAGTGTGTGTGTGCAGGCGTCGAGCGACACGGCGGGGTGAGCTGTGTATGTGAATGCTGCTAGCGCACGTTTCAGCCCCACCAAAGGCTGACGTCGAAGGGTCCACATGTCCTACTGATCGCCAGGGAGCAAAGTGTCCGACCCAGCTTTCTCTTGCACCCCTCAAACACGTTTATGCAGATATGACAGAAGAAGAACAGCGTATGACTTGAGACTACTTTTTTTCAAGTGCTTTAACTTGGACGAAACGGGCTCCTTCGTACTGGTGCATACCCTCAGCTGCTACATGAATATACACATGAACATACCTACACAGCAAGACGAACCCCATACTGACACTATGTGCTCAGACAGGCTTGACAGATGTGTGCACCTTATATTCTAGACAATGGCAAGCTGGCACGAGACTATGAAGGCGCGACAATATCAGCTGGCAGATGGGCGACGACTGCGCGCGGCAGACTGAGCCGTCGCCGAATAGACTGAGCATGTCGCTGATACACACGCATGCCAAACATCTTAGATCGACCGTGTAGTATGAAATACAGACTTCTCAATGGTGCTGCCACATGTAGCGTACATGAGCGCAAGCCGCATCGGGATCGCCGGGCAGAGCACTGCTGTATCGAGATACGTGAGAGACACTTTCATTGGAAGATCAAGGCCGATTGGAGTCTGTTTCTGCCACCTCCGGCTCTGAATGGCTGAAAAAGGTAGTGTGGTGACGATGAGAGACTGGTGGCTTGTTGGCCAGATGCCCAGTCATGGTTGCGCCCGGCTGTTTTTCAGCTGAAAAAGAGCCAGCCATCAGGCGACCCGAGTTTGCCGTAACAAGAGCGCATCGCAGCTGCCAGCAACTCACAACGTGCAACACCGCACATTCCTATGTGCACCAAATCCATCGCAGAATCCATCTTATCTCGGTGCGACACCGAAAATATCGTATCCATTCAATGCGACACCTTTGTGGGAATAGTCAGGCCAAGGGCAGTCGCGCGCATGGGATGTGGCTGTGAGTACAAGACATGTCATTTTGGTAACGAGTGATTAGAAATTAACCTATAAAAAAGGTCATACAAATCTAAAGCCAACGCCGACAAGGGGATATCATCCTCCATAATGCGATGATCCGCCGCTCTATGTATCCCGAACCATGGTGCCAACTGGCTTCCAATTCCCAATACCGCGGCAGCTTAAACAAACAAAAGAAAATCCATCCAATCGTGACCCGGACTCAGTAGTTGAAGACCGTCAGCGACGGGTTCAGTACAATGGGCAACAGGCAGTGCATGATAACGGTCACGGCCCAACTAGGTACGGTTAGCGAAGTGTCAATGATACTGGAGTAAAAGGCAGTACTTACGGCAAGACAGCGGTCAAACCGGTAATCTCCCATCCATGAGGAGCGAAGCATCCAAGGTAGATCATGCCACCAATCATGGCAATCATGATCATGTACATCCACTTGAAGCGCTTCCAGATCTTGGGCAACTCTGCGAAGAAGTTGGAGTTATCCTTCTCCTTCGCTGTGGCACCCCAACTCATGTCGATGCAGAACATGTGCGAGCAAATGGCGAGCAGGATGTGGAATGAGACACCACCGAAGAAGATCATGAAGAAGGGCATCCACTTGAGGTTCTCGAAGAAAGCACCCAACAAACTGGCCTCACCAATACGGTAGCGCATAATGGCAAAGCAGACGTTTGACATTCCGTTGAAGACGATGAGCAAGACGATGAAGATCTTCCAAGATTCGACATAGTACTTGTCGAGGTCGCCGTTCAGCCATCCGACAAGGAAGTAGTTGAGGGCACCAAGGGGAACAGCCGAACCGAGAGCGTAGTAAGAGAAGATGTAACCGCAGATAGAGATCTTGGAAGACAGCTGGATGTTGGAGAAGATGAAGGTGCGGAAGAGCTTGGTGAATGGCGACTTCCACAACCAGGTGTGGACGGGGTTGAAGACCAATTCGTTGCAACCGTACGCGTATTTCTCCCATCGGTCCAACTCGTCGAAGACGGATAGCGAGACACCCTCTTTGAAACCACGGCCGTGGTAGCTAGCAAGGCGGACGATGTTACCCTTGATCTGGAGACGGAGCGCAATATCGAAATCCTCGGAAACGTGGCTCTCCGACCAAAAGCAGACGTAACCATCATCTTCAGGGGGGTTGCCGACTGACTGGACAGCTTGCCAGCGTAAGAAAGCGTTGTGACCGACGAAGGGGGCGACTTCACCACTACCGACCGAGAAGCGAATAGCAGTGTAGACAAGGTTGGTGAAGTAAGTGATACCGTTCTCAAAGTAATCCCATGAGACTTGCATGACACCAGTTGCATGTTGAACGATAGCGACTTCAGGCGACAAGAACATCTCTGCAGCTCCGTACATGAGACAATCTTCGGGAACGATGGTATCAGAGTCGACGATGAGGATGATCTCACCCATACGGATGTTACCACCAGCCTTCGCGCGGGGATCAGCAGTAAGAACCTGTTCGAGAGCCTCGTGGTAGAGCGCAAGCTCCTCCTCCTCGGATATAGAAGCGTTACCCTTGTCATAGCGATTGTCGACCAAGCTTTGGAGAACATCCTCTACCTTGTTGGAGGTGTTGAGGGCGAAGTTCATGTTAGAGGCCTTCTTGAACTTTCCACGGCGAACGAATCCTTCATGGTTGTGCTTGGGACGCGAGACCCATCCGATGTTGTTGTTCTCGTAGAAGCGAAGGAACTTCTCATTGTCCTCCTCAGACCGAACAGCCATACCGTCGTCGTTGATGAAGATGCGCGCAGTTCCACCGCGAGACTCGTAGTAGGAGATGGCGGCTTGCAAACTGGCGACAGTAGGCTTGACGACACCCTCTAGTGACTCGGTGTAAATTGGCATTTGGATAGTGATGGTGGATGGCGTGAATCCTTGAGCGCGGGCTTGAGCGAGATTAGGCTTGATGGCTGAGTGGAAACGGCTGTTTGACTTGACACCAGTGACAGGTCCGAAAACCTCAAAGATGTTACCCATGACGACAACGACGAAGAAAAGACCCAAAGCGATCCAGAGCGGCTCCGTCAAGATGAGAAGAATACGAGGGTAAAAGTGGTCAGTCATTGTCTGAAGGATGATGGCTTTGTTACCAAGACCGATGACGAGGATGATGATCAAGACCATGGCAAGACCAACGAAGATGGAACTGGTGAAAATGAGGGGGCGTGCAAGCGACTCCTTGGGGCCATCAGCCTTCTCAAGATCACCATCGACCTCTTCAGCGTTGACCTCAACATCATCCTTCTTGCCGTCGATAGCGAAGTCGACAGTGGATCCTCCAAGAGTAGAGTTGGCGCTGGACTGGATGGCGCTGTCGAAACCACTGAAGGGGTTCTTGGAAGTACCCCAGACCAAGGCCAGGATCCTGGATTCGATCTCCATTGCCTGGGAAAGAATAGCACCAAGGTCGTCGTGCCACACAAGAAGGAGCCTCTCCTGACGAATGAGAGCTGCATATTGGAATTTGCGGATGGTACTGGAGGTGGCTACCTCTGCCATGGATTCAAAGATTTGGATCTGAGAGCCGTTCTGGAACATCAACTCCGTCTCGAAGGGCTCGAGCACGTCGAAGATGGCTTGGGTGCCGTCAGTGCTCATGGTGAGAGCAACACCTGGGTTGATCCTCTTCACTGCCGAGAGGAGGTCCTTGTTGGCCGCTACAGGTTCTGTGACGTATTCTCCTTGACCCTTTCGGATCAACACACCCTCGCAGGAGCCGGGCGATAGGGCACTGGAAGTCATCCATCGCATGGAGCAGGCCTTAGCGTAAAGGTGCTTGATGATCTGTGAGGTGTGAGATGGGGTTTCTAAGATTGCTGATGATTGTACTCACAGCACGGTACCTTGAATCTTCATCGATCTTCATGGTCAACGGTCGGGACATCGGAGGGCGACCTGTGGGTGTCTGAGGTGTGGAGTAGCGCGAATCGTTGACACTGCCACTGAACGATTGCCGGCTGGAGGGGATGAAGGGCCTGTCCCCATCGTGGGAAGGTGTTGCGGAAGACATGTCTGGGATGTCACAAGGATTAAGATGGGTGGTATGGGTAGTTAAGGGATGTTGCTAAGCGATTGTATGAAGCAGACAAGTCTGCTAAGAGATGGGTGTTGTGGTCTGAGCCAAGAAACGAAGGAATGGGCAAGGAGCCCTGCGAAGATCAGTAAAAGCGCAAGAGTGTAGAGACTGGAAAGAGATCTGAAGCGGTCGACGAGCAGAGGTTATCAACGCGGCACAGTTGGTAGTGTCTACACAATTCTCTCCGACTACGCGAAACAAGGCCCCGCCACAATCCTTAGCGACCAGGTCAAAGATACACTCATGCTACACACTATCGAATGTTCGGCATACCCCTTGTCTAGCACGTTCGAGTCTCAACAAGACTTCTTACGCGAATGTCCCGATTGAGGTCACTGCGTCTGTCACAAACGCTATCTCGCATACCTCACCATCCAGAACCGGCGGCACCGCCAGGCCACCGGCTGCACCTAGCGATCCTGTCATCTATCGATATTCTTGCCAGCGCACGCCCCGGTCGCTCTCCCGCCTGCTGGGCCTTGGTGGGCCGCGATGTTGGGACGGTGGCAATTTTACTAGCAGCGACGAACATCTGTTTCGCCGGTGCAACACCATAAGTCTACGGGTCATGATCGAGATCGATGTCAAAAGGGGATGTGAAATCATGTGTCGCATTCGGATACCTTGCATTTCTCACGCTTGTGCCTGGGCTAAGTGGAACAGCTTAGCTTAGCCGCTGCTATACTGGGCGTGCGCCAGTTTTGACGTTTGGGCCGGAGGAGAATTTACTTTTGTCGAACGTTCGGTGACCTCCTCGGCTTCGCGTAGCGGGATTGTCCAGCCAGCCTCGTGCGCTGTAGCGAGTGGGAGTCAGGTCGAAAGTGGAGACGCCTGAAGTCCTAGTCCTCCACGGAACCGGGCACTTGGTGTCTTGGACCGACCGAAGTGGTCGGTATGCTACGCCGCAATTCCTCTGACGTCCAGGTCTACACACGCGCCACTCCGAGATGTTGTGAACAAGCGGCATACATCTTGGGAAGGGGTACAGGACCCTGCAAATTGCTTTTACGACAAGTCCCCGTCCCGCGAGCGGTTGAATCCCACGTCGCCAACCAAGGCAACGATCAAAGCGTGCCGTCATGCACGTCGCCCTTGATAAGCACCCTTGCAGGTTATCCTATTGTTAAGATTAGGACGTTGTTCCGCGTCTATTGACCCTGCAACACCGCCTATCGAACAACACATAAAGCAGCTCGCCACTGTCCAGCCACACGTCACAGATTTTCTGCCTCAACTCTTTAACTTTGCATGACGCCATGTCCAGCTGGGTCGTATCGAGTCAGCAGAATTACTAGTCGACAGAGTTTCGATTGCAGCGGTGGAGCTACTGAATGTGCGACGCACCATCGAGGATTAGCGCGTTTAACCGGTCCGCCGATAAGTCAACCGACAACAATGGGGGTCAGCACGCCGAGGTGCAGGATTTAGCCACCAACGTGCAGATACGGAGGGCAGGATACAATATCGATAGCATGCACACTGGCAAGCCATCTATGGGCTAATCCACCGATGCATCGAGTGCTCTAGACGGGACTACAGGTGCGCGACTTTAGGTTCACCCTTTGCCTGGGTACAGGCGTGGAAAATCCAAGTGAAGATCGCGTGGGTTTTGAAAGGCGATCGGCCGGGCGCTAATCTGGGAAGGAACCATAGAATGATGTGCCGTGGCGTCCGACTCCCAAATCATCCTCTCAAACGTCAAGCCTCTGCCCAATCCAAATACGGCCGGTCAAATCCTTCCGTATCGCTAGCGGCATGTGGCGCTGCCCCCCCTGGCACTTTGACTGCAAGGCTGTCACACTAGCTCTGCGCTTATCTCATGGCTTTTGACGTACCTGCGTCTAAAAGAACGCTAGCAACATCGACACTACTGTGCGCTATCTTCAAGACGTAGCTGGCGACTGGTTTGAAACTGCCATGGGCACTATCCGCCCCTTGCACTTGCAGCAGCCATTGCGTCGAGAACGGTAGATACGTCTAGAGCCTGTTGATTGTTCTAAATCTAGGCTGTCGAATCCGAGAATCTCGCGCTTCCCGACGACGGTTCAGTCTACTATCGATTTATCGGTGCCGCACAAGTCAGCGCGGCGTTCGCCTGGCTTGTGGTATCGATACTTCAGCTCTCAACAACGTCCCCTGCATCATTTTTGTGTACTCTTCTAATCTCCTTAGACGAGGTCGCGTACGGCAATAAACTACCTTGCCCATCGCTGAACACTCTGCCATTTTTGTATCCTGCATTTGATACTTCCACTTATCTCAGATTATCACAATGCCTTCTTTCTTCAAGCGTAACAAGAAGGAGAGCCCTGAGGAGGAAACACAGCCTCAGGCTCACTCCCAAGATGTCCCAGACCTTCCTACCGGCATGTCGCAAAGGATGCGTCCCGAGTCCTCATCACAGGGAACCTACATGCCCAGGAATCCCTCCAACCTTTCATTCGGAGGTCCTGTTTACGGAAGTCAGTTCGGAAACGCTTCTGAGATACGCAAACAACCACGACCTTTTAAGAGCTATCGACTACGGGGAGAGTAAGTACAGTCCATTTCACACGTCAATAGCATCGAGCTGATGAGACATTTAGACGCGAGCAACCATGGGTCGACGATCCAAGGATGAAGAAGACTAAGGTCGGCAACTGGATCACCTTTGGGTTCATCTTCATCGGTTTCGCCGTCAGTGGATACATCATGTACACCGGTGTACAGGAGGCGCAAATACCTGACGTACGATCAATCCGCAGCAGTCTGTGCATTGGCTAACATCTTGACAGCAATGTCTTATCATGGAAGACAACTTCGAGAAGATTGACCCCGCCAACTGGGGTTACGAGATCCAGACTGGCGGATACGGAAACGGAGAGTTCGACTGGACCACCGACGACCCAAAGAACAGCTTCGTCGATTCGGAGGGTCTCCACATCGTGCCAACTCTCACCACCGAATCCACTAGCATCACTGCCGAGCAGATCCTCAACGGCTACACCCTAAACATCACCAAGGCAGACGGTGATGGCTCATGCACATCCACCGATTACAAGTCGTGCGGTGTCCGATCCAACTCGACCACCGGAACCATCATTCCCCCTGTTCGCTCAGCACGCATGACTACCAAGGGCAAGAAGTCGATCAAGTACGGCCGCGTTGAAGTTGTTGCAAAGACAGCCAAGGGTGACTGGCTCTGGCCCGCTATCTGGATGATGCCCGAAGACAACGTATATGGTGACTGGCCTCGTAGTGGAGAAATCGACATTGCCGAATTCCGTGGTAACAGTTACAAGTACCCCGAAGGTCGCGACTTCGTCTCTTCCACGCTCCACTGGGGTCCCGACTACCAACACGACGGTTACATCAACACGCACGGTACCTCGTTCTTCCGCCGCACAGACTTCGCCTCGAGCTGGCACACATTTGGTCTTGAATGGACTGAGAACTACCTGTTCCTCTACCTTGACAGCCGTCTCAAGCAAGTCATGTACTTCAAGTTTAACGAGAAGAACAAGCTATGGAAGAAGGGTGGCTTCAACGGTCTGACTACCAGCAACGGTACCCTTTTCGAAGACCCATGGAAGCAGGGCGGCAAGAACGCGCCATTTGACGAGAAGTTCTACCTTATCCTCAACGTTGCCGTTGGTGCGCAAAATGGTTGGTTCTTCGATGGAGAGGGTAACAAGCCGTGGGTCGATGGCAGCGACTTTGCCGTGCGTGATTTCTGGAATGGTACGTTGATTCACAGCCTACAATTTGCTCATGGACTTCCTGCTGACTTTTGCAATAGCCAAGGATGACTGGCTCCCAACTTGGGGCGAGGGTAACGAGCGCGGTATGACAGTCAAGTCTGTCAAGATGTGGCAGGCCGGCAAGTGCTAGACTCACCCACGTCTGACTGCCGAGTGCATTTTCCTTTTTTTACTCCCGGGGACCCACTCCTACGTGTACGACCTACCTTTTCTTTTCCAAACCGATTCGGGGACCAAGGGCATATTAGATGAACGTTTTCTCATTTCTTTTCCTCACTGGCATGGTTGAGGCGCCGAGGCGTCCCTGGGCATCTAACGTCTACATCGTACATTTCACAGATAAGGACTTGCAATAGTGTAGTATCTAATAGATTTTTTTTTCCATGAATCATTTGCATAGCATCACAGTATCTTGACTGCAGCTTGCTTGCAGCCGGGATTGACCAGCCTTGCGCACTGTGCACTTCAGCCTCGTAGCGAGGCAAACTGGCAGCCGTGCGACCATCACTTGCATATCGCGTCCTGCTCTCTGGTCCCTCCAGCTAGCCAGCAGCCGAACAAGGCACCCACGCTGTCCAGCGCCGCCCATTCTCGCCCACGTACGTACCCACATCATTGCACCCCTGAGAAAATCATGCTCGATAGCAATGCCAAAGCTTAATAAACTTTCTGTTGAGCCACTGCACTAATCCCTCTTCTGCCTAGCTCACGACTCAATTTGCTAATCCGAATGCGGTAGTTGAAACGCTATCCCTAGCGAATCATGAGGCGTAGATACGAGCGCGACGGAGCTTGTTCGAGTTGCTGCTGCAGGGGGGCATGCACATGCCGGAGACGCTTCCGCTTATCTGGCTACGGGAGACCGCGACCTGCGCCGCACTCAGGCATCGTCCCATTTCCACTTTTCTTGGTTCAAGCTGGCACACTTGAATAAGTTGGCATTTTGGAGGGTCTGAAACAAACACGGAGATAGGCTCAGGGTTAGGGTACCGTTGTTCACTGAATTGATGATGCAAGAGGGGTCATCTCGATTACAAGAGGGGCAGGAGTTAGACAGCACACCGTCTCTCAACTACTGTGCCGCAATGTCTAACATTCCCAACTACAGCACAAGTTTTCCTACTTTCAGGTTTTCTTCTCACCCATGAACCGCGGCAGAAATACGGGCTTCATGACCTAAACGAGGGATTTACCGGTGGCAACCCATCTGGTCCATAGCCTTGCATACATGCATGCACGCATATATACATAGCGACGCGGACTGAAAAACAACGTGGGACGGCACATTTCGCGGAGCAACAGCCGGGCGCTGTGAGATTCCAGAATGTGTAGATTGAATTCGAGAACGCCACCACGGCTTGTTCCAATGTATTCCGTCTATGCATCATCATGGTCGCTAAGGTATCGTCGGTACGGCAACAACAGGGTATGTTATGTACGATCGGGCTGTTATCTGCTATCATGCATCGGTCCTACCGTCGTACCCTGTATGCCTACCCCACTACTGCACGTTACAGTGTCAATCGATACCTCAATTGCTCAACTATTCGATCAATCACTCCAAGTATAGCAACATACAAATTGCAGCCGCACCCAGAACCGGGTACTCAACTACCCGGCGGACCGTCGCTGCTACTTGCTCCTCAACATTAGATCAGCGGTCCTGCTGTCGTATCATAACTTTGACCTGGAAGTCCCTCGGTTTTACAAACCAGTAATTAGTCGTTTGCCAGTCCGCAGCCTGCAGGTGGGGGGCGAGAGAAAAATCAAAGTCGCGCACCAGCATGGGTATCAGCTTGGACATTTCCAGCTGCGAAATGTGTCGTCCAATGCAGGTTCGGGAGCCTAGACCAAACTATTGCCAGGCTGTTAGTTGCTGTCCACCAAGGGAAGTAGAATGAAAAAAGGGTATGGATGATGAGTGGCGTTACGAGTGTGGAAACGAAGGATAAGGCAGTGGCGGCATGTGCCGAACAAAGTGACATACCGGCATCCAACTTCGCTCCATGAGACTCAGCTTCTCTTTGTCTACGTCGAGCCAGCGCTCAGGCCTGAACATGTTGGCATCGGGGCCGAAAACTGACGTGTCGCGATGGGCGACCCAGGAGTTGATTCCGACGATTGTCTATCCAAGCTGTTAGCACGGCATACGCGAATTTGACATACACGGCAACTTACGCCCTCGGGAAAGAATCGATCACATATTGTCGCTCCTCCAGCGGGTACTACGCGCTCGAGCGGTAAGCCTGTGGCGGGATGCATTCGCAGCGCTTCCTTCATGACGGCTTGCAGGTAGGGCATATCCTGACTTTCCTTGAAGGTAATATAATGGCCAATCCTGCCCTCGCGTTGCCGCTCGTCAACCTCTTGGCGCAATGCCTCGAAGGTCTGTGGATTCTTGAGCATGTAGTAGAGGATTGCAGAGAGGCTGATGGCGGTAGTGTCTGAACCGGCGGTCATATTTGATACACAGCCCATGGTAAGATGGTACATGCTGAAAGACTTGGGGTTATCTGCGTTCTTCTTGAAGAATTTTGTGAGGAAGTCCATGCTCGTCGTACCCTGTTCAGCTCGGAGTTCATCGACGGGTATGGCCTTGGTCTGCTCCTGCTGATGCTCCGCAATACACTCTTGTGTGAATTTCATCACATACGCCCTTCCTGTTCCTTTGGGCCCAGCAAGAAAGTTCCTAACAGGAGCTAGGTATTTGTGTAACCAGGAGTAAATGCCTGTAAGAGTGGCATACCACAAGAGATCCTCGAGTGCCACGAGAATACCACGGATATCCTCGCCTTTGTCCAAGAACCCGAGTCGTTTCGAAAACGTTATCATGCCAATGACATCGAAAGCATAACACTGAAGCCAATGTCCCATGTCGGCATACGCGCCCGCACTCGCTACCTCCTGGAGGCGCTGACTGAACAAATCCGCACATTCATCAACGTACGATTCGTAACTGACAAGCGAGGACATGGTATAAGCGCTCTGGTATTGGCGCCGGTTTTCGCTGTGTCGTGATATAGACTGGTCGGCAAACAGTGACCATTGGTCAGGATGTGGGTTCTGCCACGTCGCATACCACGAGGATTTGGGGAATTTGGCGCCATGGCCATAAACGATCTTTTGCGCGCTCGGAGAAGAGAAGGAGTAGCGGTTTGCACCGTAGCGAACTATCTCGCCTATGGTAGAAGTATAAGTATGAGTATCTAAGGAGCAGAAGTACTAATGGAAGGGTGAAGCTCACCATGCTTCCTATGAAGCTCAAGGTTATCGTATTCAAACGAACCTCTTTTCACTCGCCAAAGATACCATAAGTTCGTGAAACGCGCTACAACTGGACCAGGTACATCTCGCAATGGTGAGGAGACGGCTCTCAAGAACGGAAAGAGAATACGCGCAACAAGAGCTACAGCAGCTGCCCAAGCAAGGACCGTGAGATGCATTCTAGAAAACAGTATCGAGAGCAAACTATCGATAACGTCTTCCTCGCAATGGCGCGACGCATCTTGTGCGATTTGCTACACGTTTAAGTCCTTCCGAAAGTTCGACGTGCGGGGAAGCGATGACGCGCCGAAAGGCGGGTGCGGGATGTGGAGTGGAGCTTAGCATTGAATTGTAGGTAATTAGTTTCGTGCGAACACCTCGTACGAACTCTCAAACCTTGTGTTCATGCCTCTCCAAATATCTTATTTGTTTTGTAGTCGAAAGAAGGCATACCGAGTCTCAATGCCGCGTGCATAGGATCATCGTACAGAAAGTCGGGGTCGTACAGCCGAGGTGCAACACGCACTTTGCACCCATCGTACATCGCGTGTGAATCGGATTGCCAATCAATCAGATGGATAAAAAAATCACGTCGGAATATGCATTCATAGATTCTACACGAGTTGAGAGTACGGGAAAGGACAGGATGCCGATTAGGTAGAGTAGGATCTCGATCATCGAAGATCTACGCGTCGTCTTACAATCTGGAACACCAAAATACACAATACTGCACTGACGGACTTCTCGCATCGCGTATCCACGTGGACCTACAGCTACCTCCTGGTCCAAACTTACAAATGAAGACTGTCGTACTCGAGAAACACAAAATATTACACTATTTACACTACACACACCCCCACATTCCGACGACGGGATTTTGACAAGCCAGCCAAAACTTCGTAGAAACGATCTTTCGCGGCGGTACTCGGGTCAAACGAGACCGAGCAGTTCGGTCCCTTCTTTGATTTATCACTGAGAAGAGAGACTCAACGGTCACTACAAACCACTCTAGAACAGCCTGTAGTAGATTGCAGACGTCCTCCATTGCCGAAGAACAGTTTATTCCAATCAGGAAGAACAGCAGCTCAATACTAGGTAGATTCGTAATACAGCACCTCGCGCGGCGTACGATGGAAAGTCTTGCAGTGCACGTTGCTTGTTACTTTATGTTGGTTTGAATTCAGAAGACAAGTTGCCAAAGGTCAGTTAGTCGCTCGTTGTTCTCGCCTAGGCCACCATGAATGATGACACTGTCGTTGCCGGTCTCAGCCTTGATGACATCAGCATCGAACCAGCCGCGGGGGTCAGGAAAACCATCACTGCCTTCAGGGTGTAGCTGTGTCCACCATTTCTCGCTGATATCATATACCCAGACGTCCTTCAACATCTTGCCTGCGCCAGCGTGACCAAGCGACGAAGGATCATGTTCACCAAAGAGAGTGAGAAGCTTGTCCTTTCTAGCGAGCTTAACTGGTAGAAGCACGCAAACACTACGAGCCTCAGGTCCATCATTGCCATCGGCCTTGAACGTTTCGGTTGACCAGGTGTTGTTGGATATATCAAATATATCGATACTACCACCCTGCTCGGTAGTGCCATCAAATCCGTTCATTCTGTAGAGTTTGCCCCCACTGTAAGCGATGGAAGTCCCTCCTCTATGGGGTGCTGGAGCATCAGGGGCTTGTGACCATGTACAATTATGGACGTTGAACATCCACAGATCTGAAAGGCGGCCACTCGCTGGACATCCGGCGTGGAGGAAGAACGTGTCCTTTCCATCACCAGTAGAACAGTGATAGCTGCGAGCTGGTGGATATGGGGCAGATGAATCAGCAGGCATGATCTTGGACCATGCTGAGCTTGCTGGGTCGAAGCACCACACTGCACCGTGCTCTTCTATAGGGGCCATATCGATGCCACCTCGACCGGAGAAAAGATACATGTTGCCATTCAGTACAGCTGACGCACTTCCAACGCGGGGAGTGGGTGCTGAGGATATGGCTTTAGTTTCTAAGCTCTTTGCATCTGTGGCGTTGTTAGTGGTGCACCTTGATGGCCAACTAGCAGCGAAAAGAAGGCCTACCAGGCTTGAGCGAGAAGATATCGATTTTATCATCTATAGGCTCCCTTGGTTTCACCTCACCACCAAAGATGCAGACATGCTGATCGATAACGGAAAGGACTTGCGACGACCGGCGTAGTCGCTCGTCGTCGAGGAGGCGCTTCCAGGAGCCTTTGAGCGTACTGATGGGCATACTCACGGGCATGTTGGCAGATATGGTGATATTCGCACTGGGATTGCAGTGACTCGCGAACAAGGGAATGAAATCTCCAGCTGCTGCTGCTATATATGCGAATCTAGAGCTAGATATTGCGTCATGCGCGGGTGGTAATACACTTGGTGTTTGCATTGCCTGGGCAGTGACAAGTCGAATCCACTAAGCAGGGGACACGCTAGACTGGGAGGGTACTAGCGTCGGATGCACGAGTGGATCGTCATGGCCTGGCTCCTTCCAAAAGTTCGCGACGCCTCAATCGCATTGTACACGCGAACCAATGCGACTCGACACGCCAACATGAGGCTTCGACTGACGGTGCAGAGAAACGGCCTCCCTGCCGCCAACGTCGTGTGGAGTGTGCCCGACACCAACAGCACACAGGCATACACCGTCACGCGTCTGCTCGAAGACGTCAACCTCATCATCCCGCTCGAGGCAGAGCACTGGGGCCTGGAGCACTATGTCGTCGAGGTGGCCGGCTTCGAGTGTCTGCACTTTATGCCCGTCGCCCACGCGCTCAAGGAAGACGACCATGTCTCGTATGTGCTTCTTCATTCTGCATCTTGGTCGATACTAACACGTTGCCAGCATCCGCCCACTCATGACTGCCGAAGTACGCGCGCGCACCCTCACCGGCCGTGACCAAATCTCAGATGGAGGCCAGCACCTCGTCGACGGCGTTCCCTTTGGCCGGCCCTACCTGCGACAGCCTAATCGACCCGCCGTTCGTATACCACCGCGCAAACGACGTCGACTGGACGACGTTCAGGCTGAGGACGATGCCCAGGCTGTCGGCCTGCTCACAGAACACGGAGACACAACCCAAGTGCGCGAACAACTTGCCATGCTCAACAACCACCAGCAGGCGGGAAACCAAGCATCGCCGTCGCAACGGGCAACCAAATCAGTGCAGTTCAAGCAGCCAGAGATAGAACCATCTGATGACAGCGAGGAAGACGATGACGACTTTGCTCCTGACGAGGCACAAGGCGGGACTTCGTCTTCTGATGCGTCGGATTCCGACTCGGAATCAGAATCAGACGTAGACGTAGACGCAGTCGCAAAGTCGCATGGGTCATCTAGCGGTTCAGACACCTCAGATTCAGATTCAGATACTTCGAGCGACAGCGATTCCGACTCCGACGATAGCGACGCAAGCTCCCCACCCGATGTCTTGTCATCCAAGGACGGTCGCAAGAACAGTCCAGGTACACAGCATGTACCCCCTGGACAAGGTCTAAAAGCTACCAAGCTGAGGAACGCGCGACGTACAAAGGCTAACCGTCTGCGTAGCCTCAAAGCCTCGGGTAAGCTTCCTGAGAATGCAACACTCGCGGATCTGGCCGACTATGAACAAGGAAGATATGGTCAAACTGAAGAAGCGGAACATACACGGCCCTTCGCCAAGTCTCAAGGCAAGAGAAAACGGTTAGATGAAGACGAGCCGACGGAGGAGGTTGCCGATGATACAACAGAGCTTGAGCGAAGGAAACAAGATCTGATGGCCAAGGTTGGACAAAGTTCAGATGCGACAACACCGGCAGACGAGCCTATACAGTCAACGACTCCGACTATAGAAGAGGCAGAAGAATCATTTACCGCTCTGGCTGAAGAGACACAGCCAGCAAAGAAAGAGGCTCTCTCAAGAAGGTTGCGACCAGATACTCGTGCCATTGGTCGAATACTTGCTCGGCAGGCTGCACCTGTTCTCAGGAAGACCAAGGCGAAGGCAGCACCTGAAGAACCTTCGGAGCCCGAGGGTGCCTCTGATCCCGACTTTTGGAAGACACGGGTCAACCTCTCTGCATTCGAATGTTGGGAGGAAGATTTTGAGCTGAGCGCTCCGCCCTTCCCATTCCAGCAGCACTGGGACCCAGCCAGCAAGCTTATGCGCGACAAAGCTGCAAAGAAGAAGCAGAAGAGGCGAAACTACGTGCTGCAGGAAGCAACGCCTGAAGAAGAGGAAGAGGAGGAAGAAAAGATCATATTAGACTATGACGATGCGCCTGCAACTAACCCCGACTCCGAGACCATACATGCAGCACTGGAAGACCAGTTACGTCAAGATCTTGCGATGGCTGCGCAGTCTGATCTACCACCGCTGCCTCAAGACATGAGCACGTTACCAGATCTCACCTCGTCCGACATGAAAGCCGGCGCCATTATCGCATGCAAATTCTTCACCGTCAATCCTGTCACCGTCACACCAGAGATTAGTGATTACAAAACAGCTATTGTTGAGCAAGAAGGCGATTCGGGACCTGGTGCTGGAACGATACAGCTAAAAATTGCTTTGCGCGACCTCCCGAAAAGGGAGAAGAAGTTCGATAGCAAAGGTAACCGCATCTACAACGCTGCCGACGCGCTTTTGATGGAAGAAGACGAAGAGGAAGAGGGCTTGTGGGAAGGCCAATTCGGCGAGCTTCTAGAAGCGAAGCTTGTGAAGGCTGCGTAGACAAAAGACACCAGGTATCAAAAGATGCTTGTTTGACCATCTGCCTAGTACCACACATACATTTTCTACTTCATATCACCTTAACATGTTTCAATATACCCGGTTTCAGATACTCTTGACGCTCAATCATGTGAAGGGCCTGTGAACACGAAGAGGCGGATCGGTCTTCGGTCTCAGGCCGGGGTGGCGCGATCTACAGTACCCCGCCAAACGTCATCCCCAACCCCTCTAGAAGCTGCAGGAGCTTCCAGCACCCGGCCCTACTCAAGTACTACGGGGTAAGTCACCAATACTGAACTTCTCGTATACACAAGGTCTTGGCCTGCAATTCCCATGTCTCACAAGCCTTCATTCGCGGTACAGCTACCATTGCGAGCGGGTTCTCCGTGCAGGGTTTTCCTCGGCACCACGAATCCAGGGTTTTAGTTTGCCCCTAAACAAACTTAACAACTGCCGCTGTGGGGTAGCTTCAGGATTAGGTGCGAATGGGTACATCATGCGATTATGGAGCGAACAAGCCGTGTACAAATTTTCGGCAGATGCATTTCAACTTTTCTGCTTACTGCTGAGCCTTTAGTCAAATTGCGATATTCTTGTGTTTGACAGACAAACCATTCGTTGTACAACAACTTCCATAACATAGCATACCATGTAAGCGTTGATCAAACAACAGTGCCGCAATACCCTGACCATCGCACAGAACTATACACAATGCCTCTTCCCACTGGTGTATACCGTGCCGACCACGTTGGCTCCTTCCTCCGCCCCAAAGCCGTCCTTGAAGCACGTACAAAAGCTGCCAACGGAGAGATTACCGCGGACGAACTCCGCAAAGTCGAAGACGAACATATCAACAACGTTGCAAAGCAGCAGATAGAAAATGGACTCCGATCTGTAACCGACGGCGAGTTCCGTCGCGCCTACTTCCACCTCGACTTCCTCAAGCACCTCGCTGGCATCGAGGAGAAGGGTCAGGTAGGAAACATTAGGCACAAGGATGGCTTTTCGCCCCCAACACTGGTGGTCAAAGGAAAGCTGGGTCACCCCGAGGCAATTCAAGTCAAGGACTTCGAGTTCCTCGAGCAAGCGATCAAGAACAATGGCGGAAACGCGAGCACAAAAGTGTGCATACCATCACCAACCATGGTGCACTTCCGCGGCGGTCGCGCTTCAATCGACATCTCCGCATACCCCGACCTAGACGTCTTCTTCGAAGACCTCGCGCGCGTATACCAAGAAGAGCTAGACAGCTTGTACAAGGCTGGCTGCCGCTTCGTCCAACTCGACGACACGAACCTCGCCTATCTCTGCGACCCCGATATGCGCAAAGCCGCCGAGCAAGAACGCAACGAAGACCTCAGCACCCTGCCCCGCAAATACGCCGAGCTCATCAACAAAGCCATCGAGAAGCGACCTTCAGACATGAAGATCGGCATCCATCTCTGCCGCGGCAACTATCGCTCCAAGTGGTTTGCCTCCGGTGGCTACGAGCCCGTCTCCGAGGTTCTCTTCAAGGAACTGAACGTCGACGCGTATTTCCTCGAGTACGACGATGCGCGATCTGGCGACTTCTCTCCATTGCGCCATCTGCCGGAACATAAGGTTGTTGTGCTCGGTGTTATGAGTAGTAAGAAGAATACTCTGGATAACAAGGATGAAATCATCCAGAGGCTACATGAGGCGGCGAAGATTGCGCCAAAGGGTCTGGACCAGCTGTGTGTGAGCCACCAGTGTGGTTTCAGCTCCACAGCTGAGGGCAACGAGTTGACAGAAGAAGAGCAGTGGGCCAAGGTTAGACTGAGTGTCGAGATCGCTAAGCAGGTCTGGGGTGATGATATCAGCAAGTAATGTGTAAACTTAGGGCTAATAGACAGCTTTCACAGATTGGCTCAAGGAGAGGAGGTGTATTTGAGAGGTGCTAGTACTTGCTGGGGATATATTCGAGAGGAGTTGAGGCGAAAGCATGAGCACGGAATTCATGTAGAGGTAGTCTGATCTGGTCTCAACGACCTGTCCATGTATGTATTACGAAGTAACGGTTCAACCCAACAATATCCAATGTACCAAATATAAGTGCATTTCCATGTAGTTTTTACCATCAGAAATATATGAGAGTATGGACGCCAAGGTAGCAGACTTCTTGCTAGTTCTGCCGAAGACATCAACAAGGTTGTCGATACGGGTACCGTTGTAGAGCCCTCCTGCCAACTACAAAGGCCCGATTAGAAAGGATATTACCACAGCTATTGCAGAGCATCTTACGGCTACCTATTCAGAGAAGATCTTTGAGGTCGTCTCTACTTTGAGTTCCAGTGTCTTTCCAGCTCTCTAGCATATCTCTGGAGAGAATCCTCCTTGGCAAGAAGGACGCTCGCTACTTTGACCCCAGTCATGTTGCCTGACACCTGGCATATAAGTCCAAAGCAACGAAATTGAAAGTATTGTGGTCCGACACACTACGAAGTCTGTCTTTTCAAAAGTCCATGTTTTTGAGTTAGTTTGGGAGATTTCAAGATATCAGATTTTAGGTAATCTTCCCAATGTCTGGTAGGTCGATTTCAGTGATCCATTCGTCAGACTTCGGCGTATTTCTCCAAAGGAATTACCATGTTTTTTTTTGTGGTCGATAGACCTTCAGGGTGGGTTCCCGCTTGTATACAGGTCGAAAAGCTTCGGCGATTGTAGAAGTTTATATGGGTGGGACATAATATGCCTAGAGAGGACATCTTCGCAGCTGTATCATATCAGAAGCTCAGGTATGCGTTTACATCCATGTATTTCGATATCGATAGTTGTGTAACAGCTTCCGATAGATCCGAATGTTTCTGGTTCATATTTTGGACGTGAGCTCCAGTCTCACGGTTCTCCGTATTCTTTGCCCCAAGACTTCGGGTTCATGAAGACGGCTTTGCTGATGTAATATTAGAACTCTGATAGCGGCTCCTAAAACCTCGTATGTCTCGCGTTATGAGAGCCTTCCATTCAGAAATGGATGGATGTTACATTATCGGGAAGACCAGACAACTCCAATGCTTTTAAAATGCTAGTCTATTCACTGATGAAACATTTTCTATAACAGAACCGTCATTCCGATCGAATAGTCAGCATCTGGTAATGGAAAGAACACTGAGCTATCATATGTGCGGCATCACCCGATCTTACAGTGCTGTGCTTGTCCTTGCAGTATATGAATCATTTGTGATCGTCCACTATATTTGGTTTTGTAAAATAGCACGGATGTACCTAGGTATAGTCGCTCCTCGCTTGCGGGAGGCAAAGATGGTAGACAGGTGTCGAAATAGCTCGAGGAATAACTGAGTAAGCTCAGACTCTAGTTCGTGGACACCACATCAAAAACTTGCAGCCAAATTAGGCCGGGGCAGATTTGTCTGCATATAGACCGCATCGATACGGTCTTTGTTATTATATGAATACTTCCTGTCCCTGAGGGTACTCGATGTCCGTCCAAGGAAGCGACATACCCGACTGAGAAGCTTTACAAGAAGCTCTACAGGAAGCTAGATCAATTCCATCCCCAAGTTTGCTGTCATGGTCTTATTTGAACGGTTTTCGTATACATATTGTTAGAGGACCAGTAAAGCGATCTCAACCGCGGAGAACCTTGGGAGAGTGATGCTAGGACCAAGTAGAAAGCCATACAGATATAGTTAAAGGCTGAAGCTGAAGCCTGAGGCAACAAGCCCGTCTTTGCAAATGTAATAACAGTTCAGCTACATGAGATGTAATGTGCTTACCTATTAAGCCATAGCGCTTACTTCAAGGTTGCTGACCAGTCAATCACGTAACACAATGATGAGATTTCTAGACTCACTTATCTGTAGCACATTGATATCCATTCATATCTCAACGAATGCTTATAAAAATGCGGTAATAATTGGAATAAGTAACATGTTTCGGTAGTGGGAATGTGGGGTGTGGAAGAGTAGAAGAAGAAGCGGAACGAACATCTTTGACGACTTCATTGCACTACGTTGGACGGGTGCAATAGTCGATCTGCATGGATTAGCCCTACATTCTTCACATGATACGAGGAGGTTACGTGATGTCGTTGTATTCTATCCTTGAAGCACATTCCAGTATCCAAAAGTGTGCATGAGGAACTTAGACAGTAGCCTGACCGGATGCAAAGTATGCTTAAAAGATCAAGCAACAGAAGATCTGTTGTAACCATGCTAGTATATGTTGCGACAGACATTGCTTTACATTGACTATATGACTGTCTATCTAAGAGTGCAGTGCTCAAACAAAAATGTACAAGTAAGCGGTAATGACCGTCTGAGACCTTGTGAACCCCACATCATATGACGACAGTCTTTCACAACCCCATCGTCACCTTGTTCACAGCTACCTCCCCTGTTGTGTACCGTCTGAACTGCTTGTCTCTGATGTAGCACCTGTTTAAGCAGCGGCGGCGATCTCGCGGCGTGCGAACCTGAGGCTGCGCTTTGCCTTTAGCTTAGTGCTAAGACCATCGTAGCTGTTGATGCATATGGTCAAGGTTCCGTCGAGAGAGTTCGCTTGGTTCTGCAAGTCAGAAGCACGTGACTCAACGGCATCGATCAACATAAATGCGATAGTCTGTAGATAGCCGTTAGCAAGTGCGGATATAATCGTTAGGGATAGTATCCAGAGAAACATGGGAGTTTAGGAAAAGGACTCACATCAACAACATTCTCGATCTGTCTGAGCACAGCTGCTAAGGGCTGGCCAATGAACGGAACAGTATTGAACAATCCAGCCTTTCCGATGAGTATGTTGAGCAGAGCCTGGTGGACACGGACAAACTATTTCTGATCGTCAGTCATTTTATCATCCAGAAGGCGCTTGTAGTACTGACTTCGCGGAAGGCGTCGAAGATAGCATCAGAATCAACACCGGCTGGAACGGGAGGCATTCCTTGCATCTGGCTGATAGCAGTGGTGGCTGTGGACACAATGTCGGCAAAGCCCGCGATGATCTGGGGAAACGGTCCCTGGCCAATGACAATCAAAGGACCATTAATGATAGTGATGCTCTGAGCTGGTGCCTGGAGCGCCTGGCTCTTCTGTGTCACCATCCGGATGTTGGAGACAACCTGAGCAGGCGTAATCTGAGCGGCGATAGGGACAGAGAGAGCCACAGCGGCAGTAAAGAAGTTGCGGAATGAGACCATGTTTGCGGTGATTGATGGCTAGAAGACCGGTATCTGATGCTTAAACGATGAGGATCGAGGAGTAGTGATTGCAGAGATGAAGCTGTGCGATGACTTCTAACGATGGAGGGCGGCAGCATCTTTATACATGGTGCAAGATGCAGCTAAGCTCAAGTTCTCGGAGTGAATACTTTCCACCACCCTGTGAGGTGACTAGATCTGCTGATCCTCCTGTACAGGACATTGAGATGCCAATCAGACCTATTGCCCAAAGGCTAGGCGATGCAGAGTGCGCTACTGTCGAAAAGAACAAAGTTCAATGATAGATGAAGTGTTGTACTATAATCCACCTTGGCTTGACCCCTCTCACCCCAATCTCCAGTGTATTGCACCTTTTTCCTTCCATCGCTGGAGCCCCGTGGCAGTGTCACAGCCTGTGCCGATATATCGAGCGTACCATATCAAGATTCCTTTACGGCACCTCCAATACACATTCTTCTCTTCAGAATTGTAGTTAGTGTCAGTTCACAGTGATCAGTATAAAGGCCGACCAAACTAGTCCCTGTTAGAGAGATCTACCAGAATCCATCACTGAGTGGAGCTTTTGCGGCTGAATCGATATAAGGGATTGACATCTTCGAGCTCCATTTTTCTTGTCCAGTCCATGAGCAACACCCGGTTGTGCAAATAGAGAGAACGCATGCTGGGTATACAGCACTAACGCATCCTAGGGCTCGCAATGGCAATTGGCGTCCAAGTTCACAGTGGATGCTTAGGGCTTGCCAATCATTTTCCAAATTTCTCTTGCCAAGATATTTGTATTGCCGTAGTACAGTAGATCACTACTCTGTATGTGCGTGTCTCTCTTGTCGACCTGCGTCAGTTCAGCTGAGGTGGCCCATCTGGTGCCGCTTTGTTGTCAAATGCCGCCAAAAAGGGTGTGGTAGTGCCGTAGCGGTGCGGCTCGTCGATCTTACCCGTGGACCGGGTACTGCCGCTGAATATGCACGATCAGGCACGCAGTCCCTCCATTCAGAAATGCCGGTGCACCAAGCTAGCAATAGAGCAAATTTGCCAAGCCATAATCACGTCTGCTTTTTCGCTGTTCGGGGCGGCCGGGGCTGGTGTCGAGACCACGTGTATACCGGGGTAGTAACTCACCTGTATTGATTAGTCTCACGGCGTGCACCGGTATACATACTACTACTCCGAAAAAGGAGAATGCGACATGTTCGCTTACGTGCAAGCGGTCCGCCAGAAGCAATAACAAAAGGTCCGATAAATGTGACGTTTCTTTTGATCCAGTCGAGCCTCGGAAAGCAGCCGAGGTCCCTGGTCGCCTGAATTGCATTTTAGCCGATCTTGGCCGTGTTTATGTCATACTACTGTTCATTCACTTCGGCGAAGAAGAAAGAGTCAGTGCCTTGGCTCAGACTGCTACCTGGATGCTCGCGTTCGTCATTGAACCCTTAGATCGGCAACTCCACTTCGCTCGTCGCTCCTTATCTGTTGCAATGCCACGACGTCTATTAGAATACCCAAGTAGTGATCTACGAAGCGGATCTGTATGACACCATTGGCAAAGAACCCCGATAGGGGTGTGCTGGCTGAACTGATCTTGCGCTGAATTGAGCAATGTTAGTATCGTAGTTCTGGCACATTACTCCCGCTTCTGGTGTGCTTAGTAATCATCTCTAGAACGCAACACAATAGCGGAGAAGCTTAACAGCTGGTAGCTAGCAAGTAGCCGAGTCGTTGCGCATCTGCTATTCGCCGCCGGGTATTTGGCCCGTGGTTTCCTACCTGTCCACCGCTGTAACCGACCTCGTATGCTACCAAACTTCCCTTCATTAGTAAAGAAACCAAAGGGAAAAAGCATATCGTGACAATTTCCACCAGTGAAAATGAAGACGCCGGCTATTCGGTTCGATCTGCATCGTAATGCAGTGCAACATACACGTGCCTAAGCGAAGGGCCTTCTTACTCGACGCTAGACTCCAGGTTCTGGCACTATAGAGAACCTGGCATCGTGAGCTTCATGTTGTCTTGGATCAAGCCGAACATTCTGATCACTATTTAGCCACGTTCAACATATTTTAGTAGCTTCATGTCAGAGATGATGCCAACACGACCTCGGGACCGTCCCATCCTTCCACCGATCACCTCAGTGTTGACCTGAGTATGAGTACTCTCCGCGGGTTTCAGTTCGTAGCTACACGCATAAACCATCACCACTGTCTGCTTCAAGCTAGAACTCCACCTCGCCATTAGTGCCTCAACAAGACTCAAGCGAAGACCAGAGACAAAGCATTCCTCGAGCGACGACGCCACAGCGTCATCGCATGTTCACGCCCATGAACAGCAATGTAACTATGTGACCTATCCTAAAATGCTTAAGAGTGAGACATTTTCTGTGTAACGACATATACCACTATGGGTGCTTTTTACCTATCCAAAGAATTAGCAAGCCACCACGTATGGATGCTTGACCTAGGCTAGTTTCCTAGCCAACCAAATGTACAGGTTGTCACCTTCTACATATAGTCTCGTGGCTTACTCTCTTCCTTTGTTTTTTCTGCTTCCTACTATCATAGGATGAGGTTACATAGCTCCAGTGAGTACCACAATACGATCTGAGATGACCGAGCAGCTTTTCGCAGTGACGACAAAGTGGCAACTTGCAGGTGGGTGTTGCTTACGCACCTTATTCGAGGGCGTCTTAGAAGCTGTATGGAGCAATAGTATAATCTAGTCACCTTTGACTGTGGTCGGTAGCTATACGGGAAAGCTCACCAGACCAAGTGGAAGAATGAATATGGGCAGGTATGAGCAGGAAGCGCCATACGACAGTGATAGCATACTGTTGGGCATCTGCAAGCGTCACCATCAACGAGCTATGACACCACCGGCCTCTCATAGCTAGGTCATGATTACATATACATACTCTCTTAGTCAGTTGGACTTCCCTAATTTCCATGCAACATCACATCGTATAGTCTACACAAGATTGCAGCTATCGAGAAGAAAGAACCGTACAGTTAAGGACACCTCCATCTCATGGTGTCGGCACCGATGCTAACAACGGTAAAACGTCCTTGAATCTCACCGGCTTAAGTAAGAACTCATCAAATCCGCTACTCCTCGCTTGTCTGCGCGCCTTATCACTACCAAGACCTGTGAGCGCGAAGATGTACGCTCGTGGCGCACCTCTGTTGTCCCAAGTGGCGCCGTCTAGAGTTTGCTTAGACGCGTCCTTGGAATGTGACTGGATGATTTTTTCCATCAAATCATCTTCGAGTTTTCGAATCTTGGATACAGCTTGAAAGCCGTCCATGATTGGCATGCTGATGTCCATGAAAATGCAATCATACGTGATTTGTGGCCCTTGTTGTTCAATAGCAGTTTGATAAAGACGTACTGCTTCTGCGCCGTCAGTAGCGCTGGAGTAGGGGACATGAAGGCGTTTAGCAAAGGCGCATAACATTTTGAGGTTTATCGGGTTATCATCCACAAGGAGTAGCCGGTGAAATCTACAAGCAGGGTTGGGCTTGAGAAGGACAGTTGGCTGTGCTGATAATTGCGGCTGAGGGGCAGGAAGTGTCCCAGCGTCGGGTAGTGACTTGTTCTGCGACGGTAGGCTACGATGCGGAAGTGCCACCGTCTCCATGCACGTGTCTGCTTTTTGAAAAGTCTCGTGCTGACCTAGTTGCTCCGATGGGTCTGTCTCGGCTTCGCGTTCGACTTCCGCAGGTGGCAATGGGGCTTCCGTTCCATTGGCGTTCGCGTCATTCAGAGCTGATATTATAGCAGATCCGAGCGACTTTCCAGTAATTAACATCGTGTGCATGGAACTCCAGGTGCCGGTCTTGTGAAGTGTAGCCTTGGTATTGCCCAGTTCGACCACGACTGGACAGACGCTTGCCGCATGCACAGGGAACAGAGTTTTCAAATCGTAAGCATGCGTCGTGCCCAGCGCATGCGTGTCAATAAGGACTATATCCATGGTTGGAGGTGCGCTTGTCGAAACATTGGTGACGCTCATGCCAAAGCGGCCCTCACAAATATTGCGAATAGAACGCTCAAGTGCTTTGGGTGGCGAAACGATGCATGGGGAAGATTTGTTGCTTGACTCCCGATGCGAGGACAGACTGAGCAGACCGACCGTCTTTCCACGCAGAAGGCTTTCCTGCGCGCTTGGTACGCTCGGCTTCTGTATCTTTTGGCTGGTTGGGATGTTGATGGTAATCTTCGTGCCCTCTCCCAAACGACTGGAGACTGAGATGTTGCCCTGTAGTGACTCTACAATGCTTTTCACTAGGCTCAATCCTAGACCAGTTCCTGGGCTCAATATATTCTCTTGCGTGAAGGGCGTGAAGAGATGATATTTAAGAAAGTCCTCACTCATACCCACTCCCGTATCTGTCACAGACAGACAGATGTGAGCCTGTCTGCCGTCTGCAGCTTGCACTCCATCTGCGGCCTCCACAAATTCCAAGTCTACATGGATGTAACCGGACCTGGTATACTTTAACGCGTTGCTAACGACATTGAGCAGAATTCGTTTCCAGGCGCCCTTCTCGACAACTACTGTCCAATCGCAGTGTCTCTCGAAGTGTGTAGTGAGGACGACAGGCTCAGCTGAAGTCGTTTCTCGCGGTTCAGCTAATGTATCCTGGCGCTCTTTATTGAGTCCGGATACGAGTCGCGAAGCATGGTCATGGCCCACTGAGACCGTCTCGATGACATCTTCAACCAAACGCTCCAAGTCGACGGCCACTGCAGCATTATGAACATGGTGACCAGAACGAATGGAATGGTCTCCACCTTTCCCGACGCCGACACGACTATTAACCTTGGAATATTCTAAGAGATGGTCGAAGGTATCAAGAAGAGTGAAGGCACATGATTCGATCATAGTAATCTCCGGCATCAAGCTTGATCCCTGCATGTTTTCTTGAATCAGCTCAATACTCGCTAATATGCCATGCAATGGACTACGTAGCTCGTGGCTGATAGTCGAAACAAAGTCCGACTTGGATAGAGTGTTTGCCGAAGCTTCTAATCGGAAAATTTCGGCCATGAGTGAGTTTCCGAAAGCTGTTAAAGAATTGACGTCACCAGTATCGAGGGTTTTTCCAGTGTCAGATACCCATGCTAGACATGTAGCATAGCAGGCTTCTCTTTGGTAATGCCACATCGGCAGGAAAATCGCATATCGCGTCTTTGGCAAAGACTTGAAGAGATCAATCCATTCGTTATCCTCAACAGAATTGGGACTGTAGTCTGGCTCGCTGTCATCCCCATGTTGGATAACGCCGTGTTCGTCCACAGCGAAGACATGCCCTCGAGTGTACCGTGTAGTTAAGCGTTGAATGAGGGACTGAGGCAGCTCCAAACTTGATTGCTGGCCCACTGCGGTGCTTCTCTGATAGCAGGAGAGCGGTGTCGCAAAGGAGTCGTTTGGAGACGATGATGTCTCTATATCTTTCGACTGACCACCTCTATCTTTACCGGCTGAGACAGTGTCAAAGAAGACAAGGCCATCCAAATCCATGGCATAGCCAATATCGTTTGCAGCTCTTACAAAGAGATCTTCGACTTGATTGGACAAGTCGGGCTTGTCCATCCTCGAATCCGTGTCCTGCAGAGAAATAACGATGGAAGCCGGCTCGTACACCGAACCCGCGACGCGTGTCGTTGCACTGCCAGATGATAGCGGACTGGATTCTCTTTGGGTAGTAGCACTAAAGACATCAAGATCGAATGGATCTGTGTGAGCCTTGGGACGTTCAGGAGCAACAGATTTTGGAACCACATTACGTGCATCGCACTCATCCGGAGCTACGAATCGGCGAAGACCTTGCATCATGCTTGCTGCTCGCGATTTACAGGCTTCGACGCGTCTCATGTTTAAGTATGCACTGATGGCCGAAGTGACTTCCCGCATAGTACTCAATGACTTTGGATGGAGGAAATCTCTTTCCTTGTTGTCCACCACGCAATAGCTTCCCAATATATGTCCAGACATCGCAAATAGTGGTATCTCAAGGTAAGACACCATGTATGGATGCCCAGCCACAAACGGACGCTCTGCGAAAGTGGGAATCCGGCGAAAGTCTTTTATATAAAAGTAAGACCTGTCGGCAACAATATACGGACTATCCGGCAAAGATACCGCTCGTCCATGGAAGATGGACATTGTGTGAGGACATACTCCCCAATCGAGGGGGATTCGAGAAGTACCCAGTAACAGCGGATCGGTCGGATCTGCGCTCGAAAGAGACTGGTGTCTCGTCATCTCTGCGCATATGAACTGGGTTTGGTTATCAATGAGGGAGATGAATGCGCGGTCGCAATCCATCTTGTGCACGCCATGCTGGACGAGAGCATTGAGGGTTATGTCGCTGCTGGGGACTGGATCGGAGGGCGGCCCTTCTGGGATCTGGAACGGAAACGATGCGGCAGAGAGATATCTAGGGCTATTTGTTAGCAATGAGAAACGCGTTTCATGACGTAGAATGGCAATTCTCACGCGGCGATCTCGTATGCGCGTGCCCGTTCATGTTTATCGATAACTTCGGGTGGTGGCGCCGTAGTTGAGAGGGGGGTGATGGCCATAATCCATATTACGTCACTCACATTGAGGGCGCTCGGTAACTCGACTGGAGACTGCTGGTGCTGTTTGCAACGATTCCGCGGGCCCGCAGCCGTCTTCTGCTTCTTTCCAAGGTTGGCAAGCGGTCTTGGCGTTAGTCAGCCAATTTCCAAACGGCCCGTATATCAAGGGCAGAAGCACGGCTTAATTTCTCGTCAACTCCATCGATAGTGATTTGACGCTAGCTAGATACGCATTCTTGTACAACCACAAGAGAAAGAGCCCGACCAACAACTCCTCGCTGCTCACAGCTAGACGCTCAGTTTCGCATACTCGTCGCACACTTCGGTTAGCTTCTTCCTCGTCCCAGGCTCCATAGCACTATGTCCCGCATCGTCTACAAAATGCAGCTTACTCTCTGGCCACTCCTTGTGCAAGTTCCACGCCGTGATCGGCGGGCAGACGACATCGTATCTCCCCTGCACGATTGTTGTCGGAATGTTCCTGATACGACCAACATTCTCCTTCTTTAGCAATTGCCCGTCTTCCAGCCACGCTTTGTTGGTGAAGTAATGGATCTCGAGCCTTGCATGCGCTAGCAGATAAGCCGGGTCTTGAAGTTTCTTGAATGCATTGGGGTCCGGGTACCTAAGGTTCGGCGTACAAGGTCAGCGCATGTCTCCTATGCAGTTCGCTAATAGTAATCACGTACAGAGTGCTGATTGAAAGCTCCCATTTGTTCCATGCAGTGGCTGCAGGGTGACTTATCGAAGGGTCAGAAGACATAAGGCGTTTGTGGTAATTGCCAATATGATCCGAGCGTTCCTCCTCTGGAAGGAAGTTGATGAATTCGTCCCAACAGTCAGGAAACAGCATTTGAACGCCGCCCGGGTGATTCGTCCAGTGGAGCTCGATATCGCGCACAGTGAATATGCCGCGCAGAACTAAACTACCTACACTTTCGGGGTGTGTTTGTGCATAGGCCAGAGCGAGAGTGGAGCCCCAAGAGCCACCGAAGACTGTGTGCCATTTGGAGATGCTGAGATGTTTACGCAGGACTTCAATGTCGGCGACGAGGTGCCAGGTAGTGTTGTTTGTGGTGTTGGCATTAGGGCGCGATTGACCACAGCCTCGCTGGTCGAGCAAAATCACTCGATATTCACAAGGGTTGAAGAAGACGGTGTTGGATTTGGAACAGTTGCCACCTGGCCCCCCATGGAGGAAAATGACTGGATGGGATTAGAAGTCAACAAATGCGGCTGGGAGAGATGTTGCACCCACCAGGCTTTCCATCCTTCTTGCCAAACTGTTGATAGTGTAGTTCATGGATATCGTCGACGCGCAGCCAATCCACATCCCAGGCGTCTTCGTGTTCATAGCCGGTGACATGAGGTGCTTGAGCCATGCTTGTGGTGTAGTAACTAGCAACTGCAAATACGATACGCAACAGTATGACCAAGCTTTGTAGTTTTGTCAAGCCAGGCAACCATAGTGGTGCAGTCAGACATCTAGGTGTAGCTACCCCGCTTTCACCATAGTGGACCCCGCTAAATGAAGAACACCTTCCTGTTTGGCTAGAAGAATATAATTTTTTGAGCGGTTTATGTGCAGATAAAATCAAGATAACGTATTAAGAGATGGACCCCAGCTCTGAAACGTCCTACAAAGGACTGACGCTGACGACAAGAACCTAGTACTTGAAGCCACCTGCCCTAGTACTCCATAATCCGTTCGGGTCTACACTCTTCTGCAATGTCTTGAACTTCTCATAGTCCTTGTAACTCTGCATGACTGGCTGATCCCACATAGCATCGTTGAGGAATAACGGCATGTACATGTCGGTTGGCATTCCCGCCTCTGCTATCCATTGAGGCACAACCTTGTCCAACCAAGCCGTCAGCTCTCTGGCGATACCGAAAGCAAGAGGATCGTCCGTGGGCAAGTTCCAGGCGCCTTGGTAAATAAGGATAATGCGGTCAGGGTCGGAAGACGAAAGACCCATGGCATTTCCGCCCTTGGATTCGGAAGTCTTGCCAAAGCGAGACGGAAGTGGCTGGAAGTCAACGCTGAACTGGACGGCGCGAACGACGGGGAGTGTGTTGAGGAAGACACCAGTGAGCTCAGCGAGCTTATCACGAATCTCCCTGTACATCTGGGGACGGGATGGGATATATGGAACGGTGTAAGTTCGGAAGAATGAACGGGAGTTCAAAAGTCGGACGGGTTCGCCGTTCGCCCTCAGCTAGCAATCGTCAGTTCCTGTATATCACGTCACGGTCGGTTCATGGACTTACCAGCTCAGAGTACTTTTGTTTCTTGGGCAGACATAGCGGGTTGAGGATCTTGAAGAAGTCGGCAAAAGGGCCCGACGTAGGCGGCGTGGGGCTGTCGTAAAAGTAGAAGACAAGTTTCGTCTTGAGCCCGGCTGCGAGCACAAGGTCCGAAAAGATAATGGCGGCCTTGGGATCTTCGGCACCATGGGCTATGAAGTTGTGCAAAGCAACGTAAAGTGCTTCGGATTTTGACTCGTCATATATGCAAGAACCGCCCCATACGTCGCCCATATGATGGACCTTGGCCTTGAACTGGGTGACAATACCAAATTGGCTTCCGGAACCACGCATGGCTTGCGCAAGATCAGGATGTTTCGCAGCGTTGACGTTAACAATGGATCCGTTGGCCATGACGGTCTCCCATTCGACGATGTTCTAAGGCCAGTCAGTATGAATCTCATCAAGACATTGTGCGCAAACTGACATCAGCAGCGAGGCCTTCTTGAGCACCAAGGAACGATAAACCTCCACCCAAAAGCAACCCGCCGACACCGACGAGACCTTTGTTGTATTAGTCGGGGTTCTCAATCATCTGTAATATCTCAAACTTACCAAGCCTTCCTCCAGCAATAGCCACTCCACTCTTCTCTAGATCACCAATAACATCGTTCCACTCACCACCAGGGCGAACATAGGCAACGTCCTCTGCTGCATCGTACGTCGCTCCAACTAGACTGGTCATAGTGATGAGAACGCCGTCTTGAACAGCAGCATGATTCGTGTTTGGGTCGTGCCCTCCACTTCGAGTTGCAAGCTTAACAGTAGGGTACTTGTTCAGGATCTTGATAGCGATGGATACATCCTGAGCAGACTCTGGCTGAACAATACATGCAGGGTCGACTTCGCGGAGATTTGTAGCCCAGTACTGCTGCGTCTCATGCTCATATTCAAGCTTGAGAAGCCCAGGGGTCAAGACTTTGCCAGGAAGAGCGTTACTGATATCTTTACACGCTTTGGTAGTGGCCTCGGTAGGAATGGCAAGAGCAGATTGGGCTCCTAAAAGCAGGCTCGCAAGTACGAAAGACGCGAGTTTGTCCATGTTGGAAGTCAACGAAAGTGATAAATGAGCGAAAGATCAATAACAGCGATGGAAAAACAATGAAGCCTACAAGAACAACCTTCCCAGGGCGAGGTGCATTAAGTACTATCTTCTGAGTCTCCCCGATGTTGAATCGAGATGCCTCCGGTCTTCCCTCCGGACGCCACGGCAGCCATGCAGAGATGCAGCGCATCTACTCAAGCTGGGTACGCCCTTGACCAGGGCAGGTCGCGTGGAAGAATCATGGAATACGGTAATCCCCTCCAATGGCGATCCATGACTAAGGGAACAAATGCAGATCGTGTGTGAGGGCCTGCAAAGCTTACAGACTTGAGCCGGATTCGAGCCCGATATTTGAGGGGAATAGACGCACGTCGTACTCGTGCTATATCGTCTGCTAAAATGAGTATTTAGCCTGGATGGGACAGGACACATGCAGCCCTGAGGAAGGTTCTCGGTTGCTGATTTGCAGTCCCGTTACCCGGAGGCTTCGTGGGATAAGCAGAGGGTGTGATGATGGTCATGGTGGAGACACTGGTGGTGGGTCCAAACTCAGGGGAATAGAACTTTTGTGGCATTAAACTTCTGGGCCATCTGACTGATATGCACGCCCAGGCACACTAAAGAAGTATATGGCGCTGGCGAGCACGATAATTGATGAGTCGAGAGTGGAGGTGGACACGAAAACGAACGGCAGCGATTATCGCAACAATGACAACATGGCTGTATGCAGGGCTGTTATAGACGGGCATGGTGGTCGCGATGGTCGCAGTGGCACCATGTCCACGTCGGATGGGGTCGTGGCGGAAGGTACGGAACGTTTTGGGGTCCGAGCTTGGTCGGTTGCTCCTTCTACCTGGGCGCCGGAACCCTGGGATAAACAAACATTGGACGAGAAGCTCAAGCTCAACGACGCCGCTACATCCGCCGCCGGCAGCCGACCACGACGGCTGCGACGACCATGGACTCGTACAATCTCAAAACCGCATCGACTTACATCAACAACCTACTGCTTGCCCGGGGCTTGTTGCGCAATGGCAAGCCGATTGAGTTTGCGCATCCATCGAGGGGAGAAGGGGGGAAAGAGGCCACCATGGCCCAGATTATCAACCTGGTGCACGACTTGATACTGAAGCGCGACGTAGGCAAACATGCATGTTCCACGGAAGAGAGGATCCTAATGAGTAGATAGCGCGACCAAGAATACCGCGAATCCATCGCCGACACGTTGCGAAACTTGCGCTCAGAATCGACGCGCCAGACGGCCGCCCTCGAGAAGCAGCACAACCGCAATGCAGACCTATCGAGGCAGCTCTCGCTCGCCCAGGCGCAGGAGCAATCCGCGCGCAAAGCCCTGCACACTGCCGAATCGTCGGCGCGAAAGTTGCGCGCAGAGATGCAGCGACTCAAGACGACCGTCGACCAAATACGCACCAGCTGCACCAATGACGTACGAAAGCGCGACAAGGAGATCGCAAGGCTTAAGAGCCACTTGACGAGCCAGCAGCGGGGCAACAAGACGGGCTTGGTAGGCGCCAGCATCACCATTAATCCCGGGAGTACAGGCTTGAGCGCTGCCACAGGCCATGTGCGCGAAGAGACACCCAATGTAGACGATCCCGAATATAGCCTGAAGCAGGAGACGACCGAGTTCCTGACACACTTGAGTCAGAGCCTGAGCGACGAGAATGACAACCTCATCGGACTCGTGCGAAGCACTCTGTTGACACTGAGGGAGCTACAAGGCATGCCGGAAGTCAGTTGCAAACAAGACACAGAAGAGAGTTCGGTCGTAGGCGATGACGAAGACGATGCGCGACAGGACATGCTGCACGCGCTACCCACCGATTACGAGACATTGGCCGATGACATGGACACAGTGCTGGACAACCTGAAGAACCTCCTCACAAACCCCAACTTTGTGGCAGTGGACGAAGTCGAGATGCGTGAAGAGGAGATACACAGGCTACGAGCAGGCTGGGAGAAGATGGAGGCCCGACTACGAGAATCATTTATACTCATGGACTCCTGGCGAAAGCGCATGACCAACGGCGACACCATCAACCTCGATGAACTCAGAATGGGATTGGGGTTCGGTGAAGGATTCGAGATGGTCGACAGAGAAGGCTTCTCTACAATTCAGGAAGAGAGTGAGGCCGACGATGCCGCAAGTTCAGCCTTGGAAGAAGATGTGGATGATACCGAGGAGCGGGAAGAGGAAGATCAACTTCCCTCACCTGCACCGCACGAACAACCAGACAAAACAACTGGGCCTGACATATTCAGGATTAAGCTGCAACCTAGTCAGACAGCGCTTAGAGAGAGCAACGGTAACAAGCCACCCATCCGGTCGCCTCGCAAGGTAGCCTTTTCAGCTTCCATTCCGAACACACCGTCGCAACTTGACGAGGAAAATGCAGGCGCGTCTGAGATAGATCTAGTGGAAGTGGAGAAGACTAGTCGTCCGACCTCTGCAGCCAAACAACCAAGATCTGAAGAACGAGCATCTAGACGAACGAGTCAAGACAGACCACGCCATGTACGTTATGATCCCCCCACAAACCAGGTCAGAAAGGTGGACAGCAAAGTGGTCCTCTCATTCCCATCAACTTCCTCCCTTGTAATGGGCACACCTCCAATATTAACCCCCGTCGTTCCATAAATCTAACAACTTGCGACAGAATAAAAAGCGCCTGTCGAGCCCACATGCGCACCCCGACGAGCGATCGCCGAAGCTATCGGTCCAAGACAAATTACGAGAGGCCGCGGAAGCAGCCGCTGTAACCGACGGAGACATCTCCACCAAGAAGACGGACGAGAGCACCGAAGTGCCCGAAGAAAACCCTAAGAAGCGGGCACCCAGGTCTCCAGTCAAGACGCGAGTCGGTGGAAGGCCAAAGAGGAGGAAGAGCACACTGACGCCAGAAGAATTGGCAAACCTCCTGGGCTGCTAGACCGGGTCGAAGCATACATTGTACTGATAATGGCAACATTAAGTTGGACTTGATGATTCCTTATGGCTGCATCAGCGTCTAGTCATGCAAGATCGTACGATCAAGCCGCTTCCTGTCGAGATGCGAGCTTTGCATGTTGAGGAACCAGTCGGTGGAGTGGCTGGTCTGCGTGACCATCATTCTACGCTAACGGGCAGGCCATGAACGCCAGTGTGCCCGTAGCCTCCATGTACTGGTTGCGGCGCGTATGCTGAGATTTGTGCTCAGCTGGTCTATCAGATCTCGCTGGGTCTACACGTGCACTCGCATAATTTTGATCAAATAACGAGTATGGAAGGCCATGGTTTTGAAGGACGTCAAGGAGAGACGCCCTATCTCATCATGCAGATGGTCGATGGCACAGCAGCAGCTCAGCGTCTCCCCTGCTTCTCGTGTACCCAGGGGACCGAGCACCCGATAGCAATGACATTTACTTAGTGGAGATGCCCGTCGTCGGGCAACGAGAATGTCACGTCTGCTGTCGCTTCCCGTACCTGATGTCGAAGTGTTGTGCCTCTTCTGTTCCGCCGCGTTTCCACCTCATTCCATTTTCCCCTAACAGACCAATTTCTTCTAAAAACCATGCCGTTGCATGCACATTGTGCACATCATCACTATCGACTCCGGTTTTCTCCCACATGGTGGACATTGTGACCGGAATGTGGCCGGAGAAATGGCTTATGCTGCATTCAAGTGAAGTTGGCGATGGGATGTTGTGGTTGGTCGGCATTGCAAGCCACTAAGTTTATTAGCCGCCCATTGTCCCCGTTCGGGACATTTGGTGATGGACGGTATGGAGCTGCGCTCAGACGATTGGACAGAAGCTGAGATGCGGGTACGAAAAGACTGTAAATAGGCCTGTATGCGGCAGGGAGGATGGCTGCAGCGCCATCAAGGTAGCAGCCTTGGAAAGTAAATTTCTCTGCATCTGTCGTCAGCCCTCGAGCCACAATCCCCCGTTGAATCTGCAGTGTGACAGAAACTTATCTGCACCTTGCACATCCCGACATCACATGGCTCACCCGGCTTCTGCCTCTCATTGGTTTGGTGTTTTCACCCCAAGCCAGTGCGCTGCGTGACGGCCCACTTATGTATTCCCCGCCCGCATCAACGAATGAGGGCACAGAAGCAAGACGCCCGGCTACACACGACAAGGCCGCCCACCACTCCCACTTCACCATCAAGCGCTCGCCGTACATTCGATAGACTGCTCTCCACACCCGCTACCAGCTTGCACCCTGCGAACATGGCGTGTGTACGCAGCCCAGGTAATCAATCGCTACCGGGAGCTGCGGGACCTGGCCCATAGGCAGCGTAGTGCAATACGCCGGTTTGCCAGCCCCTCGCTAACGCCCAATTGTCGCTCAGCAGCTGTGCGATGCAGTGTCTATAGATAAGTAGGCCTGGAGCCGCTCACATCTCGTCTTTTTTTCTTCAGCAAGTGTGTCAAGTTCAGAGCTGTTGTGTTCGTCTTTTGTCTATTCTTTTTACCCCTCCCCTTCTCCCTCTCTACTCTCTCCCCAGGCCTGGTGCCATCTAATAATCACTACTCCATCGTCGACCTTTATACCCACCCTTTTTTACAGTAATCCAATTCTTTGTGGCCGGTCCACTTCAACGTAATACACAGTTCTACTTGCTCGAAACGAACTTTCAAACTCACAACGACAACGCAATACTCGCAAACCTCGACGAAACTCTCAACACACACAGCTTCATCAGCAATCTTGACGTCTATCCATTAGTTTGGCATTGGACGAATTGAAAGAAACGATTACATCATAATATCAATCTTTAAAACAGAAAGAAAGAAATAAAATCACAATGGCCGCTATCCAGCTCAATTTCACTCTCCGCACCTCCTCCAACTGCAAAACCGTGCACTTGCTCGGTTCCTGGGATGGCTATCAGGGTCAGCTCCCACTTTCCAAGGATCCCAAGAAGTCCGGTGGCTGGGTCGGATCATTCAAGTTCCAAGGACAGACTCTGAAGCAGGGACAGCGTTACTGGTACTACGTACGTATTCAATCTCATGTATCATGCGATAAGCTGGAAGCTTACAATTACCCAGTACATCATCGACGGCTACCACGTCTCGCACGACCCCGCCAAGGATCACACCACCGAGCCCACAACTGGCCGCAAGCTTAACATCATCGATATCCCGGCTGCCAAATCGACCTCAAAGACAACTACATCCAGCTCAGACCGCAAATCACGCCGCGTCTCGACCGCTTCCATTCCCAAGGGCCGCGGCCTTAGCCCAGAGCGTATCGTCGCACCAAAGCCACAACGCCCACACGAGACGCGCCAGGTTATCAACACTCAGTACGACAAGACAACACTTGAGGACCTCAACCGCCGCTTCGCCAAGCAGCAAATCGCAGAGTCGTCCGACGAATCAGACTACGACTCTGACGAAGGCTCCGATGTTCCCTCGCTCACTAGCCGCTCCACAAACAGCTCCAGCCCATCCAGTGTGAGCTCTGGTAGCTCATGCTGCACTTGTGAGGTAAGCTGTGACTGTACAGAATGCACTTAAGACATACGCTAACTTCATGTCACAGCGCTACGGCATTACGCGCGCTGGTGACCGTGTCAAACTCGACTGTGGCGGAGCTCGCTGCGGATACTCCGACGATTCATCTGACTGCTCCTCTGAGGACGAGTACGTGTACGAGGAGAAGACCACCCGCCGCCAGGGTGTCGTCATCCGCACCTAAGTGCATCCCGGTGTCTATCTGGATACCATTGTGCCGACGTCGTCACCTGCACCCCTACATTCTTCTTTGCAGTGTGCCGTTGCGTCATTTTCAACATTTTTCTTCTGTGCATATTATGATTACGAATCTTCTTTCTTACCTTGTCTATCAACGACAATCAGCCTCGTATTTGCAGGCTGGTCTTCCGCTCTTTTGGGTATTTATGACGGGTTATTGCTGCTGGTACTGGGGCTTCCCATGGGTTTACGGATGGGTATGACGAGGCAACTGCCTGCACCTTATGACAATAGCTTAACAAGCTGATCAAGGACCATCACGACGCTGATGTCCACATTGTGCCAATGCACGCTCATGTAGGAACACTATAGTTTATTGAATCTACAAATTCGCATGGGCTCGTGCGCGGAAAAGATACCCTAGCATTCGAGATACTTTTCATGAGTGATCACCCGGTTTGAGAGTAGTGAAGTCGTGCCGTCATCCTACATCGATGCGTCACAGATAATGGTACAAAAAAGTTCGTCTTTTCAGAGTTGTGCGCTGAGGATCAAAACCTATCCTAAAGATGTACACACTGGTTCACTTGATAGCTTTCGAAAGTCGATAAGCATGCATAGCCTGGACATTGGTCTTGGTTTCTATGGGACAGCTTAATTAAAACGAACTTTTTCACAACTGTGATCAGGTTATCTGAGGTGGTCATGGCGTCCACAGTTCTCTGATCTAGGGTACCTTTTCACTAATAGATTCAACCCAGAGAATAACCATGTCCATCGTCTCAAAATGGAAACAACAATCGCTATCAGCGCAGTATGATACGAATACGTAAGCGAGACGAATGCAACCCATCCGACATGTTTAGAGCACATGACCCCACCTCGCTGCAAGGCATTCCACAATCCTAGTGTGAGACATCTCAGCCCATCATCGGCCTCCACCCAGCTGCATCGCCAGATCTGGATTCGGTATCACGCCAGGATAATTAAGACTAGTCGGATTCCACCCGCCCCAATAAGGATACCCGCTAAGCACTAAGCATTACTATACGTTTGACGGCAACAAATTCACATTGAGGCTGTGATTTTGCGATGCAGGACAAGGTACTGATAGTGCTAGTGGTGGAAATGGAAGTGTACACTAGTGAGAACACTTCTATGGGTAGGCTCACGTAAGGCGGGATCCTAATGTCAAGCCGATTGGCTTTAGGGCATATGATTGGAGTGGCTCCAACGACTAATTTGCCGAGGTTCCTGATATCTTCTTGATAGCTTGGTCCAGCCAATTGACATGTCTTATCCTGTGGCCGTCTAGGATGTGTTTCTTGTTTTACGCTGTGCGATTTAGAGTACTGCTGAGTCGGTAACCAAAACCTGCACTGGCTTGATGAGACTATGAACGACAGGGCAAACCTGAACGAATGAAGATACAGGAACGCTTCATATCTAGATGAGGCAATGTAAGCATTGCCATCGCCTGTCAAAGTATTTGTCCGATGTCCAATCAAATTTACTGAATCGACTTCTCATCCGTAGAATCTCCTTTGAACTTTGAGCTAATGCAGGGGTCCTTTGGAGCACCAGCATATCGGTGACGGTAAATTCTGGCCGACCATGGGCCCACGACCCGTCTTGCCGTTGTGGATACAACGGCTGAACACCCAGCGTCTTTACGAGCGGCCCACAAGGGTGAATGAGGGTCCCGGCAGCGACCGTTCGGGAAGCCTTCGGCTGGGACGCATGTATTACTAGATCTAGAATGTAACGATCCGGATTCAATTTTTATAGGCCAGCGAATGAAGCAAGAGATGCGCCAAGGGTTCTCGAAGTATCATGGAAGCCTAACTTGGAATATTAGCTTGAAACAGAGAGCCCTGGTTAAACAGACTAGGCATAACAATAATCCAAGTACGGGTAGTCTTAGTGAATATCTTGTTCGCTCCAGTTTGAACAATGGGCTCCTCCAAATCTGATCGATACACCGACGTGCTAGAAACATCGAGTATCGTCAAGGGTACAACTTCGATATGTTCCGAGTCTAGTGAGCAGATGAGAGCGCAGGGAGAATCTGGCCAACCGATGGCAAGAAGCAATGGATGCCTAGCTCTCAAGCTATGACCGTAGGATAGCCACGCAAGCCGCAGATACGAAAATGAAAGAACTAAATTTCTCCAGCGGCAGTCGCGGTATCCCTGAATATGGAAACGTGACCTCTTCGCCCTGCGCCCGAAGCTACGCGTGGTCGATTACAGCTTGGATTCGTGAGCTTGCAGCGGAAGCAACGGCCCTCGTAGAGCCATGACGAGGCGCATCGTATCCACGGGGTCGTAAGGATTCCGAAAGACTGTGGCGCAATCAGCCGAACCGCCGAGATCGTAGGTGCCGAATGTTGTTCACCGGCGACGTCGGAAACGGCCGGAGTATGAGTCGACCTGCAGTGTGGTCGGAGTATGGTCGAGATCTGTGATAGTGCAGAGAAGTATGATGCGATGATGAGTGGAACGGAGAGTGGCGGTTCTCACACCGACGGATATGGTGAGTATTGGGTATGTACTGGGAGGTTTGTAAGGTGAAGAAGCGGTAAAGTAGCAACCCGCTAAAAGTGGGTCCCCTTGGCGAAGATGACGTCGCACTGAACTCTTCAACACGCTACGATGCTTCACTCCAGCACCTGGACACGAATTGAGCTAAGAGTATACCATCTTGTCGGGTTGAGTCAGATAAAAGTATGGGAGAAAAGTGGGGCAAGATTCTCCGTCTTGGAAGAATAGGCTTCATTGCTGTGGCGCCTTGCGCAAGGCAGACTCAAACGTGTTCGTAAAAATAGCACAAAGATGTTGAAGATTAACGCTACGAACGGTGAGTAAGAAGATCAAATGATCTAGACTGATAACACTACTCCCAGTTCTACCGGAGATGGGAATATTCGTAACTCCCAAGTCCTCGTGATCGTACAATGTGGACCGAAACAAACGCCGCCATCCGTTACTTCCGTCTTCCATGCATGTAGCCCATCATAACAAACCCGAGACCACTTGAACTCCATGGTAATGCGTATATTTTCGAAATTGTGAAAAGGTGCGAACGTAAAATTGCTGAATTGACAGCACAGAGGAACCAGCTCAGGAAGATAAAGTGCGTAGTGATGAGCAAGTAGGCGTTATGAGAAAGGCCATAGTCCAGTCTTCGCAGCTGAATGAGAGTCTCCATACACAGCTCCGTGGGTTTATCGTAGGTATGCCGGAGAGTATCCACCGCTTCCGTAACCGGAGTCTGGTAGGACGCCTGTATGGTAGGCTTGAGGTCGATGGTTGCTATGAGTACTGCAAGCGTAGCCGACAAGAACCGTCTTCTCTTGGATACCATGTCCCCGTTGACCATGAGCGGCGCATGGATCAATTGCGTGTTTGTAGTACAAGCATCGGCAGACTGAATAGCGTTCAATGACTTGGTAGCACATGTTGACGGGTACTCGTGTGTGTGCGTGTGTGTGTGTGTGTGTGTGTGTGTGTGTGTGTGTGTGTGTGTGTTGGTGTCCGATAGTAAAAAGGTGGTAGAGAGATTGTAAATATTTGATATAGCTTGAATGCAACGATATGAAGCAGTAGAGAAATGTGACAGGCGTGGAATGAGACGTGTAGTGATGAATCCTGACTCAACCTGACAAGCCGTAGCATATATACCAACGGGAGTGAAGACAGTCAGAACGCATAGGCTAGTGTGGGCCACATTCGGTAGGCATCGTTGACTATCCGCAGGTCCGTCAGGCAACGGGGACCAAGTGTAGGGATGAGTGCACAGTCAGCCGGCCGCTGCTAAGATGGGATTCTCAGAGGTAACCAACACAGCCATTGCGGCCGTTAGCTTGTCGACGATAGTAAAAGAGGCATGGTCCTGATACTCGGCAGGGGTTCGTAGTTGGCTTCTTGGAGGCTCTTTAGCTGCCGTAGATGGTGCGTAACATGTTCTGATTGGTCTCTGGTTGGTACCATGTAATATGCCCTGATCGCTGAGCACATCAGTAGAGCTATGGACAAGGCACGCAGCAGAGCAAAGATGCATAACAAGTCTTTGCGCGGAGGGAGCTAACCGGGGATGCAAAACCCCTGTAGCGCGCGGACCATGTGAGCGTGCCATGATACTGCACAATAGCTCATGCGCAAATCGGTGCGGACGTTAGCAAAGTAGGTGTCACGATACCTGCGTGAATCTAATCGTATCTGACAGCTGGCTGGGTTCAGCCACGCTTCCTGATATAGTGATGGCTCGGTGGACACGGAGGGGCAGTGACTTTTCTGACGTCGATTACTCAGGCTCGGGCCTCTTCGCGGACCACGGCGCTTTCGCTGGAAGGTACTCGGTTGGCCCGTTGCGCCTACCGGGCGCTGTTACCGATCTGAAGGTCTATTGTGCGAAGAAGAACGCGAGTACGACGACGTGGACGTCGAGGTTGGGGGTGGAGGGCACGTGCAGGGAGTATCGCTCCAATGGGATTCCGTTGTGGGGCAATTGGCAGCATGAGGTATTCTTGGTCCTTCCGCCCTTCCCCATTGATCACCTCTCAATGGACCCAAGCCATCTAATTGCACAGTCGATGACTTTACATGGCTGCGCGAGCTATCCGTTTTCACCATCATCCTGTCGAACTGCATGGGCCTGTGGAACTGCCTGGAGCTTCAGGCTGACCAGCTGAGTGCTGCCTGGAGACCTACACGTTGACGCACCAGCGCTACCGTCGATATTTCGAAATAGCTATTTGTTCGCTTCCACTATTGGTCGCGACCACTTACTGAGTAACTTTCTGCATCTGTCGACCATGCAAAGGCCCCTCAATTGCGTCCAGGATCAAGCACACCGCCAAAATAATCAGATGCGGACAGCTTCAAGATACCTCGCTCGCGTCATAAGTTTATCCAAACAGTCTGGTCGATCCAACGGCAATCTTTTGGTTGGTGCGCGCGTGCGCCAGGTCCCCTGTTGGGACTGAATACCCTGCTGCCGGCTCTGGTACGCGGCTCGAGGCTGACCTGCAACGTTCGACAGTCATGCAGCCCTATGCATCCTCCCGTTTCCTGGAAACACGTGGTGGCGGTCAACATGTCTCACGCAGCCCTACCACGATTGCATCTCCGACCACCGGTCACGTCTTTCACGACCACAACCACAGCTTTCTCTCGCATGGTTGGGATCGTTTCGAGAGAGTGTGGGTGTCACACCCGCCACATAATAGGATTACTTGTTCCAGCGAACGAACACTTTAGGCCCGCAATCTACCAGAGCATTTGGCCCCCTTTCTGCGTCTGGTCTCATCAGAAGACTGTGATGGTGTAACAATACTTGGCTTGACCCTTGAATCAACCAAGGCTGTTGTGTTTCGTCGTAATGGTGCGTACAATCGAGCAGTGACTTCATCTTTGGGAAGCCCGACGAGCACAACCACAATCCAGCTGGGCCAAGGGCAATAGGCAGCACCACAAAATAATTCCGGAGAGCAAACACTATACCGGCCGCATCTGCAACCTTCGCATGTAATCGTGTCTACCTCTAGGTGCCAGCCAAAATATAGCAACAGACCGGAATGCGACGCACTGCGTCGGGTGTCCCTTTTCCTCGGCCTTAAACTCCAACAAACTCATGATGACGCGCGTACGCGCACACTTTAGTTTGTCATAACTGGAGTGAAGAAAACACAGCATCGATCATGAGATAGGTTAGCCAAGGAATGAAGATGCTATATTGCAAGCGCCACGAAGCTGACAGAGCAGCCTTACCACCGATATATACCCGCGCTTCGTAGTCCTATCATATCCTGCAGAAACCTCTGCATGGGCAAGCGAGCACTGCCTGTTTAGGCCGACTATCGCTTCATATGTTCCCAAGTAGCAATTACACGATAGTCTACTTCACCGCTTCGACCCCGCGTCAGCTGACTTGCATCAAGCCAAATACCCCACGCACAATCTCGCCCACCCCTTCCATAGATCTGGGACCGGGCGACTGTCTCGGGTCCTATAACGATGTCGGCACTGCCTAGTTACCACTCACCGGAAATAGGGCAAACGATATGCTCGACGATTCCCCCAGATGTCCGACAGAAATACCGATGATGTTGAGTGCCAGATCACACCTAGGCTCGTCCATAGATGGCATACACCGCCTTCTCTTTATCTCCGGATGTGTTTGCTGCAGTGGTACCCCACATGTTGGTGCCACAAAAGCGCAACAACATGTGGATCTGCGACGAGGCGGCACGGTCTTGACCGGAATTCCTGCGTTTGGTATAAGCGAACCGGCATTCTCAGTGAGCCAAGGGCGGCTACGAATGGAGCATATTCATTCCCAGATAGCTTAGACAAGATATACATGTACTGTAGCTATACTTATGGCTTTACATTTAGATAAGCTGACGCCAAAGCACAAAGTGGAATCGCCATGTCAATATGGTGCAAATAAAGTAATAGGTAAATCTTTAGTATGGATTGGTAACGTATAAATGAAATCCTAAAAGCCGATGGATACCAACAAAGAAATAGACTTGAGGGTATCACCAAATCATCCTCTAGTGCCAACAGGATCAACTATCTCTTTGAAAACAGGATCCTCCAAAGCAAAAACAAAAATCTCCAAGCGCCTCAGTGTTCTTCTAAGCAGTCGTAGCATCATAATATTATACATCTCCAAACGACGAAGCCAAGTGTTGAGGTGTCTTTACATGAGGACACCAGCAAACACCATCATGCCAAGGGCATAGTACCCAGCGTACTTTCCAACCTTCAAGTTGATAGCTGCGCTGTCATCATCAGAGCCACCAGGCGCAGTAGTACCCTTTTCAAGAGTACCGTTGAGAACAAGAGTCTTGGTACCGTTGACATCTGAGACGGTGACAAGAGTCTTGTTGAGCGCAGCATAGCTGCCATTGCCAACAAGGTCGTTGAGATACTGCTGATCATCGTTCTCGTCGCAACCACATACAAAGCCCTCCTCGCACACACACATGACAGGGAGAGACTCGTTGCGGCCCTGGGTTTGACGGACCCATAATTCGCGGCGGTCGTTGTTATTGTTGTTGTCGTTGTCGTCGTTGGTGGCGGACTGATTGTAGAAGCGGTAGGGATTGTTGTAATGGTAGGGATAGGTGCTGTACAACCACAGACCGGGCATGATGAGCAGCATAGTAGCAGGCAGGAGCAGGGCACCGGCAATGAGTCCCTTGGGCGTCCGTGAACCAGCGGTGTAGGGTGTTGCAGCGCCGCCGCCGTAATACCGTCCGCCAGCGAAAGTGCGCGGTCGACCTGAGCCTGCACTTGTGGAACCACCAGCATTCGAGGTTGACGATGTACGTCCGGGGGTGCCGCCTCCGCTGCTCCCACCTGAGCGACCGCCTCCGCTGCTGCTGCCACCACTGCTTCCCCCTCCTCGTCCTCCTCCTCCTTTGCGACGCTCTAGGGTATGGTCTGGTGAGACAAGTTCAGAGGCAGGGACAACTCGTCGGTCTTCGAGGACATTGAGGGCGTTTGATTCCGGTATCGATGCGGCGCTGATTGCCTGTGCGGCAACGAGGCCGGTGAGGAACTGTGAGAACTTCATGGTGAAGTTGATGTGTGAGGGTGATACGAGAGGGTCGCGGATGTAATGCACGACGCCAAGTGTCGGGTCGAGGTAATACCGAGAGAGTTACAAGGATGTTATGGTGGTAGTGGAGTATGCGAGAGAAGAGCGTAAGAAGTTTGCTCTGTGATTGTGTAGCAACTTGCTAGGTATAGGGTTGGATCAATGTACGACTTTGCGAAGAGGCAGGCGTGGGTCTTTAAGGTTACGCCGGTCAGAGACATGGGTTGCACTGCCCTGCGTCATGAAAGAAAGCCTGGGGCAAAGGGTAAAGCTTGGTCAGTTGGGACCCGCCACCCTGCCAGTTAAGGCTAACCTTGTAATTTGAATTGGGTGCCTGACAAGCTGCCGGCGATCCTACCAATCTATGGGCTAAATTGTATGGATCTTTTGTGGCTGAACTGTGTTGCTCTTTGGGCGACGGTGAGCAGGTGCCGCAGAAGCGCCGTTAATCTGCTAGAACAAGCGCAGGACTGCACAAGTTGCCAGACCGAAGTTGGATACCTGCTCACTGTGGACCACAACTTGAGCCTCCCCCCGGAGAATCTTTCGTTGTCCAATATTCATGACGTGCGAAACGATCAAGCGTATCGAATTACTCGGGGAAGATGACCTCATGGTCGCTGATCTGCCGAGGCGCTAGAATGCTTTCCGAACCAGATGTGTGGCCAAACGCATCACAGGACGAGGAACCAACAAACCAGAGGAGCAAGCTCAGCCGAATATCCGATTGCGCCTCGATGTTGTTTGTTAGTGAGAGGCATTGTAATCGCTATGAATCACTGCCATAAAACACCGTCATTGGTGCGCATATGTGCTCGGGCGCATTAGACGTATAGCGCGGAAACAGTAAACGCCAAGAGCGCAATCTTATGTATTGCCGCTGCATGCAGCATTGGGCACAAATAATAACGGATCTTGTACGCTGAATGTCTTAGTATCGAAGCACATGGCGCTTTGTTGGCACGACCTGATAACGGAAAACGGGCAGCATCGTGGCAGAATTGACAACAGGGACCGGAGTGGAAGTCTTGGCAATTGTGACAGAACATGATGTGCTACAACGCAGGGCGCCTGAAAAGTAAACGACGCTTTGTGATTGTTGGATATTTGGTTCCACGACCTTGCTTCTTTCTTCCGCTTGACCGTCTCTCTCTCACATAACTTCTTGTTGTGCGTCCAAGCGACTTGGCTATCCGACACGACTAACCCCCGTTCCAAATAAGCTTTCCCACGAATGATGCTGATTTGTTCGCGTGTGCCGATATGTTGTTTACTCCACATGCCAACCAAATAGCCAGGCCTCGAGCCGTTTATGCTCGCGAGGCTGTGTATACGCCGGTCCCTTGGTCTGGGTTCAACGGGTGGCGCAGCCAGGGCACGTGGTAAGCCTCAGGCTTCGTGACCGCGACTGCGGATAGCAAGTCTGTTGTGGCAAGGTGCCCACTGTTCACCGGCCTTTGTACAGCGGATATGGTTTACTCGGGGTATCATCGCCCTTGATGTGGTGGTTCGGCGGGGCCTCCATCCGACACTGTCTGATATTTCAGATATTCCTTCTCCAGTTCTCTCTGCATCTCAAAGTCTGCCTGTCGCTCGCGCTTGATTCGCTGCTGTTCGAAATCGCGGATGACGCCCATGTGCATTGCCTGCTACAAGTCAGATATAGTTGCCTGACCATGTCGACTCTAGAACACTCACTGCCTTATCGGCCTTTTGCGACCAATGCACAAACGCGACGGTGCCAATCGCTGTGACACATGTAGTCGCCAGGGTAATCTGAGACGCTCGAGACATGGTGGGGATCGTGGAGTGATGTCGAGGTAGGTGAAAGAGCCTTGTGTAAATTGGAGCGGGACCATGGCGGGAAGGAGCTTGGGCCTTGGAGCACCTGCCGCCAAGTCCACGGCTGCATCATGCCTCTCCGCAACTCAACCCTGTGATAACCAACATCCCCACGATACCATACTCAAGATGGCGAGTCTACATGTAGCTGTAGGCTGGAATCTTCGCTGACAGCAACAGTCCGCCCAAAACTCCCAGGGTATCCAGACCCTGCTCGACGTAAGGCAGCGCAGCCCAGTTCAACCTCCGCATAGCTCACATAGCACCTAGGCCGAGCGCGAAGCTCAGAAGATTGTCCAGCAAGGTATTTCGCGTTCCAAACTGCTGTGCGGACGCAGCTGCTAACTTCTCAACAGCCAGAGAATGTAATCAACGCCCGTCATGCCCTGCTGAAGCAGCGCTCTAACCTATCCAGACCGTACCAAGCGAGTCAAGGACGCCCGAAGCGAAGCACAGAAGGAGATCGAGGACTACAGAAAAGAGAAGGAGTCTGAGTACCAGAAGTTCGAAAAGGAGGTGTGTTGGTGGACATGATGCTCTGTATACGTAACGGACGTTCAAGGCTGACTATGGCGCAGCACAGCTCAGGCAACCAGAAGGCTGAAGAAGATGCGAAGAAAGACACAGATGCCAAGGTCAAGGAGATTGACGAGATTGGCAACAAGTCCGGCAGCAAGGTTGTCGATCAACTTATCGAAGCAGTCGTAAATGCGCACCCCAAGCCACCAGGCAAGCAGGATTAGAGCGCCGACATGGTGAATTTGGATGGAGAACAGAGTCAGACGAGTGAGATACGGGAGAGACCTATGGCGAAGAGCGTTCCTTGTACATGACCTTTGATGGACCTAAGACAGCCAAGGTCGATGTACCACCTCGAAATACAAGCAACAGGCGATTTACCGCAAGTACGGTGGATGTAATCAAATTCAGCATGCATACTTCCTAAGCTTTGCTAGTCAAGACGGTTATCAGGTTTTCAAATGCATCTAGGTCTTACTAGCACCGTTGAGTTGCAGACACTATTAGATTCTGAACATATTCCCCTTCTACTGCGCTTGTCGTATCATACGTATGAATCTCTGCTTTTATCTGCCAGGGAAATCCAAGGCAGGCTCACATCTCGATCCATGACATGCATCTACATCTCTCTCGTTGCGGACCCTGGCCCACGTCGATGGATCGTCGCTAGCTTCCCGAGGTCAGGCCTACGTCACCGCTGTGGAACTTTGTAGTCTGAGTCTCAACGCGCCTCCAAACCGCAACACAATGCGCTACACCCAATGATACGAATTTGTGCTCGAGTGACGACTCGCTCGTCTGCGAACAAAGCCACGCCATTTCGAAACTCACCGATATACACGGCTCGCCAATTTAGCAGCTCGCAATGGCGCAAAGAAGACCCGCGCATCTCAGACTTTGGTCGCGAGATCGTAGATGAGTTTGCCGTGATGCGCGAGAAATACGGTACATCCACGCCAAATTCGCACCCATATCATGACAACAGCTAAAGTTCTGTAGATACGCCTGTATGCGACGTACTCCTTTCCAAACCGCAGCTCCTGACACTCGTAGAAACACACCATAGTCCTTGCCCACGGTTTACTAGGCTTCGATGAACTACGAATCGCCGGGCAGTTTATACCGGGCATACAATACTGGCGCGGCATAACAGACGCACTGGCGCACAAGGGCATTGAGGTCATCGTGGCTGCAGTTCCGCCTAGTGGAAGCATTGAGGCGCGGTCTGCAAAACTGGCTGAGAGTATTGCGGTCAAGGCAAAAGGTAAACAGGTTAACATTATCGCGTAAGTTACGAGACTGGAATACAACGTACTGGTGACAGTTCGCTAATCGCTCGCAGACATAGCATGGTACGAGCTACACTATCATGGTGTAATACGTAGTGGCTGACCTTTGCATAGGGGTAATGATCATCTGCACCTGACCACAACGACTACTAAGCATGCGCAGAGGCCTCGATTCGCGTTACATGATTAGCCAGCTCCGACCGACCGACTTTAAGATACTTTCCTTGACCACTATAGCCACTCCACATAGGGGCTCTGCCTTTGCAGACTACATGTTTCAGACGATCGGTCGTACGTCAAGGACACATTCTTGGAAGAAATTCACTAAACCATTCCCAGCTCGTCGGATCAAACGTGTCTACAGTGTTATGGAGTACTTTGGCTTTGAGACTGGTGCCTTCTCGCAACTCACGCAAGAGTACATGCAGAACAGCTTCAACCCCAAGACGCCAGATATACCAGATGTCAGATACTTCTCGTATGGTGCGTCTCTCGAACCGACTCGATGGTCCGTCTTCGCACCTTCGCATGCCATTATCAAACAGAAAGAGGGTGTGAACGACGGACTAGTCAGGTGTGTATACAGCTCGCGTTCATTATGCTCAATACCAACTAAGCACCTCAATAGTGTCCAGTCCAGTCGCTGGGGCGATTACAAAGGCACTCTGATTGGTGTAAGCCATCTCGACCTGATCAATTGGACCAATCGTCTTAAGTGGTTCTTTTGGGAGCTCACAGGTAGCAAGCGCAAGTATGAAGTCGCGATTCATAACCTAGTCTGAGTCAAGGCTGACAAAAAACAGTTTTAATGCTATTGCATTTTATCTTGATATCTGCGGTCAGTGATGACCCTTCCAACCATGTACAATTGATTTCTAATAAAGTTTACAGATATGCTAGCGAAGGAGGACCTGTAGTTCTGCCAGATGCGACAATAGCTAGCCATCAGTTTTGAACCATTCGAAGCCTAGCAATTTCGACGGCAAAGCACTCGTGGCTTGATTGTCTTACATGTAATTTTCGGATTCAGCGTATATTCTGTGTGCAAGGCATGCTTTGAATAACCTCATCTTGGGGAGGTTTGGGCCTGGTCACACCATGCTCATGTAAGACAGGGGCATGTTTCAGCCCGGAAGTGCGGCTATGGCCGTGGCTGTGTACAGCCAAGTGTCCGAATTGGGGGTATGACATGCTGGGCATGCAAACTCATACTTAGATGGAGACGCAAAAGATGTGAATTCATGGAAAAGCCTCAAATATCGTATCAAATTGAGCCAGGAAGTGTTATGGTGGTTGATATCATGAAACAGTCTGGCATCTAGTTATGACGTTATTAGACCCTGGCCTGATGGGGAACTGGAGAACCCCGCGCGCATCCGTTTTTGCGATGCGCAGCCCGCATCACAAACACCCTCACCACATGACACGCGTTCTCCTGGCTTAGCCGCTGCATCACCGACATACTTTCTGCGCTAAAATGTACTTCTACTCCCAGCCGCAACCTTAATCCTTGACTAGATGTCAACTTACCTTCACAAGCTTCGCGACTACCCGTTTATCTAGGTGTGACCTGGAAGCCAGATACCAGCCACAGATTCTGAGCGCGAACCGTTAACATGATCGTCAACATAGTGCTTGAGCATCCTCACGAGCACTACACCAATCTCGATGTCATACAAGGGAGGGTCTTCTTGCGCGTGCCGAATCCGACCAACATTAGCAGCATTGTTGTGAAGCTTGAAGGCGAGAGCAGGACCAGGCTACTGGCACCCATACATCCAAACAGGCCAGACAAGCAGAGACCAGTCCTAGAAGTGCACAAGTTCTTGTACAAGACACAAGTGGTATGGCCGACGAATGTGCGTCCCGAAGACATCGCCCAGAACTCGAAAGCGGCCTTCACTATCAATGCTGGGTCCTTTGAGTATCCGTTTCAGTTCAAGGTATGAGATACAATACAGGTAGAGAACTTTGTTCATGGCTGATCGAGCTTGCAGCTGCCTCTGAACACGCAATGTCAGCAGACGAACAATCCCATCTCTAATGTTTCCTTCTCAAACGCGATCCCCGAATTCGCAAAGACACCAACACAACACGTCAAGGCGACACTTCCTCCTACACTAAGCGGTTTCCCGGGGGAGGCCGAGATACGATACTATGTCAAGGTCACAGTGAATAGGCCACAGTTCTTCAAAGAGAACCCGAGAGCGATAGCAAACTTCACTTTCCTCCCAATCGAACCTCCGAGACCAGACAAGACAGACGGAGAGGCATATGCAAGGCGACAACACGAGTTTCTGGAGAATGCACCGAGCGTGGCAGCGGGTAAAAGGCTGAGCTTCTTCGATAGAAAGAACTCGACGGGAAGTATCCCGCCATCGCCGACATCAGGCAGTGTACCACCTCGGGTAGCGATCGATGCGCGATTGCCCAATCCTGCGATCCTTACTAGCAACCAAGACGTGCCACTAAGACTGCTCGTGAAGAATGTCAGCGCGCGTACAAAGAACATTTACCTACAGATGCTCCAGATTGAGCTGATAGGATACACTAAGGTACGTGCGCACGAAGTGTCGCGTACGGAGTCGAATAGTTGGATATTGTGCTCCTTCAGTAATATGGCTATCCCAATTGGGTCTCCGGAAGACCCTGTAGATACGGAGGTTCCCATCAATGCGGAGTACTGGTCTGGAAAGCCGGTGCCCAACACCGTATCGCCCAGCTTCACATCATGCAACCTTGCGCGTTTCTACGAATTGGAGATACGCGTCGGCATCGGTTATGGAAGCTACAAGCACGGTGAAGATCAGCTCATCGTTCTACCACTTAGACTACCAGTCAAGGTCTATTCAGGCATCGCTCCGCCCAAAGCTCTTTTGGAAGCTGGTTTCAATGCAGAGAAGCCCGGAACTCTTGCCCCGCCACCCCACGCGGCCCCTCGTCCTCATACTCCAACGACGCCAACGCATGGAGGCTTTGATGGTGCCAATGCCTTCTCTGGACAGCCAATACAACCCCAGCATGCTCCTGCGTATGACGATGCCCCACCGAGCTACGAGGATGCAATTGGACAGGATCTTCCTCCGATCAATGGGTACAGAGGCAGTTACCAGCCTCCTCCTGTGCCCGAAGGCGCGCCAAGATTTTCCGATGAGAAGAGACGATGAGAAGTCGTGCTACAGGGGAGCTCGTTTTGATAGATTATATCTTAGCAATCGTGTACTCTTAGTGGTTGTGAAGCTGTTCACATAAAGACGCGGCGGATATTCTTAGGGTGCATGATAGGCAAAGCTGAAGCGTTGATGGTCGGCCCAGATGTGTCAAGAAGTGGCGATGTGGGCTGTTGGTAATCGAGGGAGTTTGGGCCGCAACAAATAAACAAAGAGGCACGCGCATTGCAGCCGAAGCGGGGGAATGCAGCATTTCTGAAGAAGAGGCCGGATGTTGTTCTGTTCAATGAGTATAATTACTAATAGCATTTCTGGAAACATAGGGGGCTTTCAGTATCCAATCAGTATCATGTTTGATGCAGTCGTCCCAAACATGTGTATCCAGGTGCGGGGTATTTTGCACACGCTCAAACAGACGCGCATAGCCGGCACCAATGCAAGCACGGCAATTGTTGTTGTTGTGGTCCTCGAATCGCGACTCACCAGAGCAACGTTCAGAGCCCACTATGCGCACTAATAGACGCGTCGTGCCTGACTTGCGGGATTGCCAACAGCCCTGCACGCGACTGGAGAGCTGACCGCCAGTCGTGTGTGTCCAGCCACAAGTTCCAAGACCAAGGCACAGACACGATGCGAGACTACTGCAAGAGCCGCATACACTATCCCGTGCATGCTAGCATCTGGTTGGCTGGAGAGAGTGAAATGTTTCAAGCCGGCTCTAGGCTACAGCCCCACTCAGACACTTGGTCGAATCGTCGCGTCCAACACCATATATACACGTCCTCCCACCGCGAGATGGTCGCGTTTTCCGATCAATTCTTCGGCTGCTTTGCGTTAAGAGTTGGGAATCCGGTGGCCGGCTCGTTGGCATCTAGGGGAACAATGTTTGACTCACACTTGCAGCTCACGTGTAGTAGCGTTGGGCCCCGCTTTGCGACCATGCACCACGCTGTGGTAAATACGGCTGGCTATGAGTCCGTGGCTGTTCCTGTTGGATTCTGGTTTCCTGAGGTTCGCTTTTCTCTCTCGAATGCTGCATGTTTGAACCGACTTTTACAATTTACTTGAGATTTACTACGAGATTGATTCCTTGAACAAGACACGCCTGCTGTACCACACAACACCATTGCATGCGACCAACGCGACTATCACGACATGTACTCACAGCGATCTTCGCCACCGCCACTGAAGCGCTCACATTCATCTGAGAGCCAAAACAGTTATGCCAGCGCTGCGACAACCGTGTCGCGCGCAAGCTCCAAGCTACTGTTTGGAGAGATCCCACTGACGCCTGCGACAACCGTAGATGGACGCTGTAAGTCGCTCCTTCGCAATGCGCGGAGCCTCTACTGATCTCATCAAGCAATTCGTTCCAACGGATCCATCTGCAACTTGGTCCTTTCAACAAGCTCCGTCTTCTTGCGCTTTTGGCTGAACGATACTTGCCGCGACAATGTACTGGACCACATGGAGCCCGAGGACCTCTCCAACTTTCGCCTTGTATGCCATGACTTCTCCTCCAAAGCTGCCCCACGACTCTTCGAGAAGATGACTGTGACATTCAAGACCTCTACCTTCTCGAAACCTGCGCGTCTCGAAGCGCTATCAAGGATAGGCCGTCACGTCAAGACTTTCACCTTCCACATGCCACATGGTCCAGACACCTGCCTGCCGCCCATCATTGATCCTTGCACTGGCACAGAGAAACAATTCATCTACGAGCCGCAAGTTCAGATACCGCAACATGGTCCGGCCAAGGACAAGGCACCCAAGTATGGAAGCTGGGAGATGCAAGATCTACTCATCAAGCAGTATCCACCGCTTTTCCATGCCGCAACAAATGTTCCTGCATTTTGCGCTGCCTTCTCTGAACTGATCAACCTCACACATCTCAAGGTCTCGTGTCCAGGATCTACCGGCTCACTTCGACACCGACGGGGTGTAGTCGACTATGCGCTCATCTCTCTTCGCATCGCCGTCGAGCGCGCTCCACTGTACAGTCTCTCTGCCCTTTCCCTTCATCCAATCCACCCTGGCGGCCTCTTGTACCTTCACCCCATGCACGGCTTCGGCAGCACACCCTCCTCGGCCAAGCGCTGGTCTCAAATACGTCGCCTCTCAATCTGCATGGAAAGTATACCCTTCACCTCAAGCTCCTCACGTACACGCGCCCAATCCGTAGAACACCTACGCATCTTACATGCCTACCTCTCAACCCTCTCCCGTGGTCTAACCCGGCTCTTCTTCCGCTGGAAAGGCGAGCGCGGACCCTCTCCCTTATCCCTAGACCGGGAACCCTGCATGCTTCCTAGCCAAGAAGAAAGCACTCACCCCTCTCTCCGCGGCCAAACCCATGGTCCCCGTCCTCTCAAGTTCCCCCGCCTCCGTGTTATGGAACTGGAAAACGGGCTCATGGACTCGGCACAAATCAGTGACTTCATCACAAAGCACAAGCGCAGCCTGCGCGAATTCAACTTTGAAGATGTCAAATTACGCGAAGGGGATTGGGATCTCGCTCTCGAACCTCTGACCACCATCACCGGTAGCGAAAGCTGGAAACAGTATCAAGAAGAGGTCATGGATGTTCCCATCATGCTGTCGCCTGTTGATGCTGAACCTAGGGTCATGGGCCCATTACTCGAGGAAGTTGAACAGGCGATTGAGGAAGTGAGCGGCAAGGAGAGGAGGGAGCATGCGCTGAGCAGGTGGTTGGGAAGACCAAGACAGTCGAAGAAAGATAGCTTTTGGGGTGGGGGAAAGCGCTTTTTGCATCTTTCGTCATGGAAGGGGAGTTCACCTGTCATGGTGAGGTAAGCTTCACGTTGCTATTCAAGTTTTTACGGGTGTACGATACCTTTGGTTTGGGTACTTGGGAGTTTTGCTGTGGGACGTCACGGTTGATACCCATCGGGAATGGTTTCTTGCGTTCACTCTCTTTGCCTCTTTTCTTGGCATTGTCCTGGAATTTGGGGGTTATGGCCTGTTCACTCTTTCCATTATTTTCTTATTTTGTCTTTCCTACGCTCATTACGACTTCTACGTCTTTACGGCCTTTACGACTATACCACTGAAATCATGCTTACGGGGTTTTTCACGATGATACGAGTAGCATAGCACAGCCTGACGATCTTTAAATGACAATCTCCTTCTGTTCCTTACCTCAACTCCAGCTATGCTATACTACGTGCGTCTTCTGGCGAGCAACACGGTGCTTGTATGATTTTGAGACATCGTCGTCTTCGCTGCAAATTATGGACTGTGTTTATGGTCCAGTATGCTCAGAAGGCGTTTGCATGTTTCTCTATACGAGCAAGGCGTTGAGGATAGTACACTTCTCGATGCACGTGTAGTGAGGGAGAGTAGTTGCAAATGCATCAAATTCCAAGTACGGCAGAAGTCTCATGAATAACAGATGTTGCTCTAGTGCGGCTACAGTAGCAGCGTCGGACAGGAAGGACGATGCATGGCCAAAGGCGGATAAAGCTGATAAGGCAATCGAACTCAGTAATAGATATACAATTGCAATATTGTGGTATAAATGCGCTATGTGTTTCGATTGATATTTGAGTGCGGCTGTGCTCCATCTGAAGTGCAAGCTTATAGCTTAGCCTTCGTCTGCGCCTTCTTGAGAACCGGTTCCACTGGTTGGAAAACGTCAGTAAATCTTTCCGCTGCAGAAATGAGAACTAAACTTACATTTCGTCGCGCCCATGATGTTTCCTTTCACCTTGAGCTTCCCACTCATGAAGAGTTTCTGCGCATTCGCATTACCAGAGACTAGTTTTCCAAAGTCCTCATCGCTCAACACCAGCGTGGTGCCAGCCTTCTTGCCCTCGGGCGCAGTACCCTTGCCAACAGTGCCAGTCTCTTTCAGATCAATATACCATGACTCTTGTGTACCGGCTTTGTTCTTGAGTGTGAACGCAAAGATGGCCTTGCCGTTCTTGACGGCGTCTTTACGGTCGGCGTCGGAAGCGGAGAGGGCTCGCGAGATCTCGTCAAAGGCAGCGGAAGAGGGGAAGTCGTCTAACATGGTTAGTTGAACAGATTCGAAATGTCGCGGAGCACACATGTGCGTACCGTTCTTGAGAGACATGGTGGCTATGTGTTGCTAGGACGGTGGTGCGGTTCGAGGCGATGCTTCAGACAAAGGTGTAGGTAGGTTCAGTTAAAGATGTTTGTTGGGCTCAGATCGCGAATGCCAAAGACTGTGGGGTATATAACGACGTTCGGAAGCTTGTGACAGCAATGATGATGCATGCAGCCTTGATGTGAATCCGGGGGAAGCATGTGATGGAGCGAGCGGGCCAAGACCCTGAATCGATTATGCCGAGGCACTTTGGGGCTGAGCACGTGGAAAGAATGTGACGCTAACTTTATCGACAGCCCTGCAGAACTCGCATCTCTTGCCTAAAATTACTACAAAGTTTAGCCATTCCTAACTGAGACGAGCAGTGACAGCATGTCATAAGGTAGTCGATGAGTATTCGCAGTGCCATACTTCGTGCGACAAATATACGCATCTGAACAGTTCAAGCGACTGGCCATGTGCCGTGGTGTATGTAACTGGCCTGAACGCTTCTGCATCATTGAAGTAAGACCGAGATGTCTCCGGCACACTTGATCAAGAGTTACCGTACGTTCTCTATAGACAGTGCTACATCGTTTCATCTTTACAGTCAGACGCCTTCTCCAGAGTACCTTCACTCCACAGCCCGATTCCATGTTTGCACTTTTCTGGTGACGTACCTAGACAATCCACGTGAGGACGCGCTACTACGCGTTTCGGCTTGGCGCGTTTCCCCTTTTGTCTCATCCTAGCAATCCACATGCTCAACTTCATTTCCAGAGCTCCGTTCTACCTACCTACGCTATGAAAAATGACCTTAGCAAGACGTTCGGCGAAATCTTCGATGGCGACATCTCTGCTTTCCGCAAGCAGTTGCTAGAGATCCAACACATCCAAGCTGATCGTCAGAAAGCTGAAGAATGGGTATCAAACCTCCGCTTCTTGGATATATCAAAAGTGCCCAACTTAGAGGTGGAAAAGAAGAAGCAAGATCGATGCTTCGCTTTAGCCCAGATCCGCGATCCGTTGCACGATCGAGTGGTCCCTTCGCGCGAAATACCCGTCACGCAACCCGAAGACGATGACGGCAAAACTCCATATATTGCTGTCTCCTGGAAGTGGACCGAAATTAAACGCGAGGCTCTTTACGAAGACCCTAACTCGCCGGTTTTCGACTACCGGATCAAGAGACCAGGTGCGAAGTCTCATAAGAGTAGTTTTCCTGACTCCTACATGGATCGGGTGATTCGGTTCGCACAGAGCATCAACGTATCGAAGCTATGGATCGATAAAGAGTGTATATACCAAAGGCCCGGAGACGAGCGTATGTGGCCAGAAGACAAGCAGCATGGAGTTCAAATCATGGATGTAGTCTATGGTGACAGCAACTGCTCGGTGGGGTTACTTACCGTGGACCTTGCACACCAACAGGATATCGACCTTCTGTCAAAGCTGCTTCAGGGCCACCTCTTCATTGATCCTAAGAATAAAGATTCCCCCAAACTAAGACCCGAAGTCAACATAAAGGCAGTACAGACGCTTATTCTTCGTATCCTCAGTGATCCTCGCTGGTCACGCGGCTGGATCTTCCAGGAAGACCATTTGGCTTCAGACAGGATGGTCTTGCTCATACCATACCCTAAACATGGCCGTGTAAACTACGATTACGAATTTGGGGACATCACTGGAGAGCTGCAGATCAATCTTAAGGATCTCCGACAGAACGTGACGTTGTTCTGCTTGGCTTGCCCTGAAGAACGACAGCGACAGCCCAATACTGATATTATAGGGAAGCTCAAGCAGTATAACATCTGGAACAGAATCTTCATATCGCCTAAAGACAAGTATCCGTTGCGCTCCCGAAGTGGTAGCAACGATAGTCGTACTGATGGCAGTGAGATCAAACGGCAAAATATCGAATTCAGGACTCCAGCTTTTTTGAATACTACCAACAGCGTACTGGACGACATTTGTACCCGGTCATTGGAGAACGAGGAGGACAGGATTGCCATTCTCGCAAACGCTCTGAGGTTTACCAAGCGTATAAACATTTCCGAAGGGTCTACCATACATGAGCCAGGCAAATACAGCCTCTCGGTAGCTCTCCTTGCACTTATACTTATGAATGGGGAGATCTTGACGAGTAGACCATGGGAGCAATATGACTCAATGTATCTCCCCAGCGAGAGTAACTTGATGCGGTACACCTTACGGTCTTATCTAACGGCATGCCGACACCCTTTCATTGTCCCTAACATGAAACTTCAGCAGAGGTTTGTCGACCGCTGTCGTCTCAAATCTCCGAAAATCACATCTCGTGGTATTGAGACAAAAGGCTACCTTTTCGATTTATTTCCCCAGGAGCAATTGGAGGGTCAAGCAAAACAGCATAGCACGCTTTGCTTAACTGAAGCAGACCGGGACGCTTTGTCGGACTTAGGTCAGGGTCCCGTGTTTCGGGGTAGAAAGCTCGATAAGAATGCACATATAGCGTTGGACCTTGTCATCCAGAGATTGGAGGAGCAGTGGCCAGGTAGTAAGCTTGCCAATTACATGCGCAGGCACTTAGTGCTCGATCAACATCCACCACGGCCGAAGGACGTGCGGCCATCTACACCATACGTATTAGATATGATGTTAGCACTCTACCAAGCTCTTCTCGAGAAACGAGAGCTCCGCTTTGCGCGACTAGTTTCAGCGCCACAAGATACAGAACCTGCTGCCATCTTCATCAAACCGGAGCCAAATGGTTGGAAGACTGAGCATGCACTTGACATAAATCCCGACGGAGAGCCTATGCTTGCGAAGGTTTTCACAAGCTGGGACAAGGGTCGTAATTTTTATGACAAGGAACGATTGGCAAGTTTGGAAGTCGGCGTGACATCCGACTTGGAACATCAAGGGGATGGGCAGGAGCGAGGTTGCTTCCTTTACAGCTACGGATGGGTGAATGGGGTTTGGTATGCGGAAGGTGATGCAATGGAGACATTTGTCTTTCCCCTCGCAGGAATCACTGAACAAAAACAGCCTACAGATCGTTCGTCGAGCAATGGGGAAAGGAAGAGGAAGAGAGGAATCGACACCTAAAATAGGACTACTTGTAAATGAAGGTTGAGGCAGGGTTATTAGCACCTGCAACACACGTCATGAACACGGCATGAATACGGCATGAATACGGCATTCTTGAGTCTGGGGTTGAAAGCAACTGATCGTCTTGTTGTGTCATACTGTATAGCAGCAACTAGCGCTTCTTTGTGATATAATAACATGGTGTCAACCTTGAGCTCAAACTAACATATGCCTCATACTAAAAGGTGCGTAGGTAGGTACACTTAACATCAAAGACAATGAAGTACCAACCATACATATTAGGGACAGACTGTCAGCATAGGTACATCAAGACCCGTGACCAGATACGTAGCTGGGTCAGGGGAAATATGGTTGCGTATACGCGTAGGCGCTCTTTTGCTGTGCTGTAAAGAGAAATGCGGACGCGTATCCGACACTAGCAATGGCGTCATGCCCGATTCCCGAGGTCTGCCCAAACGCCACGGTCAGGGGACGCGCTAAGCCTTTCTCCCCACCTCTTCAATTCCGCCAACCACCACATCCTTGTATGCATAGAGATGTGATAGCATCCTGCAAGATGTCAAGCTCTTGCGAGAGTTCTGATGGCCTGATATTTTGACGATTTTTCTATCCTCGCTCTTTCCCGCATCGCCATGCCAGCGCCTACAGCAACAAAACGACGTAAAGCGACTACTGACAAGCTGGCACCACGGAAACGCGCGCCTGTCGCCTGCCAATTTTGTCGACTTCGCAAGACGAGATGTGACGGTGTCAAGCCTGTTTGTGGCTTCTGTAGACATCACGAAGCACAATGCGTCTGGGGCGTAGCAACCGAAGAAATCGCGAGCACACCTGCTGAAAAGGAAATACTTCAACGCCTGGATGAGCTGAGAGACCTGTTGTCGGATGCAAAAGAAACTACTTCGCCTGTAGCCGAACCCCAATACAGTACCTCAATACTACAAACACGAGAACGACCAGCTACGCCCATCACTGCAGCTTCGCAAAACACCACACTAGATCCACTGGCGAATCTAGCTTCACCCTTCACTCACACGCGTTGCGAGAACGTCCTGGCGTGGCCTATCTTCCACAGCGTGGTTGATCCAAATGATGTCGCTGTCGAGTCATTTGTTTTGGAGTGTGACAACTCCGTGGTGCTTGAAGATGCCATGCCAATGTCACCCAAGACTTTCTCGAACGCTCCGGTCTCTGGCTTGAATCTTCAGACTGATCAATTTTTACCACTTTGCCATAAGTTTTTGGACCACGTACATCCTAGAAACCCGATGCTTGATGAGGAACAGCTTATCGAATACGCTAAGCATGTTACTAAGTACGGCCTGGACTGGGACGGCCCTTCGTGTCTGGTCGTATGTGGATTATCATGTGCCATGGTTTAACTCGGACTGACCAATTGTACAGCTAATTTCATGTGCCCTGGCTTGTTACACTGCGCCTTGGGAACGCGGCGATATTGGTTATCATCCATCTGCCGACTCAGTGACCGAAGATGCTGTATCTGCTCAAGCATATTACTTTGCCGCCAAGCAACGGATTGGTCTGCTCGGATGGTCTTTGGTGGACATTCACTGCCTTTTCTTCGCGTCGGTATACGAGAAGTATGCACTGAATCCTCTTCAAGCGTGGTTTTACATTCAACAAGCCTCAACACGCTTGCAGGCGCATTTAAAGCGTCAGACAAAGACTTCATGTTCTGATGATTGCACTGTGCGGTCAGATGGACTAATGCAGCGTGTTTTCTGGTCGGTTTACAAAGCCGAGCACGAATTGCTTCCTGAGCTGCCGTTCAGGTCCAGTGGCATTGAGGTTTTTACGCGAACCGACTCCATGTTTCCCTCACCTCCAGCCTTCGAAGAGGAAAGTAATGATGCCTCCGCGTTCAACGAGCAAGATTCTAGGTCTAAAGAAAGAAGCTGGGCATTTTACCTAGCCGAAATCTCCATTCGGCGCACAATCACCGACACTATATTTACCCTTTATCGTAGGGGCGAGAGGTACTGGCTAAATCATGTTGAGTCGCTAGTGCGCCAATGCGAAGATTCAGAAGAGCAGATCCAGCTGTGGCACTCGCACCTTCCGCTGTCAGTCCAATTTGATCCCGACGGGAACCCTGACAACGAGCTTGCATTCTTCCTGAAGGGCCGCTTCTCTTCATGGCGGAGTTACGTACTCCGACCCGTCTTATACTATGTCCTTCACCGCCCCTCTCAGCAGGCCTTGTCGCCTCAAATAACGATTTGCGCTCGTGGCCTCGTTGCCCTGTGCGCTGAAAGCATCATTCATTATGATCAACATCACCGTCATGGCGGAATTTGGTTCGTCTGCCGGCTTTCATTTACTTCAGCACTTTTGCTGCTAAGTGTCGTAATCAAAAGCGACATTGATGTTCTTCCACCCGCGGACTGGGGGTCACTGGTTGTCATGTCCATCTCAACTCAGCGGAAATGGGAAGCTCAGTCCGCCGATATTCGGAGATTACGAATGACTTTAGAGCGACTTTACACTATAGTTTGTCATCACACCAATACCCCGACATGCCAATCTTAGAACTGTGGCAGAAGTAAAGAGATTCTGTGGTAGATCGATGCCATTCCAGCCTTCTTTCAATCCTCTTAACCGGAGCTTGAGGGCCCTCAATGAACTTGACATTGCGCGCGGCACTTCCAAGTGATCAATCAATCATATCACGTGTAATTAAAACCCGGGTTGACTCAGTGCAACTTGCAAAAAACGGGCTTCTTCGTGTTTAGTTCTAGCTGTCTAGCAGTACTTAACGTACCCAAATTCGTGGCCATAATCGAACATGCCAGTTTCGGCATAGTATGTTTCCCAATGCGCGACCATCTCCTCGAGCTTTTGCGGTTCTTTTTCCGCCAAGTCGTGTATCTCTGCTGGATCCTCCTCAAGATTATACAACTCCCACTGCTCTCGGCCACGAGGCGCCGTCATCCATAGCTAAAGATAGTCAGTACACCTATGTGAGCGAATTCGTTGGTACTCACAGCTTTCCAATTCCCCTTTCGAATTGCCCGAAGACCGAACAGCTCCCAACCAGTAATTTCCTCGGTCTCGTCATGGAAACCAGGTTGGTCACCCTCTAAGTGCGGCACCCATGTAGTACCCCTTACTGGGACTACTTCTCGACCCCTAAAATTGCTACCTGGTGGTTTGACCCCAGCCAGATCCAGCACAGTTGGCAGGACATCCATAACTGTACAAAAGGAGTCTGTAAACGAGCCAGCAGGCAAAGACTTATCACCATCGTGCGATGGAGGGTAACGTATCAGACATGGACATCGTATACCACCCTCCGTTATCCAAGTTTTGAATCCTCTTGAAGGCGCCATTGATGCTGATGCCCACTCGGAGCCGTACCAAATGAAGCTGTTACTAGCACCCATATTCTCTAGACTGTTATCGTAGTACTTGTCGATGATTTTGTTAACGGTGCCAACGGTGCCCATCAACGGAAGGGCCTCGAGCATTGCACCTTCGGCACCATTATCAGACATGAACAGTATGAAAGTATGGTCTAGTTCGCCGTTCCTCTCAAGGTGTTCAACTACCCGACCAATATTCTCGTCGATCGATTCAACCATAGCAGCGTACACCTCCATCTTCCGCGCGGATTCTGTGCGTTCTTCTGCGCTCATATTGTCCCAGTCGTGCCTAGGCATAGGTGCAGCATTCACATCTGGCTTGACAATACCTAAGTCGACCAACCTCTGAAGCCGCTTAGTGCGGAGCGCATCCGGGCCGTCAGCGTACCTTCCCTTGTACTTTTCGATGAGATTGCGCGGCGCTTGTAAGGGCCAATGAGGCGCAGTGAAAGGCAGGTAAGCAAAGAAGGGTTTTTCTTCGCCTTCTCGGTCGTTGAGATAGTTTATCAGTTCGTCGGTGAATGAAGTCGTTGAATAGAAGTCTGCTGGAACGTCGCTCGAGTCGGCTCGGTTGAGGTGCTTGTCGTCACGCATCCAAAATTTGTCTGCATACATTGGAGTGAAGATAGCATCCTTGGGATTATCCAGTTGTGGTTCCCAGTTGTAATGGTTGCCGCAACCGGAAAGGAACACGAACGAATCGTCAAAGCCGCGCGCACAGGGAGACGTCTCCTTGGTAAGGCCGAGATGCCTGCATAGTGAGCCAACGTCATCGCCTGGCGCATTTGTCAGACCTACCACTTCCCGCTCATGATTGTTCGGTATCCGGCGTCTTGTAGAATCTCACTCAATGCAGCAACACGGAAGTTGAGATAGCCTTCGTAGCCAGGTTTTCCTTCGTAGTTCTGCTTGACCGCCATGTGTTCCACTAATTGCCCAAGGCCTGCAATATGATTATCGGTGCCTGACAGCAGCATTGACCTTGTCGGGGAGCATGCTGATGCAGTGTGGAAGTTCGTCAAGCGAACTCCTGTTTCCGCGATCTTTTGGAGGTTGGGCGTATTGATCTCACCACCAAAGGGCGAAATATCGCTGTATCCTAGGATATGTCAGTATAACGTGCATAGAGTCGTTAGAATTACACAGACCTAGATCATCTGCGACGACAACGAGGAAATTTGGGCGCTTCTGTGCTGGCATGGAACCCATGGTTGATGCGGTGTAGAGTACCTGAGTAGTGGTGAAACGTGCTCTGGATGAGCGACCACAAGATTAAGAGATATCAAGAACATGCTCTATCAATATCCGAAGATTGCACCTAGATTCCATCATGAACTTGATGCGCGTGAACGTAGCCCCGACATTGTAAGCTCTAGCCTGTTGAGGTACCGAGCTGCACATCTCCGTTCTTCCCCGTCGACGACCCTCGGATCCGCTAGCGCGTTTCTCATCCCCGTCCATCCCCGTCACCCTCTCATAGCTACTGACTCGTGTTGATGGGACCACAGATTTGGGCTTTCCGTTCGCGTCGAATTCTTTCCCCAGATCGTACCGTGAGACCTGGGGTAACAGCGGGTGGCCCGATGATGCCATCCCAGTCCACTCTGTCGCCAACGCCTGCCGCCGAGGAACGACACGCGCGATATCCCTTGAGCGTTCGCAAACACTATATAAGTAGCGTTGCGCAGAACAGCGATATGAACTCAGCAGGTTCGATCGCTAATTGACTGTTGCCGACTACACCCAAATCCGACGTTTACTATCTTGTTAATATGCAGGTCACCGATGGCAAAGACGGCGTCTTCACGAAGATGTCACGATGTTTCAATGGTCGACTCACATACTCTGTTGGAATCATCGCTCTTAGCCAAATCAATTTTGGTCTTGATCAAGGCGTGTTTAATAATACACAGGCAATGACACCATTTGCTCGTAGGTTTGGGGTATTCAATGCAAAAATTCAAACGTATGTTCCCCAAGCAATTTCCCGACCTTGCACTAAGGAAAGAAAAGCTATGAGCTCGAAACATATTATCTATCCCTCTTGAGCAGTCTCACTTATATCGGCTTCACATTTGGTCTTGTCATGGGCAATATCCTCAGCGCGAAGATCGGACGGAAGAAATGCTTCATGGTGATGTGCTTCTGGGCCATCCTAGGCGCGATCATCTGCATAACTACGACAACAAACAAATGGCAGATGGTAGTCGGACGTATCGTATCATACGTATACATCGGTATGGAACTGGCTCTTGTGCCTGTAACGCAGTCCGAGTTAGTCCCAGCACCAGTACGAGGCGCCACCGTCGGTACATATCAGTCTGCACTACTTATCGGTCAGCTCATTGCGTCACTGATATGCCGAGGTACCGGCAATATCGACGACGATAGATCCTGGCGCATACCTCTTGGCATACTATTCATCATCCCGACCATCATGTTGTGCGCCGTGTGGTACATACCTGAAAGTCCGCGCTGGCTGCTCCAAAAGGATCGGCCTGAAGAAGCTATAGCAAACTTGCGCCTATTGCGCCAGGGCAAGTTCACCGAGGAAGAAATTCAACAGGAATATCGCGAATTCCAGGGCACATTAAATGCGACGGCCAAGAGGGGAAGATTCATTGAGCTGTTCCAGGGAAGTATGTACCACCAAGAACGATTACGATGTCTACTCAGCGTCGCTTTTCGCGGGTATCTCGTGTTTTGAACCAGACTGACAGGACTTGCAGCTAATCTAAAGCGCACACTCATCGTCTTAGGGGTGAACATATTCCTGCAGCTGACTGGGCAGAACTTCGTTTCAGTCTACGGCGCCATCTTTATCAAGAGCTTAGGTGTCATCAATCCTTTCACCATGACCTCCATCAATACTGCTGTGAGCATCGTATTCGTCTTTATATGTCAGCTCGCAACAGACAAGACTGGTCGAGTGTAAGTTGTGGTCCATCTCCTCCGCTACCTTTATCTACTAATACGATACCGTTAGACCACTGATGTTTGTTGGTGCAATCATCCAATGTGGTGGCCTCATGACGATGGGCGGTCTCGGAACGGTCGCCAGTCCTTCCTACTCAATCAAAGCTACTATCGTAAGCATGGTGACCGTCTTTGGGGTTGGCTTCCAACTCGGCTGGGCTCCTCTTTCGCATGTCGTGGCCGCGGAGATTCCAACTCAGCGTCTCCGCGATACAACTTATGCACTTGGCTCCGTCTTCAACATTGCAATTCAATTCGCTGTTTCTTTTTCCATACCTTACCTACTCAACGAGCCGTATGCAGCGCTAGGAAGCAAGGTTGGATTCATATTTGGCGCGACCGCAGCGGGTGCTGTGCTGTTCACGTGGTTCTGCATTCCTGAATGCAGTGGGAAAACGCTTGAGGAGATCGATGAGTTGTTTCTTGAGGGCGTATCAGTCAGGAAGTTCCGGAAAACCAGAGCGACTGTACCGACAGCCCAGTATAAGGGTGATGGAAAGAAGGGTGACATGAAGATCGAATCAGTTGAGGTGTAGAGCCTAAAGGCACGAGTCACAAAGCTTGATGTAACCTCGTCTTATTTATCGAACAAGAGCCCTGGATGTTTCGCTGTCTGTTGAGCCGTCGCCTAGGCATATCCCTGTGTGCGCGATACTTCTCTTGAATTATATTTTTGAGTCAACGCCAACCATCTAGTCACAGTTTATCGATGCCAGAACTCTCCCGCCTCTCAAATCACTGAAACCCCAGCTGACTTCAGATTCTGGGCTGCTTCAGTCATACTACAGGGTACAAAAACATACCGGTGACGTACCACAGATGCCGCCCTTGCATCCCTGATCTGTAACCCAACGGAGATCTCTAGAAAGCTCAAGTCTTGACACAAAACCTGCGGCCGAAGGTTACCGGTCAAACAACGATCAAACTAAAACAGCTTGAAATAGAAGCAGTGACCTAAACAGATAACGAGAGAACTAGCGATTTACGACTACAGTTAGATTCCTTCGTGACTACTGGAATTGACCATCGGAGCTTGGTAGAATAGCTCCAGCATGACGCGATCACTAATGCCGTTAATCTGAGCTTCTATGAAGATTAATGAAAGCGGTCGTGCGGTTGGTTTGAAGTTGGTGGGTATTTTGAAAATAATTGACAAGGGGTTTGCTGTTAGGACGATGGCTGTGAAATATGTAACGCGAATCAAGTTGGGCGAAAGAGATACGGAGCCGCTTGGCTGTCTAGATATGGGCAAGAAATTGGTGCATAAACAAGAGTTGTTCCTCATTATGAGTGTGTCTATATCTATAACGTATCCAAATCGTAAAAGTTGGTATCCATGGCGCTTACTAACCCATTTATTGCGCTTGCGCGGTCTAGTCTATATTATAACTTGATCTATGCCCATCCGATTCTGTAAAGATTATATCCGCTCTCGTCACCTCGTCCAATACCCCTCCTCTTTTCTACGAACTCTGTCTCTAGTATCTTGAACGTTAAGCCATCATCTTTCTTTGGACACAACTCAGGGATGAATGCAGCTTCAACAGTATCGGGAATGCCTTCAAACTTCCCAGTCTTACGTACGGTGACCATTAGCCAGAAAGCCCCATTTTCGGCAAGTAGGTGGGCTGCACAGTCACGGAGCCAGGTGGCGTGCTCGGGAGCGTAGACAACATCCGATGCGATGAGGAGGTTGGATACCGATTCCATGTGTACAGGAGGTTGTGCCCAGTCTAATATGGCAGTGTCCACAGGGGGTGTGTCATATGAATTCGAAGGAAAGTTGGTCTCGATGTTAGCGTTGCAGTTCTCCAGAACAGCGGGGTGATAGTCAGTCGCCGTGATGCTCACAGGGGCAGCACCAATAGCAGGGAGTAATTTTGCGACCGCTAAGCTTACGAGCCCTGTGCCAGCACCAAGCTCAACAATCCTTTGTCCGTCTGTAGCACTCCCTTGGGTCAATCCGAAGCGATCTGGGTCTGCACACATCATGCTACTGAGTACGATGCTGGCACCCCAGGATTGAAGCCCGACGGCTGTGTGGTCCGTACTAGATAGTGGCGCATCGTTCAGTGTAACCTGGACGGACTCTCCAGTGGATGTAAGGAAAGAAAAGTCTCGTGTTAGCGCCTCTTCCTTCTCCTCAGTGGATTCAAACAGGCTTGAAAGAACGAAGCCTGCATCATCTACGAGTCTTTCCCGCACCTCATCGTGGATGTCCATCTCTTCCGAGCGCGCCAGGAGGGAGTTCAGCCATTGGATGGCAAAAGTACGTTCGAACGGGTCAGCGCGGAGGGCTGCTGTCACCTCTTCGGGCGTGGCGTCGTTATCGTCATCTTCGCCTTCGTCTTGAGACGCATAACCAGAATCCACAGGTTCTGGGGGTGACGCAATGGAAGTGCGCTCTCGTTTCGACGCTGGATGCGTGATGGCAATTGGAAGGCGTACAGGACAGTACAAAGCCTGCAAATTCCTGAGTGCGGCGAAAACCTGACCTTCGGATGCCGACAGTAGCGAACGAATAGGTGGTAAACTGCTTGATGGAGGCAGACAACTGCCTGCAAAGCTGACACTCATTTGGGGTTTCGCTAACGAATGAACAGACCAAGAAACGCACACAGGGGAAAGGAACGTGGAGAGAAGAAAGGAAAGAACTGGAGAAGACGTGGAGACAGGGTTCTCCCATAAAGAAGCGAACGCGAGGGACAATTTGACGATACTTAGTTTAGCCTCACGCTCGGGCAAAGTCGTGACATCTAGAACTTTTCACCGCCTATCGTTTGGCAGCGTGGGCACATTTGTGGGAGTGAATGCAGGTGTAAATGCTGAGCTTACATTCTGCTCTTTCTTGAGGCTTCGATCAGAACGTCAGCTACATGCAAGATATATAGGTCATGAATCCAGTACGAAGAACTGCGCCTGTGTACATATGCCCTGGGTTCGTGAATTTTGCGTGGGATGGCGATTGCCACGTGGGTCGCTAAGCCGAGCCTCATCGGCGCTACTCGAGAAAGGGCTTAGTGTCAATTTCTGCAGGTTCCATCGTCCACGATCCCATCTTCGGTCAACCCCGGCAAGCTTGAGTCGCGCCAGCAAAAATAACCTTGAAACATCTTAGTATACCCTATCTGGAATTTCCTCAGCGACACGTTGATTGTAGCACTAGTGGCTTGGGATCGCTTTGCGCGATATGGTGCCGAAGCTGCTCAGCCCACTATGCCTAGCACGATCGCTCACGACCATGTTTTTTACTTGTTTGGTAAAGCATGGAAGCTGCTCGTGCAATCGTCGCCGACTACTTCCATCTACCACGCCTTAGTCGTCGCGCTAGCTAAATCCCGATAGGCACTTCTTCTCTCAAGTCGCGATCTCAGGTAGCCGTATGCTCAAAACATATGACTAGGTAATTGTGACTATACCTCAGCATACGTTCTAGCAGAAAGATCTCTAGGATTGCCAGATCATCGTTGCGATTAGTCTCTCGCTACAGTCGTCTCGCCCCGAGGCACAAAGACATACTCTTCATAGTGGAACTGGTGTAGTTGGGGAAGACAACGATAAGTCGTTTCGTCTTAGCGCTGATTACCTTAGAAAGAGGGGTACGGCTCACTTCTAGCCTGTCTGGTCCTCGAAGGGCAGTAATCGGCTTTGGTGAGAACTACTCGGAGATAAATACTTCTTTGTTAACGATGGGCAAACTACTGATGATAAGACGACGCGTAACAGGAACTGACTCCAGAAGTGGGGTGTGGGCTAGGGATGGGCAAAGCAGGAAGGAGCTTTCGGGCACCCGATGTCCGGACCTAATCCGCCCCACCAACGAAATCTTATCAGATCCATCTAATAATCAACATATAGCGGCCAGCAAATACACAATTTGATCAGAGGCCTGCGACCTTCTTGTTTGATGTGTTTGCCGTTACCATGGCTACAGTAAAGAATCTGCGCATAGGCGTTGACGTTGGCGGGCAAGTACTACGAAAATGAGCTACAGGTGTCAAGAGACTAACACTACGCACAGGACGAACACTGATGGAGTCATCATCGATCCTACAAAGTCCAGTGAAGATGGAAGAGGGATTGTTGCTTGGTACGAACGCGATTCTTGCACGTTCATCGACACGTGTCCTTGTTTATCCCCTTCATCACGAACTTCAACGAACACATACCGCAAGATTCATCCAAACGGGATACAATTTTGTTGAAGATGAGAGCTCATATCAGGATTTAGGCACAAGGCTCCTACCACTACCAACCCAAGCCATGGCATTGCCGACGCCATCACCACCATGTTCAGATCTGCATCTGTAGACCCATCCTCAGTTGCGAGCGTGACGATAGGAACCACCCATTTCGTCAACGCTGTAGTGACTCGTGATCGGACACGCCTCTCACAAGTCGCTGTACTCCGTCTTTCCGGACCTTTCAGCAAACACGCACCACCATGCGTCGACTGGCCAGCTTCTCTGCGGAACATTATCCTCGGGCATTACGCTCTCATCAAAGGAGGCTTAGAAGTGGATGGCAGTTTGATCTCCGACATCAGAGAACAGGAGATTGTGGAGCAATGCAACATTGTCAAAGAGAAAGGAATCAAAAGCATAGTAGTGAATGGTGTCTTCAGTCCGATCGATACAGTCGAGAAGCAAGAAGAGCGTGCCGCCGAAATTATCAGGCGCGAACTAGGAGAAAATGTCGATATCGTCCTTAGCAAGACAGTCGCTAACCTTGGATTTTTGGAGCGCGAAAATGCCGCGATATTGAACGCCTCGATTTTGTCCTTTGCTAGAAAGACGATAGCGTCATTTCAGACACCAATCAAGGAACTCGGACTGAGCTGCCCCGTCTTCATCACTCAGAACGATGGTACGATACTAAGTGGCGAAGCAGCAAGCCGGCTGCCTATCCGAACTTTCTCATCTGGTCCAACGAACAGCATGCGTGGCGCTGCTTTCCTTGTTGGGAGGCAGGAGAACGGCGGAGCAGTGATGGTCGTCGACGTCGGTGGAACGACCACTGATGTGGGCTTATTGCTTGCGAACGGCTTTCCCAGGCAGCAAGCCGCATACTCGGAACTGTCTGGAGTTAGGATGAGTTTCTCGTACCCCGATGTGAAAAGCATAGGACTGGGAGGTGGTAGCTTGGTGAGAAAAGTTGGAGAGAGATTGCAAGTAGGACCAGAGTCAGTGGGGTACCAGCTACCAGAAAAGGCGCTCGTCTTCGGTGGAAATGTTCCTACAGCAACTGACTACGTTGTAGCGTCTTCACCTGATGTCACAATAGGCCAACCGGAAAACGTGCGAGGAAAGCTGCAGGCAGACAACGTACAAGCATTTCAAGCTGAGACAAAGATTATGCTTGAAAACATCATTGACAAGATGAAGACATCGCCTGATGATCTCCCGGTTCTGCTCGTCGGTGGTGGTGCGGTGATAGCTCCAGATGAACTGAAGGGAGCGAGTAAAGTGATAAAACCTCAATGGTCGGGTGTAGCCAACGCTATCGGTGCTGCTATGGCGCGTGTCAGTACTGTCATCGATACTGTCAAGTCAACAGAGAAGCAGACTCAGAAAGAGCTACTAGCTGAGATATGTGAGGAAGCTAAACAAAAGACTATCGAAGCAGGCGCTTCGGCGACAACGGTTGCCATTGTTGAGGTGGAAGATCTTCCGTTGCAATATGTCGCCAACAAAACACGTTTTATGGTCAGAGCTGCAGGAGACTTCGACTTCTCAAGGGCAGGGGATTTCGCAGACCTGAATATCACTAAGGAAGAAGATGGCATAGAGACCAGGTCGAGCGCAAGCGATGCCATCGCGGCGCCTTCGAGCGAAGATGCAGCTGACCAGGTCGACGTAACACCGGAAGTTGACATCATGGGGTATAAGCCAAAAGTGGCTAACCGAGAGTGGTGGATATCAGAGACTGATCTCGAATGGATCACCATCGGTTGCTACATCCTAGGTACCGGCGGTGGAGGTTCTCCATATTCCACTATGCTCCGAGTACGTGGTATCCTTCGATCTGGTGGAAGCGTTCGCGTCGTAAGTCCAGATGACCTCAAAGACGATGCGCGAGTAGGAAGCGGCGGCGGCGCTGGCAGCCCAACAGTCGGAATTGAGAAGCTGTCTGCCGACGAGTAAGTTTCGTATCGATATGATACTCTGCATTTATTGATGCTTGTGCAGAATGATGGACGCTCAAACCCACCTCTACGATCTCATCAAGGGTGGTTACGCGACACATATCATACCTTTAGAGATTGGCGGCTCGAACGGGTTACAGGGTCTCGTCTTGGGTGCATCGACTAACATGAACATACCATGTGTAGATGGCGATTGGATGGGCCGAGCATATCCTACAAAATGGCAGACAACGCCAGTTGTGTTCGGTGAGCGAGAAATCGTGTTTGCACCAGTCGCAGTGGCTGATGGAAACGGCAACACGCTATATATGCCCACTGCAACGAGCGATCTGAAGGTCGAACAAGTCATTAGAGCAGCATTGAGCCAGATGGGAAGCTCTGTCGGAACAGCCGATGCCCCCGTTACAGGCTCTGAAACACGAAGATGGGCTGTCGAACACACTATCTCGCTGTCGTGGAGGATAGGAAGAGAGGTAGCCCGTGCGCGCAAGGAGAACAGAATTGACAGTGTGGCGCAATCAATCATCGACGCGGTTGGAGGCGCCGAAACAGGCCGCGCGCTTTTCAAAGGCAAGATTGTCGGTGTAGAGCGTAAGCTGTACATGGGCCACGTGTACGGCGAGGTGATCATAGAAGGCACTGGAAGCGAGTATCAAGGCAAGATCAAAATACCCTTCAAGAACGAGAACATTGCCGCGATAAGGATACCGGATGGTGAAGAGAGTAAGACTGGTGAGGAGAAGAACGAAGATGTACTCGCTATCGTTCCTGACCTCATTGCGGTCATTGATGCGCAAAATGGCGAGGCCATTGGGACGCCAGAGTATCGATACGGACTGCTAGTCTCAGTGATCGGTATCACTGCGAGTGATCGCTGGACTAGTCCAAAGGGTATCGAAATTGGTGGGCCGAAGGCTTTTGGGTTGGACCATCTAGAGTACAAGCCCCTGGGCAAGTTTGTAAAGCCTGTAAGCGTTGTTGATGAGTATGACGGAAAGCAATAAGTGTTAGGTACGGAGGTTGGCAGAATGGTCTTTAATGAAGAGGCCAGTGTCTTAGGTCGTTCTTTGCATCTATGATACTTCGGCTTGCTTCGTGCCGGGATACAATGGTAAAATGAGCTTGACAGCAGCCTCGTAGCTCGTAAATAGTATACCACCACTAAACACCGTGCGCCCTAGTCTCATCGTTGTGCCTTTCCAGAATCCTTTGATACCATAATCCAACAACACACTCTTCACAGCCTCAGCAGTGCTTGTACCTCTTGCGCTCTGCGATCGTGTCTTAATGACATCGAAAGGCTGTGTGGAGAGCGTTGTCACAACGCCTGCTACTGATCCGTTTGCGAAATTGACTGCGGTGTTCTGTTCGATGTTCTTGGTCTTTTCAAAGTCTTTGAGAATATTGTACGTTCCCATCCGGAATGCTGTTGCTGATGCCTGTTTGAGGGTAGTCCCTGCAAAGCCACGGTATAGACCGAGTATACCGTGCTCTTTCCAGATTGTTGCTGTCGCATGAAAACCGGAGCGAAAACGCTTTTCATTTCTGGCGTCATCAATAAGTGCCGTTTTGATGCGTTCTGTAGGTGTGACCGCAGTGATCGATGCGACTACCCCAGCAGTCATGCCAGCCAACAGATTGCGAAGTGGCGAAAGTGTGCCAGTCTCTGGATCTGCGAAGGATAACTTGATCTGATCGAAGAAGAGAAAGCGAACAGCATCTTTGCCTACTGAACCGAAGACCAGCGCTCCGCAGCCTTTGTAAAGCGCTTTGATTCCCTCATTTTGATAAACTTGGGTCACGACGAGGAAAGGGTTTCGTGGTGTCGGTACGCCTTTCTCAGCTCTCAACTGTACACGCGTTTTCGCAAACTCGAGAGGATACTGCAAGTGGAATAAGCTACTAGACCGAGACCGGAATGCCTCTTTGGGCGTACCGAAAGAAAGCCTTCCACACCGCCAGCAATGCCGCCAGCTGCCAAAGAGACTATTGCGGGTGTGCTTTTGTCCTTGTAGTCGTCAATGATGCGCTTGGAGAGTTGTGGGTGAGCTTACATTGGCGCCTGAAACCATTTGTGTCTAGGGAAATCAGGATAAAGATGATGTTGTGATGGAAAGTGATGCGGTCGACGGGAAATATCATAGATGCCTAGGTTAGTAGCCAGCCGATAGCCGAACCAGCGGCTCCGTTCCCGACAGCCTCAGCAACACCGATGCGAAAGCGACACGTCAAAACGGGGGATTACGCCTTGAAAGATAAGGACAAATTTGCGAAACTATTTGGAGTTGATCGTCGCATTAGGTCAATCATGTCCCGCGCAACTTGACCTGACTATCTTTGTTCGCTCATTATTCATGCTACCAAGACTGAGCGCCGTTCGCCCGCAAATATATCGAGGACTTCGTCAACATAACGCGCGGCTTTGAACTCGCACTCGATTGATCGTAAGACTGAATAGCCTGCTGTGACTAGGCGGTAGCATCGTCTAACTCGAACAAACTATCGAATCGATTGTCCCTTGCCGCAGCATAGGCAACCATCTTCTCATCGCTACTATTGTCATCGCTCTCGTCTTGCGCATTGTTACTTAGCTTGCCCAGTTTCTTGAGAGCTTCGTCCACGTTCCAAGCAATTCTCTCAGCGCCTACTCTTGCTCCGACTAGGTTCGGTGCTCCGGGCCCCAGTTTCAATCCGGCGAGTCGTCCTGTCACAAACAGAGGAACATTGTCGTCCCACATCAAGTCTTCGTTCAGACATGGTAAACCGCCAATGTACTTGATCGGATATTGTTGTTGGATGCTCTGAAGGTAAGGAATAGTACGGATGTCAGACTGGATACCGGTTGCAAAGACCATATAGTCTACAGGCGGGAGCTTGAGGATTGATTCTGCCGAAGACACCTCACAGGCCCATGTTTTGGATGATTGCTCCCATTCTGCGGAATGGAGTTTGGTATAGTTGTGTAGCTCGATCTTTCGACACGCGACATGCGAATCGAGAATTTTCCGGTAGCGTGGTGTCATACTACCTCCGTTGCGGGCTTGTACAATCATATCAAAGCGCTCTACAAGCCATCGTTAGTCAAGATTAACCAAGCACTAACGTTGACTGACCTTCATCTGTGTCTGCCGTCCAGAACTCAGCTTGCTTGAAGTTCCGAAACTTGCCGACCCACTCTAAATCTACGTCGAAATGTTTGACCTTAAGTGGTCCACGCATGAGCATCCACACTTTGTTGACGCCCCGCTTAATCGCCAAATCTGCGAGTTGGATGCTCGTCAAGCCGCCACCAACGATGAGCATACTCGTCAGCTGGCGAGCCTGAATTTTAGCCACCACATGAGATGGTGGAAATTGCTTAATCTGCATCGCGTGAGCAAAGCCTTCGTGTGGACGATGAGTAGGTAGACCAGGAACGAGGGGTATCGATGGCGCATTCCCAGGACCAACAGCCAGCACAACTAGATGTGCAAAGCGTACGCCTTGGTCTGTTTCGACCCGAAATATTTTTCTCTCATCCGCCACTGCACCATCCGAGATGAAACTTCTGAGCTCTGTCTCGTCAAACTTCGAAACCTTGTCATATTGGATGTCCATGACGCTCTCTTTCCTCAATAGATCCTTGCCAAGTCGATATCTCTTGATAACCTCTTCACAATGCGCATCAAATAGATCGGTACGTGGCACATAGTAATCTTTTCGATCCCTTTCATCCACATCGGGTGTGCGACCCAAAAATCGCCCTTGCGTCTTCAAGTTCTTCTTCTTTTTATGCTTGCTGACTTCCTTTCCGGCAACGCCAGGCAAAGCTTGAATGTCCTTCTCCCTCTCCTTTTCATAGGTGTACCCGAGCAGTGCATCACGATCAGCGGGATCAACGTGGAAGAACATCGGACTTCGAAGGTAATCAATGTGAAAGGTTTTGAAGAGGCGTTTCCATTTGGACATCCAGTCTGCGCCATCTGCATCGAGAACCACCATGTCTATGAATTCCTCGGTTGGTACATCATGATCGCAGCCACATTCTGAGCTACCGGGGGTGGAGGGTGGCGTTGGTAATGAGTCCTTGTTCGTTCGGTAGTTTTTGATGTTCATTTTTCGGCCATGTTTCCGGATCCAGTGGTACCGTTGGTGCTCATCGTCTGTGAAGGTTGCCGATGGTGTGTGTTCACGGAGTCGTGCTGCTACTGCTAGGCCTGCTGGCCCGCCACCAATGATAAGGACGTCGTGAATGTGCATTGTGTTGCAATCTTAGAATACTGACTTGAAACCCTGATGAAATGTGTAGATTAAGACACCTTGAAGTACTTCGAATGTCTTGCCCATGTGAGTACCTGATGGCTAGCGTTCCAAGTTGGGCGCATCCATCATGGTGCTAAAGGTACCCGATGACGAGGACACGACTTCACTCAGACGACGGGTCGATGTCAGTGTCAGATCCCTTCGAGTGCATTTTCAATAATGCCTTGCTCGGGGACGAGTAGTCAGTCGGATGTGTGGGCGCAAGTGGAGCTCATCCTTGTTCATGGGTATTTGTCTATTTTTTTTCAAACAGCATGATATGGCTCGTGATCCTTAGGGCCCTCAGTCGTTGCAGACGTCCGCCAACTCGCAGGAGTACTCAAGCTCGACACCCGCTGTGATCTCGCGTCTTCCATCTCGATCGCACTGGTGATAAATTGTGGATCGTTGTCTTCTCTCTGTTTCCCCAGACCGCCATTCATGTCTTCTTGACTTTCTGTACGTCGGAAGATATCCCGAAAGCCTCTAGGTATTTGTTGTTGTCTGGGTTCTGGCCAATAAGCGTGGGTATGCGAGGACTGTTGCGCTCGTGTGACAGAGCTAGGCCCGTATGGACTATCCGCACTATACGTGTGCGAGTTCCAGTTTCTTAGGCCAAAGACGCGTTGAATGAGTGGATAAGTGAGGGGCAAGTTGGCGCAGAGTATAGCTGTATATGACTCCCGGAGATACCAGATCGTCCACTCAGTCCCGAATGGGTTCGTAAATGAGTAGTACTTATTGAGAACTGCAGCAACAATAGTGAATGCCCCTATGCAGAAGATCACAAACAGTATAGTCTTATTCTTCTTAGGTAGACGAACTTTGAAGAGCAGCGGCATGGGTATGCTTAGGATGATCAAATCGCTGGAAATGTTGAAGACTGCGTTGGTGATGAGATGGTTGGTTGCTGCCGAACATTGTTCTGTTATCGTAAGTATTGTGTGAACACAGGCAGCAAAGTCACTCACTCGAATTGGGAGGTACTGCCCAATATTGGTTGAACGGCCTGCACCAAACCCCAAGATATAGTACTTCCATGACCACGAATGCGACAGCGACGTAGATAGAGGTAGCGACGACGATTTTGTGTTGCGGCAGAACGAGCGTCATTCGGTTGTACATTATGAGCAAGCAGGCCTTGACCAACCATATCGTAAGGAGTTGCATCTGCTCTACTACCAAGACGAGCTTGGACCCGTATACACGCATCTTGATCTCAGCCTTGGAGTATTGAGAGACATCGTCTCCAGGCGGTATCAAGTTGCCTACAGTTTGACATAAGAAATCAGCAGATGTCGCACTTGTAGATCATACATGGAAATTACGTACTACTAGTCTTTGCAATTTGATGCATGATAGCGATAAGCACTGTGTCTGTAGCCTTAGGTATCGATCAGCACCTACAGTCGTTCAACGTTGTGAATCACAAACCATAGCTACAAGAATTAGGTAATCATCCAATTGTAATGACTTCCATGATCCACGGTGTATTCTTCGCGAAATAAGTCGAATAATGACAACGACCCAGCAAACGCCATAGAAGATTCCAGCTTCGGGGTCGAGCACTCCCGACATGGGTATTTGGTTGGCTCGAGAGCCGAGGGAGTTGTGAAGTTCAGGAGTTGGGCCAGCAAATGGCGACTAGTCCGGGATTAGGTTGCTCAGGGCTTTGGTGGCTGTTAATTAAACGTAGTTGAAAGTATCGTGTATAGGTTTTGAGGAGCGATAGGGACCACGAGGGGTTGGAAAACAAAATAGATCGTCGAGAAAAAATGCCGAGCGCCCGGTCAGCAGCCGTGTTGTGAACCACGGGTGCAATCTCGTGAAAGGCGGGAGTGAATTCAGCAATCACTCGGCATTACTTTGTGATGTCGGGGGCTTTTCGTCACTGGTAGCTTCATTGACAGTTTGATGGGCGCTCTGGGATGTTGCTTGGAAATGGCGCTCTGGGGTATCGTTGTGGGCGGTCGCTCTGGGGTGGTCGCGTAGTGTTCCAAGTGGAAGTATTTGGGCTGAGGAGACAGCGCTCAGAAACTGAGATCCCCCGGACCCCAAGATATCAGGCTAGACACCAAAAGTGTCGCAAGCGCCACTTTTAACGGAGCTGTGCGTTCTCAATGATCTGCGCAATAGACTAGAGACGGACGTCGAGCTTCGACACTTGTGGGACTGGCGGTAGCGTTGGATTGGATGACGCGCTCCCGACAGCCTCAACCCAGGGCTGAGTCGTCCAATTCAAAGTCCGCGGTAATATCGCAATGTTGGTTTCTGACCGGAAACCTTTTGCGACGTTTTGTGGTACGATTGAAGAAGAAATGTTACAGCAAGTCAAATTCGTAACGGGGTTTTCGGCGCTGCTTCGGTGATTTTGCAGTGATGCAAAGTGCGACTTCAGGCGACCAGTATTCATATCGTGAGTATCTTATACCAGCCGTTAACAATGTCCCTGCGGGCTTGACTCGACGAGAATTTCCCTGTGACATTGCAGCGGAAAGGCCAATGCTCCAGGAAACTTTCGCGGCGCGTGTCAGCTCGAATGAGTGACATGTTTACGGGCCGGGCGGCAGCGCTATTTGACGCCTTTTGGGGGCTTAGGTTAGCCAATTGGCGGGCCGTGGCCGTGAGCGTTCAACTCACCACTCACCACCCGCACAATTATCGGCCTTGCTTCAGGCGTTCAGTAGGAAAAGTAGGAAAAATCGCGCAGTTACAATAAGCTTTCAGAAACCTTGTCGCAGATAAAGACGAAGGAAGAGCGCTGTCATGGGCACGCTTGGCGAAGGCGGTGTCTCCGCCTCACAAGCAGGGGCGAACGGAAGTAGCAGTGCGACGTCGGACACAGTCAGCTCAAAAACCCTGGAATGCAGGCACAGTAACCATGAGGTACGTCCGCACAGCTGACGACTCTTTACTACTATCATTGTCAATTATCAAACTTGCAATGCCCAGCGAAGAGGCAAGAAGCTCACTAGAAAAGTATTCAGAAGAAAATGGGAAAGGCATGCTTGTTTAGCAGCCATGATAGCGAGGCCAACACGCAGATGATCCTGAGAACGTTAAAACAAACCTGTGCGGAGAGCGCAACGAGGACCAAGACCGCGACCAACAAGATGCAATCCTTGAACGCTTTGAGCGAAGGTGCGGCCGTCATCTAGCGAGCGACATTGCCGTCGCCTTTCTTTATTCACGGAGCAAGGCAGTAAAGCAAATCATCGACACGCGAGTTGGACTTCATACCACCATACCCGTCAGGTCGGGGCCAGTGCTATCTCCATCAAGGAAGGCTTGAACAATCACGACCTCTGCCCAAGTCCACAAGATATAGACCGGATTTGATTTAGGCTTCTACAGCTTGATAAAGATCAGAGATCAGTCGGATCAGGCGATGACAGCGCTCTCAGAGATCAGTGCTACAACGCCAACGATAGGGATCTGTTGAATGTACTCCGATAACGTACACTGATCTACCAATACTAGCGCAGCTGTAGGATAGCAGTGAAGGCAAAGAGGAAGAGACGATTGGAAGAAGATGAAGACGTGGGTCTTGGGAGAACAACGCGCACCCGCCTCCTTCGCTGAGGCGTAATCTTCTACCGCCCACACAGCAAAGTCCAAGAATCGACACAATACCGTGGCCTATGGCTTCGTCTTACTACATGGACTGGAGTATGGACCATCCTGTCTGTATTGTCGAACTTGCTGTATTCCAAACATCTATATTCCTATTGTATACAATTGTGAATACCTGCAGGATACACCTTAGTAGTTGCCAAAGGAGACACAGGTTAGGAAACCCGAGCTTCCTTACATAAGGCTCTTCGGTTGTTTGTGTCTGGTCGGCTTTTCAGAGTAGGGTCACTCGGCATCGAATATTCAACGTAGCCTTGGTTTGCAGCATCGATACGTCCTACGGATAAGCTTTGATCAGCAGCATCTATGGGGTAGGCATTAGCGATGGGATCGACGGGCGGGATAACAGTTCATTGTGTGCTACTTGGCTCAAGATCAGTAATCCGCGATCAAAGCAAAGCAAGTGTATCACTGGAGTCGCCTGCAAAGTAGCAGCTCTTAGAACGATTTACAAAAGATTACAATTGAGCATGAGCTGCTGAACTTACAAGGAAGGCATGCTCGTAGCTACGGTAAGCAATTCTCGACTGTTCGGCAGTGTCACCACGGCGATACCAAGGCGGAGCTTATCGCTCCTCCAACGCCATGTGGGAACCCACGGATGAGGCCGTTGTACGGAGGTCTATACCTGATGAAGCATGTCCAGCCGTATCGCAGTGTTGTAGGACGTAAACCTTAGCGCTAGATATCGGAATGATTCCGTCAGAGCACCCGTGGATCCCCAATCTTGGTCAACGCAAACACAAACACAAGCAGGCTGCTTGTCTTCATCACCTACGAGTTTGACAGATACTCCTACGCCCGTGTCATGGTACAAGATGCTATCGATTGAACATGCAGTTGCCTGACCTCCTAGGGTCATCAAAGACAGCTTCTTCGCAATGTGTCTTGAGCTCGCGTGCCCCTGCCGGCCCGCGATCTCCTCCACACCTCCTACTGTCTAGGGTAGTCTAGCCGAACGCCGAACCGTGCACTGATAAAGAGATAGCATCTCGCTCGTCGTCATTCGCCGCGCAAACGCCTATCACCCATACTAATGGGTTATGACGCTGCTTTGGGCCGCTGCCCATGTGTTGCAGCATGGCTTCGCGTGTACTCTCCCGCTTGGTGTAGGGACACCCCGCTTACGACACTGCTGCACAATGATATGCAGACTGGGGTATGGGCGTATATAGACGAGTTGCTGCACTTTGCGCGTTGCTAGAGTTCTAGTGTACCGGTTCGTGTCGCGATCTTTTCATTAGTCGGGTGCGTTCTTCGACTGCGACTGCGACTGCGACGACGACGACGACGACAACAACGCACGTATGCGTTTTCCCTTGCAACAATGACGACTTCCCACCATCGGAACCCTTCCGTCGCGGAAGAACCTGTGACTTCTGTTCTTCCGGACGGCGACATACCTTACGATCCCACGCATTCTTTGAACCCGGATGAAGAGGTTCTGGCGGCACTTGGTTACAAATCCGAGTTCAAGAGAGAATTTTCCCTCTTTACCACATTCTGTGTCAGTTTCGCAGTTCTGGGTCTACTGCCCAGTTTCGCATCTACACTGTATTATGGCATGGGCTATGCAGGGACAGCTGGCATGACCTGGGGTTGGATCGTAGCCATGATAGGAATTCAATGTGTGGCTATGAGTATGGCGGAGCTGTGCAGTAGCATGCCGACGAGTGGAGGGTTATATTATGCTTCTGCCGTCCTAGCACCACCTGGTTGGGGACCTTTTGCTGCGTGGCTCACTGGTTGGAGTAACTGGCTCGCTCAGATTACAGCGGCACCGTCCGGCAAGTACAAAACCGTCATCCCTTGTTGATGATTATGGGCAAAGAGTTGACTGTTTGAGCAGTCAATTATGGAATTGCGGCCATGATACTTGCGGCGGCTAGTATCAACGACCCATCTTACGTCCCCACAGACTATCAGACGTTCTTGCTAACCGTCTTTATCATGATACTGCATGCCATTCTTTCCTCGATGCCGACGCGCTGGCTCGCACAATTCAATTCTGCTGGTTCGACATTCAACTTCATCGCGCTCGTTGTCGTCATCATCATGATACCAGCCGGCACAGACCGCACAGAACGTGGCCTTCCTCGTTTTGCTCCTTCGAGCGAAGTTTGGGGCACGATCTATGAGGGAACATCCTTTCCAGCCGGCATCTCAGTTTTAATGTCCTTTATCGGCGTTATCTGGACTATGTCCGGCTACGATTCACCGTTCCATCTTGCAGAAGAATGCTCTAATGCGAACATCGCTTCTCCGCGCGCTATCGTCCTAACGTCGGCCACTGGAGGTATATTTGGCTGGTTCCTGCAGCTGGTTGTTGCATACACTGTCGTTGATATCGAGCTGGTCCTTGACTCGGAGCTTGGGCAGCCGTTCGCCGCGTACCTGATGCAGTGTATGTCGCAAAAGATGACATTGGCCATCCTTGCCCTAACCATCATCGCGGGGTTCAGCATGGGTCAAGGGTGTATGATTGCCGCAAGCCGAGTCACATTCGCCTATGCTCGTGATGATTGTTTCCCTCTGAGTAAGTACTGGAAGAGAGTCAACCGACATACTCAAACGCCTGCAAACGCCGTGTGGTTCAACTGCGCAGTCGGTATACTGTGCCTGCTGCTCATCTTTGGTGGAGAGTTGGCAGTTGGAGCGCTGTTCTCGATTGGCGCTATTGCAGCTTTTGTGTAGGTTTATGTCATCACAGTTAGATTTCTCTGCTGACAGCGGATAGCGCATTTACTATACCAATCTTCATCCGCGTCTTTTTCGTAGGGAACCGTTTCAGACCGGGTCCCTGGAATCTAGGGAAGTACTCTAGCGCAATTGGCAGCGTCGCATGCGTGTTCGTCTTGCTTATGATACCTATCCTATGTTTCCCCAGCATAACCGGAGCAGACTTGACGTAAGGCCCAACACAACTTTGGTATCATCCCGAAAAGACTAACATATTTGCAGTGTTGCAGACATGAATTGGACATGTGTTGTCTACGGTGGCCCAATGTTGTTGGTAACGATATGGTGGTTCGTTTCAGCGCACAAATGGTTCAAAGGACCAAAGGTAAACATTGAGCACATGATGCTCGGACGAGAAGAGGCTGTGGTTGTCGGACAGGGGTCGGTAGACGGGAAGGATGGCGATAGCTCGTTGGGGGATGTAAAAGCGCCAGAGAAGATTACCAAATCGTGAGTAGAGGCTTCTCTGTTGGTACATGATGCGTCTGTTGCCTTGGGCGAGAGGCGCAAGAGAAGAGGTTTGCAGAATTCGAGCAAATGGACCTATGTCGCTATCGTGCTATAATCTATCTCATGTCAGCTACGACTATGTATGGAGAACATCCCGTACTAACCTCAGATAGCAGCTAGCGCGACAATGATGAGCGCCACAGCCTGTTCCTGAATGCCTCCTTGCCTATTCTCTACATCGTTGTAGATGTCTTGAGAGTCCCGATATGCTGTTGAACATGGGAGTTATCCGAAGATCGTGTGATAAGGGCACCAAGCGGGCAATTGCTATTACGAGGACTACACTGGGTAACTCGCCAATCACGCTTGGCCGCGTGACGTCGTCAATCTCTGATGGCTGTAGGTCATACAAAGATGGACGTTGGAAACTAGATTTCTCGACAGTTAGGTGACTGCGCACGCCTTACAGGAACACGGACGATGCTAAAAAAATCGAATACATTTCTAAATAGCGGAACAAGTGGCGTGCTATGCGTCTGTATACAATGGACCTGCACGCTGCTGGAAATCTCCACTTGCGGAAAACCCGACTTGTAAACGCCAACGCTGCATGCCTTACTATACAGTACAGAGAGAACCACGTCCAACCAAAATTGCCTTTGATTTCAAGTCCTCTGCCACTTGTACCAACAAAAACCCGTCCCCTTCGTGATCCTAGAAGACTTGATCAGGCAGCAACATCCAGCCCCGCCTTCTTCAAGCCCTGCAGAAACTGCTCTTTAACATCCCCCTCGCCACTCGCCCCTTGGTCTACCTTGTCTTTATCATCAACCGGCAGCGCATTGAGCTGCGCCATCATCATCCTCTCCACGGCTTCAATACCAGCTTCCTCCGCTTTACTCAATCCACCCGCGGCCGCGGCATCGTCCTTCTTCTTCCCCTTGCCCTTCGCCCCATCGTCCGTATCTTCACCCTGAACCATCTTGTCCAATTCTAGTTTACTTACACCGAGCGCATAAATCTGCTCCTCGACCGTGCCCTTAGTGACTAGTCTGACCACCTCGACCTCTCTCGTCTGACCAACACGATGCGCACGATTCTCTGCTTGGATGTCATCCTGGGGATTGAAGCTCGAGTCGAAGATGATGACTTTGTTGGCGCAGGCGAGGTTGATGCCCGCTCCACCGCTCTTGGTGCTGATCATGAAAAGCTGGATGGATTCGTCTTGGTAGAAGACGTCCATGAGCGACTGACGTTCTTGAATTGGGGTAGAGCCGTCCATGCGCATGAAATTAATGTCGTGATCGTCAAAGACCCAGCCGAGGATATCCATAACTGAAGTGAATTGGGAGAAGACTAGTGCACGATCACCGTTTTCTTTGTACTTTTTCAACAAAGCAAGCAGTGCAGAAACTTTGCCAGAGTCCATCCATTCGTGGTCTTTGAGCTCATATTTCTTAAGAGCACGATACTTGGAGGCGAGTTGGTGGCATTGGTAGTCTTGATACAGCTCTAGTTCTTCGTAGATGATGTCTGGATTGCTTTCGGCAAACATGTCTTCCTTAAGGCAGGCTTTGGACATCTTTCGGATCTTATCGTTGTTGTATCGATGACGGAAGAGTAGGGGGTGTATGGCTGCTTGCCGGAGCTTCATCATGACGTTGGCGTGGTCCTTGACGGGTATGCCTGCCGCTCGGTCTTCAAGGATCTTGCGCTGCTTGGTCAGTTGCTCGTTGTAGAGCGTCCTCTGTGTATCGGTAAGATCGCAATACTCGACGCGAGAAGTCTTCTTCGGCAGGTGCTTGAGCACCTGTACCTTCTTTCGCCGAAGGATGAAAGGCGTCAGCATTGTACGAGCGCGTTGGATACGCTGCGCAGACAGCAAAGAGCTATGTGAATCGCTCTCCATCGTCTTGGCCTTGTGTTTGAATAAGATTTGCAACATCTCCTGAACCTCCTCCTGTTGATCGCCATAGAATACTTGTGGCATCAGGAAACCCAGGATTGACATGAGCTCTTGAAGACTATTTTGAAGTGGAGTTCCTGTCAACAAAATCCTGCAAGTCGCTTGAATCTTCATCAGACTCTTGTAGCGGATCGTGTTCGCGTTCTTAAGCATATGCCCTTCGTCAAAGATGCAAATTTCGGGCCTGCACTTTCTAAGGAAAGCCAGGTCCTCCTTCCTGAAGGTAAGATCGTACGTCGTAATGATCACGTCGCACGTCCTCTGCTTGATATTATGAAGAATGCTCTCTTGATGAGAGAACCGCTCCGCCTGTGATCCATAGTACGGCGTAAAGTTGATCGTCTTGGAAAAGCGCTCAAACTCACGACACCAGTTCTCCAGTGTCGAACCAGGAACGACAATAAGCGCAGGCTTCCCCTCGTCTTGCTCTTTAAGATGTGACAGGAATGCGATGATCTGGCAGGTCTTTCCCAAACCCATATCGTCGGCCAGAATACCCGAAGTTTTCGTCTTCCATAGGAGATTCAGCCAGTTGAGGCCTACGACCTGGTAGTCTTTGAGTTCAGTGTCTTCGTTCATATTCGCGGGTTGTGTCAAGAGTTTCGTGCGAGTAGCCGCCTTTCGTATGTTCTTAGACTCGGTATCGCTGCCATTGGCACTCCGAGGGGTATGGTAGCCTGAGTCACGAGAAGAGTTTGTGTCGCTACTATCGTCCAGACTCGTCAATTCAACACCATCTTCTGTAGAAGCACCAAAGATATCAATACCCCACCGTGCCATGCCTGCAACCATTGGCTTGCCTAGAGCTTCGCATTGTTGAACAACGGAATCAATCGTGGAGTATGCATTCCACATGCCCTCGGTAGATTCCACAAGGCGTTGACCAGTCGTTATGCGTGGCTTGCGCGCCTTCTTCTTTCCCTTCTCCACTGGCGTAAGATCCACATGGACCTTGCGAACAGCGTCAAGAGAGGCGAATGGACGCTGCTTGAAAATCTCCTTGATGTCATCTTCTTTGTGGCTTGACAAGTCGACCATGGCTTCCACAGTACAGGTGTTGAAGAAATTCAACAAGGCACTCTCATCAAAGTTATTTTCCACCACTGAACCACCTGCATCCGAGTCATCATCCACAACAAGATCCGCAGCAATACCCTCATCCTCATCGGAAGAGACAACAATCGGCGCCTCCTTCTTCGGTTGATGTTGTGGTCGTTGGGGTATGGGCTCCGGTGAGGGCGAGAACACGGCCTTCTTGCGATCCTTGCCGCTCTTGAGTCGGCGCTTCTGTTTCGGTTGCTCCTTTTCAGGACTATCAATCTTGACTGGGCTGTTTTGGGTGGCACCTAGCTTGGAGTACTTGTTCTGTAGTGATTGCACAGGCTGCTTCAACCCGCGTTGCGCTGTCTTCTTCACGACTGGCGCTGAGATCTTACGGGCTACTCCTGGTGGAGGAGAGGAGCGGAGCAGCTCGTCCTCTGACTCTTGGTCCGCCAAATACTCGGAAGCATCATTGAAATTGCCCTTCCTCTTAGTCAAGGCGTCATGCAGCTGCTTGACAAAGCGATTAGGGTATATAGCCCTCAGTCGATTGACCTTGGCATACATGCCCAAGTCATGAATATCCTCCATGGTCATTTCCTTCTCTTCCGTCAAGTCTATAGGTATAGCGCGCGAAGGGCCTCCTTGCTGCATAGGCTTCTGTCGCTTGGGTGGCGTACTCGAACCGTATTGTTCTGCCGACCGTTTACGCGACTGATCGCTGCCGTATTTGAAACTAGACAGATCCCAAGTCGGCTTCTGTGGTGTCTCCTCAATCCGCGATGTCATGGACATCTCAATCTTGGACAAGGGTATGTTGCTCCTGTATTCCGACTCGTCCTCGTCCGGGTCGCGCTCCACAGGTGGATCGTCCGAGGTCAAGTCGACGACTGGCTTGCGAACGGCCTGCGGAGGGAAGAAGCCTGTGCCTGGGGGTGCCATTGGATTGCTGTAGCCCCCATATGGGCGTTGCGATTGCGAAGGCGACATAACAGGCGGCGAGGAACGCTGAGGGGCGGGCGAGGAACGCGGGACTTGTAATTGCGATGAGGAAGCCGCGGGCTGGACTGGGTGGGCGCGTGGTGTAACTATAAGCGTGGGTTGCGTGCTATCAGACGGCGCCGCAAAGAAGGGAGAACGCTCCCCGAGGATTTGCGTAGGCTGTGTGACGTAGGTGTCTCGGTCCTCGTCGCTGTGGGGAGAAGCGCGCGATGCGACTGGCGGCGGTGAAGACGAAAGTATGGGATCGCGGCGATACATTTTGTAGCAGTAACTATTGCAGGCGGTTGAGCTGAACGGCGGACGTGGTGGTGGTGGTGACGGTGGTATCGCAATCGACTTTTGCCGCCTCGTTCGCACAAGTAGTAGAGCAGAGCAAAGGAAGACGCAGAAAACAATGGCTCAGGCGAACAAACAAAGGCGAAGGGTACTGGACAAAGCAGAGGGCGTAGCCGTACAGACTAAAACACCTGGTCTCCGGAGCGCAGGGAGGGAAAGAAGGGTTTGCCTTGTGACGGGCATGACCAAAAACAATTCACGCGTTCCGAGAACCACTTTACGCGTTGAGAGATTCTTGAGCTTGGACCTCCCCTGCCCTGAGCCTGTTCAATTACGTTACTCGATTCGGCTCAGGCAGGGCCCTGTCAGTCACTCACGGACAGAACACCACGACACATCAACGACTAGAAAAATGACGACCAGACGGATTGTCAACGAGGAGAAGTCGTCTCTAGACTACGATGGGAAGGGCGCTCCCGAGCCGTCCAATACCTCTCCAGCAGTGCCATCGTGAGTCGCCTTTAGTAGAGACTAGTACTGCGACTGACAAGAACCACAGATCGGTTATCTGGAAGTTGATGAGCTTCACCTTTGCCATGATCACGCTGCCTATCGGCACGTACTTCTTCACTGTCAACTTTGTCTTCCAGGGTGAGTTGTTCCTGTGTGTCGTGAAATAGGACGTATTGACTTTCTCTAGGCAACGCAACATGGGCGGGTGGTTTGGCAGCACTCATGGCAAATGTTGTCTTGATCGCATACGTTGTCATGGCATTCAAGGATGACCAGGAAGAGATGCGGGAGGAAGCGGAAAAGTCCAAGAAGAAGTTGTGATTCTTGCTGGTGCATGGAAACCAGGGTTGCAATGCATGCTAGGGGAAGCCATTCCAAGGAGCTTGTTCTTGCGAGTTGTACTATGAGTACCAGAATCTACTTTAAAGATACACACAAACTTCTGTGTCACGTCTCACGAAAACGAGCTCCTTGTTATGGAAATACAATAGGAGACTTAGTGTGAGATCATCACGGCATCACCACAATCAGATGAAAATGTCAATGTTGCTCATCAAACCATTATGATTACCACATTACCAGCCACTCAAAGAGCAAGCTTCTACTGTAGCGGCACCTTCCAAACCTACAAGGAGTGACAATCGCGGTATATACCCTTCCCGCATCCCCAAAACGCCGTAGAAACGCCATCATGCTGTATACGCAGGGTGGCGTAACAGTGGTTCGACCAGAGGACTCCAGAGCCCATGGTGAAGACATTCATTCATCATCATGGCAAGCCCGCGTCGTAGAAGCTAGCCGATGTACTTCTTCCACCTGGCCTTCAACTTCAAGGTCTACTCTTTGCTGAATCGCCTCTTGAACCAGCTCTTGCGCTTGTCGCCTGCATCGCTGCTCTTCTTAGACAACATGGCCGGCCTCGTGTTCTCCGTAGCTGGTGGCCCGCCGCCGCCGAGTTTGATTGGTGCTGCTTGCGCGGCATGTTTCGGGGGTGGTGGTGCCATGCCGTTTTGTGAAGGCATGCCGTGGGCTGGCGGTGGTGGCCCCTGTGCATACTCCTCCATAATGGGGCCTCTTCCGAATCCATTGAATCCGTATTGTGAGCCCATATCTTGTTGTGGTGGTTGCACGGGGATGCCTCTTTCGATGGAACTGTTCTCGCTATTGCTTGGATCGTTTGAGTATGGGCCGTCGCTGTGGCTTCCATTCGAGCCGTTGGTGTTTACTGTGTCGCGCGACTGTTGGTAGCCGTTCATGGGGTAAACACCTTGCTGGCTTTGTCTCGTGTTCCATCCCGGGTCAGACTGCATGCGATTGCCGTATCGCAACCGCGGTGGTCCGCCCACAGGTCCACCCTGCCCATAGCCATCGGCGTAGCTGTCACGTTGGGTTTGTCTTTGGGGAAAGTAGCCGCTGGCGGTCGAGAAGCGGTTCTGGTCGTTGTATCCGCCGCCGCCGCCGCCGTAATAGCTGCTCCGTCGGCTTCCGTAACCGCTCATGACATCAGTCTGGTCGGCGCGCATTGATTGGGCGCGTCGTCTGTATTCGCCATCAATGGCAGCCTCGAACGAGCGGATTGTGTCGAGCGGGCGCTCCCATCGCGAACGTGTGGGGTTGGAGAGATCGGGATCGGCTGAGGACGATTAGACGACGATGGCATGGCATACAACGGGGAGAGGACAACTTACCAATGGGGTTACCGGCCGTGTCGGTATGCTGGAAGGAGCGCAGAGAGGCGAGGGTGGGCTTGGTGAGGGCCTCAGCGACTGGGCAGGCGGTTAGCAGAGTGCATGTGAGCGCGGCGATAAGCATGACTTACTGGGCTGCTGCTCATTCATGGCGGCGTTGGGGTTCGCCTTTGAGTTTGGATCGTAGTGGTCGCTGGCCTTTCTTTCGTGCTTGGTTTTGGACGGGCTCTTGGGGGTTGCGTTGTCGCGGCTCTTGTTGCTCTTGTTACTATGAAAGCTGAGACCGCGCGGGCGCGATTGCTGCTGTGTCGCTTGCTCCATTGTCACAGCGTCGGGCGATACCCAGTTTTTTCTGCGGAAAGTCTAACAAGCTACGGCCAACGAGGCTGGTGAGCGGGTATTGCGGAGCTTGGTGGGAGCGCGATGTGCACGTAGCGCGCGGCGTGGGTACTGCAATGAATAGCTGAGACGACGGGCGCGACGTCGCAGAAGCAAACAGGTAGGATCAAGAATACAGTGACGATGCAAGTGATGAAGATGTGGAGTGAGACGGAGAGTTGAGCGGGTTAGAACGGAATAAGCTCGAGTGCGCAGCTCGACGCGCGGTGGCCTCTTTCACGTTGGGCACTCTTCGTCATCAACGGCGCGGGCTATGCATCCCGATTGGACTCTTAGCCCATGCACGACTTCTGAAACGCGCAAGCTGGAGACCTGCCAGGACACGGTGCAAGCCTATCTCTTATCGCCCTCTCTGCTGCTGTGCATATGCCATCTGTTTCCCAGCCTTCACCACCCGCTTCACACGTCAATTGACCTGCCAGGACGTCGACAGCTACATGTTCTGCACAGCCTACCTCGCCACCAAACGCCCTCGTATCCAGGCAGCTCCCGTTAGCATTAGCAAATTTAGACAGCTTCAATAGTCTTGCTGTTCTATGCGGTCTAGCTCCCCGCCAGCGCCAGCCATCTCCATCATCTCCAACCACAACACAACACAGCAGCACAACACTACACCATTCACTCTGCTGCATCCCACACACTTCAAACAGCCACCTGTCAACTGACTGCACTGCACAGTCTGCCCACGACTGCACCGCATCTGCTTACATATAATACTCGTTCTGCATCTCGCACCAAGTACAGCTTCCCACGAATGCTAGGTCCGGTACACTAGCTACAAGACTAGCCGTATAACCGGATGCTGCATGAAATCGCATTGGCAAGCCTGCATTCTGCCGCTTTCGAAACGCGTAAAATACCACTCAAGACATGTTAGAGATCTGCATCTATACAAGTGCCACCTCGAATGCAAACATCATTATGACATGGGTGATGCGCGGGTATGTGGCTACTGTCATCACCCGTTGTTCGGAACCCTGTTCCAAGCCACACGGCGGGTTTTGACCGACATTTCGTCCCGGTTGAGACTCATCAACATAGCCCTCACGCGCTGACATGCCTCATTTATTCATGATTCCGACTTGGTTTTTTGTGCTCCATGATATTCGCTAATTCATTTCTCTCTGTCCTGTCATCTAGCTGTGTGTAGGCATGTTGACCGACGCCTTCGTCGCGACAGCATCTTCACTCCTCCACAGACTTGTCACAGTCTTCTGTTGTGTGTAGAATTGTAGACCAGGCTTGCCGTAAAATGTGTTCGCACCACCGCCCGCAACCGACTTCTTGTTACCAGTGAAGGAGAACATGGGGAGCTGGCTAGTATCAGTGTGTGTGCCTAATGCTGCTGATTCAAGAGAAACTTACAGGTACAGGAATGGGCACGTTGATACCAACCTGACCGGCCTCAATCTCACGCTGGAAGCGGCCAGCGGTCGCACCCGAGCGAGTGAAGATGGCGGTACCGTTACCGTACTCGTTGGCATTGATCATGTCAATGGCTTCGTCGATGGTCTCGACGTTCAGGCAGACAAGGACAGGGCCAAAAATCTCTTCAGTGTAGCACTTCATATGCGGCTTGACGTTGGCGATGATGGTAGGACCAACCTACAAAGTACTGTCAGTGCAATGTCAACATCACACTTTCAAAAGACTTACCCAGTTGCCGTTGGCGTACTTGTCAGACGGGGGCTTTTGACCACGTCCGTCAAGGAGGATAGTTGCACCCTCCTCCTCGGCGCTCGCAATAAGGTCTTCAATCCTTTGCTTCGACTGTGGGCTGATAACAGGCCCGAGATCCGCACCCTCCTCGAAGCCACCGTTCATGGAGAGTTCTTTTGCGCGCTCGGCGATTTCAGGGACCCAGTCCTTGGTCTCACCGATCATGACTAGAGTGCTTAGAGCCATGCATCGCTGACCAGCAGCACCAAAGGCAGCTCCGGCAATAGCGTTCAACGCATGGTTCTTGTTGCAGTCGGGAAGGACAGCAGCGTGGTTCTTCGCACCCAAGTTGGCCTGAACACGCTTGCCTTGAGCCGAGGCGCGCGAGTAGATGTACTCTCCAGCCTTGTTGCTACCGACGAAGCTAATCGCCTTAATGCGAGGTTCGTCGATGATGAAATCAACCGTCTTAGCCGCACCATGTACAATGTTGATGACGCCCGGAGGGAAGCCAGCCTTCTCAGCAAGCTCTGCAAGTATCATGCAAGCACCGGGGTCGCGTTCCGAGGGCTTGATAACGACAGTGTTACCGGTAACAGCGGCGATGGGGATGGTCCAGAGGGGAATCATGGCAGGGAAGTCTGTTGTAGCACATTAGTACAAACCTCATCTACCACCAGTCGTGTACTCACTGAATGGGCAGATGGCAGCCACAACGCCCAATGGCTCTCTGTAGCTGCGTGTCTCCATGTCCTTGGCGACCTCGAGGACTTCGCCAGTCATCTGTGTCGTGATACCGCAGGCAGTCTCAGCAACCTGTAACCCACGGAGCACATCACCACGTGCATCCGCAAATGTCTTGCCCTGTTCCAATGTAATGCTAGCAGCCAACCGATCCCAGTTCTCGCGGATCAAGTGTGTGTATTTGAACAAGATCTGCTGCCTGTGAAGCAAGCTAGTCTCCTTCCATGGCTTGAATGCTTTCTCAGCGCTGTCCACGGCGGCCTTGAGCTCCTCATCTGTGCTCTGGGGCACGCGTGTCACCAGGTTGTTGGTCGCGGGATCATGCAGATCAATCCATTGTGTCGCTTTTGAAGCCACGAACTTGTTGTCGACAAAGTTTTGTGTGTCTGCAGGCGATTGAATTGGCTCGTGGTTCATGGGGTACGACTCAGTCGCTGCAGACGATGCTGGCTTCAGGTGCTGAGCAGTGGCGTGCAGCCGCCGTGCGGCAACTTTACTTTGGTTGACTGGTGACGACATTCTGGCACATAGAGGAGCTGCGCGAGGAAGAGACGAGCGGGCGGTCAGTCTTGGGAGGCGTGCGAGCGCTGTGCGGGAGAACATGGTGCAAGTCAATTGCCGGGTGTGCGGAGCAACGCAAGACGCAATTGAAGTTGGACAAGTTCTCTGGGTAATCAAGACATGGAAATTGAACGAGATTAGAGAAGAGTCCACGTCGCTTGCGGCTGTTAAGGGAAAGCGATTCCGAGCTGCCTTTTGGGAGCTGTTGCCGGAGCTTTGGAGCTGGGCCCCACTCCCCCTCCCGAGGTCTATGGATATCGAAGGCTTATCCACAACGCCCTCTTCCGCGGCGGCGTGTACGGCGTTTGTATGGCCACTTCTCCTATGTCCGGTTATCACGTATATACTCCATCTGGATTAGCTCATATACATGTTGGCACGTAAAAGGCTTGTTGATGAAACTGAATGTATTCTTATACTCCCATCCTGTACCCCAGGTGCTGCGTATCCCATTTTAAGGAGCAAACGCTCAATACATAGTCATAGCGCCGTGAATCTCAAAATGATATGATACTACAAATCAGGAATCCAATTGCGGAGGGTCGAGGTTATCCTCTGAACCGACCCTCTGGTATTCTGTTCCCAACCCCTACTTTCTTGGTGGGATACTTTACTTTTCACGTCATGGTTGCGACTACCTATGAGGCGTTTGATCGAGTGGTGCGCTTGTTGACCTCAGCCTGAGCCTTCTCAGCTCCAGTAGCGACAGCCTCAGCAGCCTTGTCCTTGGCATCAACGGCAGTCTTCTTAGCCTTGTTTGCCTGGGCCTTGAGCTGTTCCTGCGAAGGTGCAGCGCCAGAGCCAAGAAGGACAGAGGCGAGGATAGCGAAAATGGTGACAGCGATAACACCGATACCGCCAGCGACCTCAGGAACGAACTTGACAGCCTCAACGGGGTCGCGCTTGGCGATCTCGATGAAAAGGTTCAGCTTCTCCTTGACGTAAAGAACTGGGTCATCCTTGAAGACAAGGTCGGAGGGCGACTTGGGTGTGTCCTTGGGCTTGGGCTTGGGCTTGTTGGCCTCCTCTTCGGCCTTCTCGGCGGGGTGCTTGAGGTCGAACGTCTCAGCCTTGAGCTTCTCAGCATCGTCGATAGAGTGGCCAATGTAGATGTTGTCGAAGAGAATGTCCTTCTGCATGGTCCAGATCTCGAAACCAATCTATGGCACGTTAGCAAAGGTTCTGTGAAATTAGGTTAATATCAACTTACAGCACCGATGGGCTCAAAGTTGGCAGGGGTCTTGTCCTCGAAGTAGTCGGGGTTGGCAATCTTCTTGGGAGCCCAGACACCCTTGTAAGCCGGGTTGTCGATGAAGGGAGCGGTCCACTTGCCCTTGTAGGCAGGGTTCTTCTTCATAGGAGGCTCCCACTTGCCACAGCCAGAAACTTCATCGCACTTGGGGTTGGGAACGGTGGGAGGAACCCAGTCACCGTCTTCCTCGTCATCCCAGTCCTCAGGCTTCTCAGCCTCGGGGTCGGGAATGGTGGTGGGCTCATCCTCAAGCCAGTCCTCAGGCTTGGTGGCCTCCTCGTCGACAATCTCAAATGGCGCGTCCTCGTCCCAATCCTCGGGCTTGGTGGCCTCGGGGTCGGCAATGCGAGCATCGTCAACCCAGTCTTCGGGCTTTGTGTCGTTGGGGTCGTCAATCTCTGCCTCGGGGTTGACAGAAGGGGTAAAGTCCTCCAAGAGAGTACCGTTGCGAACGGACTCGCCGTCAATCTTCATCTCGAAGCTCTGGTCGGGCTTGACGATGAGGGTGTAGAGGCTGGTGGTCTTGACGATACGGGCCATGGGAGGGTTCTTGAGGTGCTTCTCCTCGTACTCGCCGGTCTTGGGGTTCTTGTGGCGGAAGATGAAGTGGACCTAGAGAGTCAGCTTGGTTTGTTGAAATGTCAGAGAAGCCGTACCTTGTTGGTAGCACCGCACTTGTCGGGACCGAACATGATGATGTAGGGAGACGCGTTGGAGAACTCCTCAGCGTGGAGAGCTGCGTTGTCCTGGAGGAGCTTCATGTACGCACCACCGCACTCGAGACCGTCTGTACTCTTGTTAGAACACTCGGATGATTCAAAGATCAGTGAGTAACATACCCTGAAGCTTAACTTCGTACTGAACAACGAGGGTGTCATCCTTGTTGTCAATGGCCTTGGGGAACTTGGCGGAGATGGCATGGTGGGCAGCCTTGTCCTTGATGACCAGTCCCTTGTCGCCCTCCATACCCTTGAGTACGGCAGGCTCCTCGACGGACCAAGTACCAACGTATGCCCACTCCTCGTCGTCGGCCTTGACGTCCTTCTTTGCGTGCGAGGGGTTCCATCGGGACTCCCAGTCGTCGGTGAATTGTTCGAGGAAAGGTGCCTTGAGCTCTGTGGGCTAGATTGTGTTAGTGCGATGGCTTGTCAATTGGCTATCCCAGAAACATACAGTAAAGGTAGGCTTTGCGACCGAGGTCGAGGAAGACGCGGGTTCGGAAGAGCTGGCATCGTCTGCGCGCGCAACGGCGGCAGCGAGCGCAACGGTAGCGCCAATTGCAAAACGCATCTTGCTTGCCTGCTGTCTAGGGTAGAGCAGAGGTCTTGGGTGAGGTTAAGGTGGAGGAGAAGGGTTCACGGGTTGATGGGTAGGGCAAGGTCCTACATAAATATGCTAGTACTGTGAAAGCCAGGTGTCTTTAGGAAGGCGTGCGGGCACATGCAGCTCTCCACTAGGGCCGCAGGCGCGCCTGCTGCCCCATGCTCAACGGCTCTGATAGATGATTCTGGAATTGCTTCACATAATTGACAGCTGGCCTGATCTGATACACTTTCACTCGGGTGTTCTGCTGTATGCTTTCACGTCGAGTTGGCGCTCATTCTTGAAGCACTTGCTTGAGTCTGTAATCGCTCGCTCCTTGTTCTTTCCGGTGCTCTTAGCACTGTCACTAGCGCACAGGGCAAAAGAACAACGTACTATGTAGTCGCAACCCCGGATCCACAGTTTCCAAAGATAACAAACTCTATTCATTGTGATTCTTTAGATTTCAAGGTGGGCGTTCCAGACATTCCACGATGTGAACAACAAAATCCACATTGATCACGCTCATGCGCTGTACTACCGGCACACGAAACTCGCATCACTGTATAATGAGTACTGCTGACTAACGTATGTGGTATCGATTGTAGGTGAGCTATATCCATAGTCGCACCAAATGCATGTGGCCAACGGCGCTTCAGTCAAGGTATCCCAGAACTCCGCCGCCTAGCCAGGCCGTAAGATATGATGTGCGTATGTATGCTACCCGTCCAAGTCCTTCCCGTAAGAGTAGTACAAGCCGCGAACGCCATGCGCTAAAGTCAAAGTGCTAATTACTCCATGCCGCATTCCAGATGACATGCCCTATGTCTCGTGCAGTATTTACTGTGTCAACAACTCTGCCTATTAGAGTGGGTGGCAGAGGCTCTTCTTCGTCGCCTTCGAATGGCATGAACATGCCCGACGGTGTTCTGCGAAGGCCTCCACTTTCCAGTGATGCCGACGACCCACTGCGTCGTAATGAGTAAGGATCCGAGGCAGTCGGTGTACCGGGCCTATTCGTGCCATAAGCGCTAGAGGGCTTGAGGTATTCCTCGCTTTCTTCGTCGTCCTCCTCGAGCAGGAAATTTCGTGATGGATTCGACGGCTTCAGCGTCTCGGACGAAGGCGATGGAGACAACCCACTACGCGATTTCCATATACCAAGGGAGTGCGACTGTTGCGTCTCAGTGACGTCGGGTGAATCTGTCCGATACTTGAGCGTCGTTGATGGGAGTTTTGCGATGGTCTTGTTGTCAGTGCTGATGCTGACAGAGGAGGGCGTGCGTGAGAGAGGCTTCTTCCGGCGAGATCGCTTCATCATGACGACGCCTTCATCGGACGAAGAATCATTTTCCTGGTACTTGGCCCAAGGGTTGTGGTTGCAGTCGTCCTCTTCATCGTCGGCGTCTTTGCACTCGACGGCAATACACTGCTCTACCTTGTCGTCGAAGCGAATATGCCGTTTTTCTCCGTGATCGGGCGTGTGCAGTCCAGATGTAGATTTGGAGGAAAAGTAGTCCGTGCCTTCCCAAAGCAAACCTCGGGACATGGTGGAAGATGTGGGGAAGTCGGGGGTGACACGGCCGATGATTGGTCGGGGCCTCCGCAACTCCAGCGTCACACCGGTTGTTTGCTGGGCCTGCACCGACTCGGCAGCCTGCTGGATTAATGATGATGACGATAGTGACTTTTGCAGCATCGCTTCTGACATGCTGCGCTTCTTGAGGATAGGCTTCTTGACGCCATTGACGAATGAATTGGTCTTTGACAGGCGGCTGGCTGGCTCAGAATTTTGCTGTGAGCAAAAGCGATTCGAGGCCGGCTGCATGGGTCCGTAGAGCCATGTCACGTCGACATCTTTTAGCCTGCAAGATTGGTTAATACAGCCCAAGACCAAAAAACCTGCAAGATGGTGCACGGATGGGGGTGATCGGCACCCCTGCCGAAGATGCAGATCGAAATATTCGGGACTCACCAATTCAATGTTTCGGGCGACACCGTCTTTAGCTTAAACTGGGCCTTGGCCCACGTTCGCCACGAGGCATTTTCGAGCCTGGAGCGCTCGCCGTAGACGCTGCGGTGCTCCACAATGTGCCGCCACGATGACCAGATGTCTTCTTCTCGCCATTCGTACGAGAGGTAGTCGACGTGGTGCGAGGGCTCCTTGCGCACAGCCGTGTCGTCTTCGGATATGGGCATATGGTCGGGTGTGGTCATGGGCGTATCGGCGGTGGGGAAGGCGTCGGCGGGCGAGGGCGAGGAAAGGGAGCCCGGTCGCATGGCTGCACCTGCAGGCTTCAACGAGGCCACGTCGCCAGGCTTGATGCCCTTTTTATACTGCCGTGCTGAGCTGTAGTTGGGAAACGACAGGCCATCGTCGTCGCTGCTGGACTCGTCCGACTTGTCGAGAGAGACGCTACTCGAGGGCGTCGAGTGCATTGACGATGTGCGTGAGGAGCTGCTCAGCGAGGGCGAGCGCAGGTCGGGCAGCGAGTACTGGTTCTTGCGGATGGGGCTGTACGAGTCGTAGGCGAGCGACGAGGACGAGGGGGAGCGTTGGAAGGGCGCGTTGTCTCGCGGGAGCGACAGCATGGCCGTCATGTCGGGCGGGCGTGGGTCAATGCCTCAATATCTATCACAGCGTGTGCCAAACGGCCTCGACGAAAGTTGGCTGGTGGCTCGGTGTCGACATGCGGCTCGTGGCGGAGAGTGGCTGCGGATGCTGGCTGTGTGTATATATGGGGCTGCTGCGGGGGAGCCACTGCGGTGGTGCCTTTGCACGGGTGACGAGGGACGAGTGACAACGCAACGGCGTGTGTGAATGCAGTTGTTGAGGGCAGACTGGTCGTAGGAGGCGCGGCGGAGGAGATTGTCGACAGGCTTGGATGGCGACGGCGATGGTGCGAAAGCTTCGACCTAGAACCATCAACCGCAGACCCAGTAGGCTTGCGGGGTTGCGGCTAGCCTGGGAATTTCACGACCTTGGAACCTTGCCTGAGGATCCCCTGCAAACTGCAAATGATAAGCCGCCTGGTACCGTCGACGCGGCTTTCACCACACACCCCCAGAGCCTGCCTCAAAGGACCGACCGCTCCACCGCACCGCGTCGAGCAAGACGTTTGCCGGCCATGCACAGGCGCTGCAGCGCAGTCTATCGAGTAGCTGCAGCAGAGGTTTCGGTTGATCGGCCTGCAGCCCAACAGAAAGAAAGACGAAAAGCCTAGACCGTTGCTAATCATTCTCGCGTGGATGCGCCTCCTCGCGTCCTCTGCGGCACACGGCCAGGGGTGCCTCCTCTCCGACGTGCGTCCGGCCGTTGCTGCACCTCGAGCGCGCCGAAAGGGTGCAACAGAGGTTGCGGGGAAGCCTTGGACCACGACGGCTGCTGATGATGCGTGCTGACTTTGTTGACTCCACTCGCGCGACCGTCGCCGACAGACATGCCAAAGCCATCTGCAATGCGACGCATCCCCCACTCGACCTGTCCTGCACGTTAAACTAGCCCTCCGTCTAGCTTCTCAACACCAAGCCAGTTCCCACCACGACCTCACCGATGCTTCACCATATGACGAACACCGTCCATGGTACTCGTCCAAACACCTGCTCCTCCACATGGCCGTCCGCTGCATCCCTCGCTCGGCGCATGGGGATTTTGTGGAGAATGACGTTCTCTCCATCGATCGGAACTTCAACAACTCGAGTAAACCGTCTTCAACTTCTAGACGGCCTAGAAGCCTGTTTGCGCGAGATAGCATCAAAGCACGCACATCGTAATAGAAAAAACACGCATGGCGTCTGTATCAAGGGCCCCTGTCCCATGCGTAACGCGTCCTAAACGTATTCGCCTTGTTAAATGCCATTGTTTTGACAAAGTAAAGGACTGCAGCAGTACCTTTACGCTACGTTTCGGTGTGAAGGTCGAGCTCCAAGATGCCCTTCTGCTAGTTGGCCCCGTGCTAATCATAGCTCACCCTAGAGCGAGCGAAGAACAGGCTATCTACGGGTATAGAGTGGAGATGAGATGGGGTTCAAAAGTAATCATATGCTTAGGGCCTTGGTGTAAACATCAAAAACCTGGCTTGTTAAACAGCACTCGTGCCCTCTCCTTGCCCTCTCAGCGGCATCTTCAACCAAGTTCTCGTCCTGTGGCAGTGGTGTGATACTGCATCAATGCCGCTTCTCGAGCCGCATCCAATTTCATTGCACGACGACTAAAGAAATACCCTTTGTAGCAATCCGAAGATAAGCAGTAGATGCAGCAACGGTGTGGCATACGTCGTCAGCCTGCGCAACGTCGCACAGCATCCTCTTGACAGTTGAAACTTTTGCGTCCTCGCCTGGGCAAGGCTGAACAGCGCCTCTCTGGTGGCCACGAACATCGAAAGCGCATCCTATTCGCGCATGACATGTACGGAGTACCGTACATCAATCTCTTGAACATTTATCCTGTCCGCGGATTGCAGCAACCTAGGGGCTTATTTCCGGCAGAATGCATATCAATGATTCGGCTTCGTGCGATCGATCTCAGCGAAATATGTACGCAATGACGGTCCTCGCTCGGTGTTCCAGAGCCCCGAGAGGCGCGAAAGCGACCCAGTTTCTCTCAGCGCGTGTCGCAAACGTTTTACACATTTTTGCACTCTGTTTACACATTCCTGCACTGTGTGCTCCCTTATAACATGTCACTCCCTTGTCGCACGTAAACTTCTCATAGTCGCTTTTAACAATATCTAATATGAGCGCAACACACGATGCAACAGCCCCAGCCGGGGATGCACACCTGGATGCGAACGCGCCGAACAAAGATCACGATATCACGAGCCCTTCTTCGACCGATGTCAGTCTTACTGAAAGAGACGGAACCGTACAAAATGGCGAGAAAAGTGTAAGAGAGGCCGAGGCTGGAGCGAATGGCGCCGCTGCTGCGCCGACAGCACCTGGTGCGCAAGATGGCGAACATCCGCAAAGAACAAAGCTGCAGATATTCTTGATCATGCTCTCTCTGGCTGTGGCAGTTCTTCTCGTCGCTCTCGATATCACAATCGTCACAACCGCTTTACCCACAATTTCGGCAGAGTTCAACAGCGCCTCGGGATATACATGGATAGGTTCAGCGTATCTCATCGCACAGTCGGCAGCCACACCAATCTGGGGCAAGATTTCTGACATCTTTGGAAGGAAGCCTATATTGTTGCTCACAAATGCAATATTTTTCGTGGGCTCGCTCCTGGCAGGTGTGTCTGTTAATATGGATATGTTGATCGCTTCAAGAGTAATCCAGGGCATTGGTGGAGGAGGCCTTATCACACTAGTAAACATCGCCATCTCCGATCTCTTTTCCGTGCGAGATCGAGGCCAATATTTCGGAATTATTGGTGGTGTGTGGGCTTTGGCAAGTTCACTGGGACCTGTCGTGGGAGGGCTCTTCACGCAAAAGGTTTCTTGGAGATGGTGCTTCTACATCAACCTGCCTTTCGATGGAGTTGCTTTCCTCATCCTCTTATTCTTCCTCGATGTCAAAACACCAAGGACACCGCTCCGAGAAGGTCTCAAAGCTGTTGACTGGTTGGGATCGCTTACAATGGTTGGTGGAGTTGTTATGCTACTACTTGGCCTGGAATTCGGAGGCATATCACACCCTTGGGACTCCGCGACGGTGCTATGTCTCATCATCTTCGGAGCCGTTGTCATTGGCATCTTCTTCCTCATTGAGTGGCGGATAGCGCCATATCCTCTTATGCCTCTTGACCTCTTCTCGAAGCGTTCGAACTTGGCTGCTCTGGCTACCTGTTTCTTCCACGCTTTCGTTTTCATCAGCGGCAACTACTTCCTACCGCTCTACTTCCAGGCTGTGCTTGGCGCAACACCCATCCTTTCTGGTGTTTATCTGTTGCCTACTGCGCTGTCGCTATCGTTCCTTTCTGCCTTCACCGGTGTCTTCATTAAAAAGACTGGACAATATCTGCCCATGATCTGGTTTGGTATGATCCTGATGACACTCGGCTTCGGATTATTCATCGATTTCGACGTCAATACTTCCTGGGCCAAGATCATCGTTTTCCAGATCATTGCTGGAATTGGTGTTGGGCCAAACTTTCAATCCCCGCTCATCGCCCTTCAGAGTCTCGTGCCGGTAAGTTCCACCCAACGTTTCTTTTTCTGCTTCTGCACATGTGATCATTTAGCATGACGCTAGGAGCGGGGTTGTGGTAGAACGACCACATTTGCTATCATTTAGGTAATCGATGCTGACATGATCGCTTCTAAGAAACGCGACATCGCTACTGCGACCGCTACTTTCGGATTTACCCGTAATCTTGGCTCGGCTATCTCGGTTGTTGTTGGTGGAGTCGTCTTCAACAACGAGATGAAGTCGAAACAGCCTCAGCTTGCTACTTCGCTTGGCCCCGAGACCGCAGCAAGGTTTGGTGGAGGCTCCGCTGGCGCCAATGTAGGGCTTATCCAATCGCTTCCTGACGAGCAGAAGGTCGTTGCGCGAAAAGCGTTCGCCGACTCACTGAGCACCATGTGGATACTATACGTCGCATTCGCGGTTGTGGGGCTTGCAGTCAGTCTGCTGATCACGCGCAATAAGCTCGACAAGCAGCATGAGGAAACCAAGACTGGAATTGAGGCTGAGAAGGCTAAGAGGCTCGAAAGGGAAGCTGAACGTGCAGAGAGGCGGAAGAAGAGAGCTAGCAAAGGGTCTTTGCCACTCGATCCTGAAGCGCAGGCGAGTGATCCTGATGTCTCAAGGGACAAGGAGACGACAGCATGATGATTTTGACCGAGTCCATGCATCGCCAATTTTGACCAAAAGTTCTGGTTGTAGATTGTTAAGGATACCACTGTAGATAACATTGTAATACCAAGCCATAGGGCTATTTGGATGTTTTAATCACCCCTGGGTACTATGTTTTCATTGACAGTTTGTGCCGCTTTGCAGACGATACAACCAAGGCATGTCTTGGGACAACCCAGCTTTTTCTACGTGAAGGTATTACACAGAAAGCCACGTCAGGTCTCAAACCAGTCACAGCGTTCCAGTCATGTTGCGTTCTTACTCACATGGTCACTCTCTCACAGGGCACGACCCTTTGCTGAGAAGTCTTTGTCGCTACCAATTTAGATAACAGCGCAGTGAAGTAAACAAAGCAACCCTATCACCCGCTCCGTCAACGATGTGCTTATCGGGGCATGTCATCGCCGTGCAATAACATGTCAAGACATAGCCATGTTTCCAACTACCACTTTGTTTTCGCCATGTGCTACTACCGCTTATACATATTTGTGGGATGCGGCCACTCGACTTCCTCAGACGCGCCGGTTGGGTACTGTAAGGACGCGCGTAGAAAGAAGGAAGAAAGGGCGAAGGACCCGATGGAGAGTCAAGATCGGGACACAGAGTCTGGAGGCGGTTGCAGGTGTACAGACTCGCAGATTACATTGTTGCCAGACGATGACTCGGAAGGAAGAGCAAACGTTACCATCACCTGTGACGATGCCTCGAAACTTCTACATCCCGGTACCTCAATGAGCGAAGATAGGAGACAGGATACACAGTCTATGCCTACTACCCACGTTCCCCTGCATTTGATCACAGATGAGTGGCCTGTTTCACTACCTTCACCTCCACCTACCACTATCCAAGAGGGTCATACGCCGCCATCGAATTTACGGACAACAGGAAATGACACTGTTGAGCCATGCAGAGATGGTCGTGTACATCCTCTCCACACCATCAGGCTTGACCGTATATGCTCTGCCTGTGAGTGCGAGAGAGAAAGAAGACTCAGAGCGTTGTACTCATCAATGCGCGAGGTCAAAACTGATCTTACAAGATGGTATTGGAAATATCAAGGAAACATGAACAGGAAAGGCGCTGAGAATCAGCGGGCGGGTATGGGCTGGAGTGCTGGTGTAGGAGCGGCAGTAGGAGAATGGTGGGATCGGGGCAAGAAGGAGAACAGAAATGAGACAAGATGATTACAAGATAGTTTTGACCATGTTAAGATGGAGATTGCGTTGGACCTGTTCAAGATGCAAACACTGTGCAGACAAGAAAGGTGCAGCTGGTGATGCTTCGTCACGTGCACCAGCCGCCAATCGCAGCTCGGGCCTTTCAAAGCTCACAACATCACGACTACCACACCTCGCAACGCCGCCAATTGCCCCGTCGCACGACTGCTCATCACTCGACGGAGTCCTCGGAAACCAAAGACAGACACCCAACTCTGAACGCCCACTTCCGCCGCCACAATGCCGACACCAGAGTCCGAACTCTTCCTGGCCAAAAAGCCCAAGGTTGCGCCAACCTTTGATGGGGTCGATTACGAGGACAACACTGCGCTCAAGGGCGCACAAGACGCTATCATCAGGGAGCAGTGGGTCAGGAGCATGATGGCGAGGCTGGTCAGAGAGGAAATGGGCAAGTGCTACCGGAGGGAGGGGGTCAACCATCTGGAGAAGTGTGGACATCTACGAGGTAGGCCTTCCTTGGTGTGTATGGGCTAAAAGAAGACTTGGGTCAACGAAAAAAGGGCTGGAGACGTGGGGCGGATATAGCAGTCCAAGGCCGTCCAATGGAGGTACGGACATGACGGAGCGAAGGCTAACGAGTTGAACAGAGCGTTACTTTGAGCTCCTCAAGGACGCAAAGGTCAAGGGTTACCTCTTTGCGCAACAAAACTATGTCGACGATGCGCTCAAGCGATAAGCGGACCCGCCAACAACGGTGGTCACTTGTATAGAAGGACGGACAACGGGCAGACGATGCACGATACGCAGCGGAGAATACCACCAGCACGACGACAAGGGTTTATGGCGTTCGACAAGCATCTGCAGAAGAGATGCAACGATCCTCTCTTACTGGCGAATCTGTACATACACATGCCGGGGGAGGGACTGATGTAGCACAAATTATTGGAACAAGTGTGCAATTGCAGTGGTACAGTGCGTATATTTTCTTCTGGCTGACGTGATACTCTCGAGCTTGTAGAAATCCACTTCCAGGCGTATATCCATCTCTTTGTTGCTCCTACGCCCATGATATGATGAGACCAAGGCTAGCTCCTCAACCCCGCTACGACCGCGTACCTGCGTCAGCGACCGCTACGAACAGCAACAACAACCACAACAACAATCGACGCCCAACAAGATGCCCTTCCCCTTCGTCCTACCAACGACTTCCAGCATATCATTCACCGACTATTTCAACAGCAGCACACATCCATCCCTGCCAAACTGCGCAACCACTGCGCGAGGCGTCCTTCGTGACGTGCTCAAGCGACACAAGCGCATACCTCCTGCCTCACAAGCCTCGAACCTCTCCACGGTAACATCCGCCCTCAACGATTACATACCGTACCTGTTCGCCCTCGATGCGGGTCTGAGCGGTGCAAGCTGCGCGGGAGAAGAGATCGACCTGATCTTGGTCAAAGAGCTCGAGGTGGAATGGCGCTCGACACTGGGATCCTCAATACCGGGCCGCGAACCTGCAAGAGTAAAGCTCAAGAGCCTTGAGAGCGAGCTATGCTACACACTCTCCACATTGGCATACGTATACAGCCTCCAGGCTCGAGCACAACTACATACGCTCTACAACGCGACCGTACCCTCGCCCGAACAACGCGCGACGGCCATTGGTGCTGCTATGAAGCACTTTCTTGAAGCCAACTCTATACACACATACTTGTTGAACCGATCAGGCCAGTATAATTCACAGCCTGCCGCCATAGACATATCAGCATCCGTGCTGGGAGCGTTGGCGGAGCTGACCATGGCTGAAGCTACACTTATTACGGTGCTGAAAGATGACCCGTACCCAGCTGTGGTGATAGAAGACAGGAACAAGCAAAGTAAAGACTGGATGTTTAGAGGGTCCGATATACCCAAGGTCCGCGCCCATCTCTTCGCGCGACTGTGCCTTGCGTCGTCCGAACACGCTGCCAAAGCTCAAGCTATGATGGGACGGTCTTCCAAGGTCAACGACGACCTGCTGAAATACGTGGATGACTTGCGACGCACGGCAAAGGGTAAGGCCTGTCGGTTCCTCGCCTGTGATGCTGAAGCGGGTGGTAAAACAGGAGAGGGCATTGCGTGGCTACGGGGCGCAAAGAAGGAGCTTGGCTTTGCCTCGCTAGGTGCCGAGGAAGAGAAGAAGTCGTCTGGTTTCTCCAAGCTAAAAAAGGAGTGGCAAGAGAAGAGAGAAGATCGTAAGATTGAAAAGGGTGTAGACTGGGGTACTGATGCCGGCAAATTCGAAGAGGGTCGGATTGTTGACATGTTGCTGAAGAAGTGGGAAAAGCAAAACGACACTGTATGTCTACTTGCTCCTTGTTTCGTCATGGAGTGTGGCTGACGATAATAGGTTGGCGTCCAACTGGTGCCTCCCTCGGAACCGTTACTCGCAAGCATGCCTTCTGGGCGCGAGTATCACACAACGAAGATGTTCATTGTACCAGCGTTAGACGAGGACGCTTTGGTTCGCATGCGGGCGCCTCCAGACCCGAGCGAGCCTTTCGAAGGCGCTGAAGATGATAGCGCGGACGAGGACGAACGCAGTCCTCCCGCTGGCGCTTTTCCAGGTACAAAAGCGGACTATGCACCAGGATCCGCCTACTACTGAGTCATGGAGACATCTAATGCGAACGATATGATTGATGAGTTGCGCCAACCAGGTTGCGTCAGCTTGTCTGCCTACGTGATTGGTTCATGTCCCATACCCAAGATCTCTCCAAAACGCCTCAACTTCACCCGAAACGTCCCTCTGCACTCTGCCTTTTTCCCATACATTGTCTGATTTGTTCAACATCTCGCTCCATTCATTCAATAAATCTCCCCTCTTTCCACGCCCAGCAAAGTGGACCAGATAATCGCCTCTTCTTACATGACGTTTGTCTAACCCTTCCACGTCCTCTCTCTCTTCGAACTTTTGTGCTCCGCCTTCTTCGTACCCATTGAACCAATGTTGTGGTACGAAGTGCGCTCCATCTCTGAACTGGTCGGTCTGTAGGACGTGTTCCATGGCAGATTGTTCGGTGAAGGGGAGGTCGACGCCGGGATTGTAGTGGCGGAAGGCAAGAATGGCTGTGAAGAGTTCAATCGCCCAACTGTTGACACGAAGTAGAAAGATACCGTTGTTGAGACCGTTCCAGTCCTTGGTCACAAGCATATGCGTTGTGTTCGCCGGAGTCTGTAGTTGCTCATCGTCGCGGCGCCACCACGAACCGAAGCGTGCTTTCTCTGGTGGCAGGAAGCTCGATATAGGGCGGCATTGGTCGAGAATGATGGTGTCTCGATCAACCCATTGAATCCACTCCAGACGTTCTTTGGCTGGTTTCAACATCTCGCGCATGCTAAGCGTGGGTGTACAAAGTCAATACATGTCTCACAAGCAGTTCGCTCAGGGACACTTACAGCAGGTTGAGTATGAAGGCCGGTTTGTTCCACAGGTCATCTACAATTGGATCGCACATCACTCTGACCTCGGTTCCGTGGACCAAGGCGTGGAGGAGGTGTGTCCGGAACGCTTTCTGGTAGTACTCCTTCGATTTGCCGAAATGAGCTGTGACGGTTGCGATGCGCGCCCTTCCGGTTGCAAAAGGGGAGTATTTTCGACATGTAGCACGCTTTGTTGTAGCCTCTTCAATGAGTTCCGGTGAAACTTCTGGTAAACACTTCGAGTCACCGTGTGCAACGAACTGCGGAATGAGCTTCGGATGCGGTCGGGCATACTGGACAGAGAGGTTTTCTAGACTGGTCTGATTCCAGAGAAGGATAAAGGGGAAGCCGATGAGGAGGAATGATACCCAAGTGAAGAACTTGCAGTTGAGGAATCTCGGGGAAGCATACATGGCCTCGGAATGAATAGAAGTAGAAGTCAAAGGAAAGCTGCTGTATTCCTCGTTTGGAAATCGTGACATTTTATTGCTATTGGATGCCAGCTTGGATAAATAAGAAGGGGTAGAGAAGGGACTTGATCGATGTTTTCCAAGACACTGGTAATAGAACAAGCAACAGTGGGTGACGAATGCTGCGGCAATAATCTCTTGGAAGCCAGAGAAGCCGTCGTATGCTACAGTGTACTCGCACGCCTGCGGGAATCAGGTTGGGAGCCGACCTGGTATGGCGGCATTGGCATCTTCGTCCCAAGAGCTTCGTTGTGCTTGTCTCAAGCACAGAGGCGCTAGCTTTGACTACGTTTGTCGATTACGCTGCTAGTAGGCTATAGTTCTCCACGAGTGCATAATCGAGGCTTAGACTATGAACGAGGAATGGACGGAGTTTTCATCTGATGTGGTGGTTGCAATAAATACACGGCTCACCCACGGACATTGCAGAATTGACACGAATACGCGAACCTCGCACATGGTAGTCGTCTAGATGGTGTATAGCAAGCTGCTCATATTGGCAAAAGTCTATGATATGTTCCGAAGCTGACGAGCTCATTGCGATACGTGTTTCTGCTCGGGGAGATACCTTGGCCTCTCGTCGGTCTTGGCTTACCTGGCATCAGCGCCGCTGCTCCGAAACATGTACGGAGCTGAAACAAACCAAAGCCTCCATGACAGTAACTCGGATTCATTTTGAGGCTGATGGTGTGTGAAATGGATCGAAGCGTCTTGACTGCCTTGGTATACATACGTAGGCAGTCCAAGGATACATAAAGTATACTCGTTTTCCAACACTGTGGTGCCTGGGTACCCACGGACACGTCGAGCCCGTGCATGAGCGGCAGATGGTAATGGGATTTCTAATTCTGTTGACGCTTTGTAACGACACGACTGCCGTGATGTCTTGGAGCATTCCGGAGCGACCGGATAGTGTGGTGAGGTGGAGGTGGATGGACGTGTCTTCGGCGCGAAAGACAGCCACGGTTCTCAGCAAGGAACGCATGCAGAAGCCATCACAGCAGCACACAACAGGTCCACGATCCATGTTATGTTGTTACATAGTATAGAGACAAAAAGAGGATCGTTCTTCCACTGTCGTTCCACAAGCAAGCGAGAATTGTCCCAATCCACGCAGCTGTGAGGCTAGAACCAGAAAGCAAAAAAAGGGAAAAAGAACATTGCTCTCCAGCGGGGAATTGAACCCCGGTCTCCCGCGAGTTGCCAGTTATGGTGACAAGCGGAAATACTGACCACTATACTACTGAAGATTGATGAAAAAAATATTGATTCAAAAAAATATATACTAAAAAATATCCACGATGTGTTGAAGTGATGCAAACCAACGCAGTTGCGTCATTCTCATCAAACCACAACGCGTACTTAAGCGCGTATTCGATCATGTCAAATTTTCCACCTCAGTTTAGACTCGAAACTTTTTCCAGCACCTACCTAACGCAACATAAAGCGTTAGCACTAGTGAAATGCGCCTGATATAAGAGTATGATCCCGTAGCCCTATCAATAACAAGAGTTCTAGCTGCTATTCAATCCTACTGTATCCCGCTCATTGTCGTGATCTGGTCCGTATCAGTCTTTATGAGCATCAGTAGTGCTGCTGATGACTGGAGCTTCGTCTTGTGCCTCGTATTCACGCACGCTTGCATTTCCCTCATCCTTCATGATCAGATTATATTCGTCACTAGAACAGACAGACGAGTTTCCCTGCAAGTAAAGATATCCAGCATGGTCCAAAGTTGATTACATATACTTTGATGCATCTATTCCTGCAGTCATGCACTCGGAACTATATACAGCGCCTGTTCCAAAACCTACTCGCTCCCACGCTAGTCCTTCACACTCACACCAGCTTTACTGGCATCCTTAGCACTCTGTTTCTGCGTCTTTGGCACATCCGCTTCCTCTTCCTCTGAGGTCTCTTCCTCTTCCTCGCTGTCTTCTTCCTCTGAACTCTCTTCTGCTTCGTCTTCCTTAGCCTGTGTAGCTGCTTTCCCTTTTGCAGCCAACGGTGCAGGTTTCTTCTCATCATCGCTGTCCTCCTCTTCACTGTCTTCTTCCTCTTCGTCGCTATCTTCCTCTTCTTCGCTGCTCTCTTCCGCAGCTACAGTCGCCTTCTTCTCTATTTTTCCTGGGACCTTGGCTGCAGTAGCTGGCTCCTTCGCATCAGCTTCCTCCTCAGAACTCTCCTCCTCGGATTCTTCTTCTTCGCTTTCTTCGTCCTTTGTCGAATCTATCGGTCCAGCACTAAGCGCAGGGTTCTTCGCATCGTCGTGCATCGAGGAGGGCCCATGTACAGGCTTCTGCAGATCCGAAAGCTTGGGGATACTCGGTTGCGCAGCTGCTTTTGTACCCTTCGTGCTCTTTGATTTTGCATCTTTACTCTTTGTGTCTTTGCTACTTGAGGATTTCGATTTTGACTTTGCTGGAGCTTTTCCTAGGCCAAAGAGACCTCCCGTGGGTTTTCTCGTGGACTTGGACTTTGCATCTTTCGAGGATGTGGTTTTTACTTTAGTATCTTTTGTCTTGCTGTCCTTTGCTTTTGCGTCTTTTGCCTTTGCGTCCTTTGCTTTGGTGTCTTTGTTCGTGCTCGGTGCAGCGGCCTTCGCGTCTTTGGTCGACGTACTCGAGGTAGCAGGCTTGGCTTCTGTTTTGGTAGTGGAGACAGCAGGCTTTGTGTCTTGAGTCGTGGTCGGTGTAGCAGGCGTTGCAAGCTTCGGCGTCTCAGGTAGTGGGACAGACTTCGGCGAGAGGATGCTACCAGGGTCTTCTTTTGTGGGGCTCTTTTTCGACGTCGCTGAGGTGGGTGTGTTCGTCTTCTCTGCCAGCAGGGGGTTTGTAGTTTTGATGTTACTTGGCACGGGCTTCAACGAAGCGGCCTTCTTCGCGGCTTCAGCACCTAGCTCCCGGAGCGCCAGGTTTGTCTCCAGACTAGGTGTGACAACATTCTCCTTCTTTGCAGCTGTGCTTGTGGATGAGAAGGAAGAGGTGGTGGTAGCTGGTGCAGCCATAGGCGGGGGCCCGGGTTTCGCAGGGAAGGGCGTGAAGGCTGATGTGACGCCCAACGCTTCTCGGATCTCATCGTATTCGTTCCATTCTTCGATCTCTGTAATGCCCTATATTACATAGATTAGCCTTCCCGTCCTAGCTACGTGCCGCGTTCTGTACCTACACCCAAGACATATCCTTCTTTGACTATCAGAGGGAGCTTCTTTCCGCTCGCTCTCCGCTGGAATAGCTTCTTTGCGAGCTCATCAGTCGCAGTATCTACTCCTTTGAACGGGATCTTGTTCGCTCGTAGGATTGTTTCAATTCGCGAGGTAGCTGTGACGATATGGGAGGAGCCGGCGGTCAGGGAGGTGAACAGGTAGATGGTCGGATCGTTATCATAAACACTTGGAGACACGGAGTCAGTGTATGTCTCACATGCATTTCGTAGTCACAACTCACCTGAGCTCCGCCATGATGGGGACAGCGAAAACAAGCTCGGTGGGGGATGGGCAGGTTCGTGATCGGGGATGTTTTAACAGCAGAAACAGAGAAGTCAAGACAACAAACACGTATATATTGACGAGGGGTTTATAGAGCTAGACACGACGTGTTGCGACGTAGTTTCACCAACACTCAAGTTACAGGCTGACGCACGGACTGGACCCTGCTTCTGCGCTCCCTAGCGCAGGAGCAGGGGGGTCTTAGATAGTGGGCAATCGCTACATCAACATTTAACAGCGTGTTATGACTGTGTTCGCTTACTAACATTCTGTCCAACGCCACTACGACACTATTGCAACACTTTGATTAACACAACATGGCGATATCCCTATGGGCAAACCCTCACCTCGCGCGCTACGGCAGTGCCAATCATGATAGAGACGTGAGGTCAACGTGCTTATATTATTGCTTATACCGAGCGAGTGACATTACATATTATCAGAAAAAAGACACAACTAGTACTTCGTTTCTCTTGACTAGACATTATGCGGGCGTAGGACCATTCGAGAATTTGCCAGCAAGAACAGTCATCAGGGCGTCGCTGACTTCAAACTCCTCAAGGACTGCGCCAAAGCTAGCCGATGTCAGTAAACACTCTGGTTCAATCGTCTGCCTTGTTTTCGACGTACCCGTAGCAGCGGACTTTGGCAAGGAGCTCTGTCTTCATGAGCTCAATGTCTTGCTTGGAAAGATCCCGAATGTTCTCGTCTTGTAGGATCTTCGCCCAGGCCATAATGGGCGTGATCTCCCCATCAAGGGGCAGACGGTTGCTCAAATCGAGCAGCTTCATCAAGTCCGGCATCTTGACGTCCGGCATCTGATGTGGATACTTCTCCTCGGGGCAATTTGCGATATGCGCGTCGGGAGGGGCGGTGGCCATGAGCGCATGACCACTAATGTTTTCGTCGGCGTCGTGGGCGCGTACCATTAAAAACTGCATGTGATCCATGCAAGGTCGCTCGAGCCTGTCAGACGCAATCGTCAGAACAGCGCGTGTAAAGATAAAGAATAACGTACGGAAGTCGAACAGAACGAAGAGAAAAGACGCAAGCGCATTACTGCTGGGGTGGAGGAGAAAGGTAGGGCGATCGGTCGTACGTTAAAACGAAGTCTATCCCAATCTGGTCATAGTCGAGCCCATGCTGCTGTTGATGATGTGACTGTTGGGCTTGTTGTTGCAGAGTCAAGGGCTGGCCACTCATGCCATCATGAGAAACTGATCCGCCTGTTGGTGGTGATGTGTAGCCAGTCGACGCTGATCCTGGCCCATAGCCTGATACGCTACCCGTAGAACTTCCATAGGCAGAGCTATCAACTCGACCCATGCCGTTGTTTGCTGGGCTGGAAGTGTCGAAGGAGATTCCATGCGCCATAAGCAATTCTCTCAGTCGCCGGTTCTCTTGTGCGAAAGCGTCTCGTTCCCGAGACGTAGCGGCGAACGTGTCCTTGAGACGTATCACCTCCTGTTCAAGAGCTTTGATATACAGCTCTTTTCTTTCCCGGTGTGTTCTTGTCTATGGGTCAGTGTGTGATATCGCGCGTAGCACTCCTGAGTTTACCTTTGTGCCTGGCGGTTCAACTCCTGTCGCCGTGTCAAGGCAGGTTTGCTGTCCGGTTTAGGTCCTCTTCTCTTTGGCGGTTGGCCATCTTGCAAGAGTCAGTAACCGATAGAGCCAAGACCATGGTCGACAAACCTCTCGTAGTCTTCTTGTCGGTCAGACTCTTGAAGAATCCAAATTGCGCTAAAGGACTTTTTGATTCGCTGCCTATAGATTGCCACTGCCCTGTACTCTCCATGTCCGACGCAAATCCAGCCAAGCTGCCTCTCCTGCTGCTGCTCATACTCATCTCAGAGAAACACTCGGAAGGTCGACGAGAAGCGGCAGGAGAAGGGTACTCGTTGGCAGCGCCGGGTGGAGGGTAGGTGGGCGCCATGGTCAGCACGTGCGCATCGGGCCAGGACATATAACGAGCATGCGACATGGTGTTTTGGTATTATGCGAAGGATTAAGAAAACAAAAAGAAATTAGGTATGTGTATGTGTGATAAGCTTGGACGGGAAGCGAAAGTAGTGCAGCCATGTATATGTAGTGTCTCCGGAGCCTTGTATCGACTGAGGCACACAAGAGTTCGCATGCTGGTTTCTCGTTCATGCGCCGTTGTCAACGTCCGGCATGCAGGCGAGCCGTGAGGCACGTGTGCAACGTTCATGCCGACACCGGTAAAGCTTGCCTTGACGAGACTGGTCTTGTCTCTGCAGCACGTTTGCGGGAGTGGGGTGAAGACGCAAGAGTGCTTCAACAAGTGCGGACCAATAGTGGAGAGCGTCTCCGCGTGCCAAGAACAAGGTGTAGGAGTCGCGAAGCGGAGACAAAACAGATCCAACGTCAAAACACCGAGGGATTAAAGCACTGTATAATGCCAAGAGAGAGCCAACATACCACTGCTATTGTTGTGATAATTCGCGTCCCCAGAGGAGGGGTCGGTCTTGATAGTCGTAGCCATGCTATGTGAGCTGCATTGATCAACACGCACACTTTATGGACAAAACGGTTGTCTCTTTCGGCGCTGAGTTGGCGGATAGGCCGGCCGTGGAAATACAGTGAGCAACACGCTAGAGATTGGTCAGTTTACAAGTCAACGTTGAACCCTTGCGCACATCCGAAACGCACAGCTGTCTGTATCGTCGGCGCTCAACTATGACGACTAGACAGGCCGCAGTGAGCCGCGTCTTCGTGGTGGATTGACCGAGCAAGAAGAGTTGAGGCTTACATCAGGTTCTCACTGTTGCCGAGGTTCAGTTCCTGGTGCTTCCGAGTTGAGAGAAAGGGCGATGATGGGGAGATGGACGTAATGGGCGACGAGTGGTCGACGCAATTGAGACAAGCGATGGTGCTCTTGGCGTCGCAGAGTCGGATGTAGCACAGCAGAGGGCAAGCTGGTCTGAAGGATGTGTCAGGGATAACTCTTACACTTGCAGTGCGATGTTCAACGCGATTTAGTAGCAAGCCAGGCACGAAATAATGCACTACGCACTGGAAGATCGTCGGCGGGAACACAGCCCAAGCTAACGATTTGGAATCTGCGCGACTCCGGGCCTGGAGGTTGGAAGATGAGGCGGTCAGTGCACAAGATCGAGCCGAACAGCTTTTGGGTCAATCAGAGCCAGGGCGCGGAAGCAGCTTGAGATCCGCTGGTGTTTAGCGGCTCGAGTCTGCGGCTCTGCACCTCGTCCGGTCTAGAGCTTGCAGACGGCTGACGGTGCAGTGGCGCGATGCGATACGTAATATCCCAGCTTCACAGTGCAAAAAGAAAGGGTCGGTACGCAAAATCCGGCGGCTTTCGTGTCATGTACTTTGTTGAAGGCCTGCCGTAGCCACTCTTGGCAGACCTCGACCCCGACAAGTCTCGGGGGGGCATCTCTTCCTGTGGCGAGTGTATCGTCCTCTACCACACTTCTTTGTGTAACATGCATCCACTTAGAGAAGCGTTATCCTTCCCCGTACGGTCACGTTGTGCAGTACGTAGAGCTGCCGCCGCAGCCCAATCGCCACATTTTCGCAAACCGACCTCCTACGCCATAGCGCGTCTATAGCACTCAGCTCGACGCATAAGATTAGAAAGCAGTTAGAAAGCAAATCATGGACCCCTAATACGTTCGACACAACTGAGGCTGTCGATTTAACTTCCATTACACTACATAAGCTACTCTAGATCGGTTGGGTACGCTGCGGGCTTTGACCAGGCCTTACAGCCGTATCGGAGGACCTTACGGCTTGTTGTCGAGGATCTTCTCAATCTCCTCCATGAGCTCCGGTGTCAACTTGTCGAGCAACTTGATAGCGCCACAGTTGTCCTTGACCTGTTCGGGCTTCGTCGCACCAAGAATGACTGTAGACACATTCGGGTTTTTGGCTGCCCAAGCAAGAGCAAGCTGAGTAGTGGAACCTCCTAGCTTTTCCGCAATCTTGGTTAGCTCCTTGACCTTCTTGATCTTAGCCTGTCCCTCTTCACTCTTCAGCGCCTCGATTGAGTTCTTGAAGAATTCGGGGTTCGTGGCGAAGCGAGAGTCCTCAGGAATACCATCATTGTATTTACCAGTCAGCATGCCTGACGCCTAGAGATTGGTACATGAAGTCAGTAAATGTGTCGCATGCGATTCATGTAGGGTTATTGTTTACCAAAGGTGACCAAATGGTCGTTCCGTATTGGTACTTCTTGTACAAGGGTGCATATTCCTTCTCGAAACGCTCACGGTGGAAGGCGTTGTACTGGGGCTGCTCGACGATAGGGGCGATAAGGTTGTACTTCTCGGCAATGTCACATGCCTCCTGGATCTGCTCTGCAGACCACTCGGAAGTTCCCCAGTAGTATGCCAGGTTCATCTGAATAGTCTGGGTGAAAGCTTCGACAATCTCCTTCATCCCGACGCTAGAGATACATCAGCTCGCAATCGAAGGAAATGACTAGATTGTTGCATACTCAGGATCGTAGCGGTGAGCAAAGACAACGTCAACGTAAGAGTGATCAAGACGCTTCAACGAGCTCTTCAAGCCCTCGACGATGTGCTTCTTGGATAGACCCCTACATGTTCATTAGTCAAGTAAAGGTATGTAAAGCATATGTCCTACCTAGTGTTCGGCTCCTTCCTCTGGGTTCCAAAGAAGACCTTCCCAATGTTGTTAGCCTAGATTCATCGCATTTCGACACTAAGCACATCTTACCTTTGTGGACAAGACATATTCGTCGCGCGGCCATTGCAGCTCCTTGAAAGCCTTTCCCATTTCAAGTTCGCACTCGCCAGCTGCATAGACTTCTGCAGTGTCAAAGAAGTTGATGCCATGGTTCCATGCTTCTTGCATGCAGTCCTTCACGATGGAGCCTTTTTGGGTTCCTCCGTACGTCAACCAACCTCCAAGGCTCAGAACCGATACCTTCAACCCAGCGGGTCCCAGGCGACGGAACTGCATGCTAGATTTACATCAGCCAATACTCGAAGGAAACGGATATAAAGATACAGAGCTTCAGGCTGCAGATTGGGGATAATCTACTCGACCAGCCAAACTCATCTGCATCATAACAATTGACATGCAACTTACTCCTTGGGGTCAAACTTAGTCTCGACGGCAGGCATTTTGGATACGAGGAATGATATAATAAAAGTGAAGTTTAGTTGGATAAGATTTCAATCGCTGGAACAGAGTGCAATGAGGGGCAGGATGTATCCAAGCAACTTGGTGGGGCAATCCTGCCGTGGTGGCGGATCAACACCAATGATGTCAATCATTGCAAATGTGGCAGGCGGGACCGGAGTTAGCCTACAAATTCCGTGTTAGCGGCACTTGCAGCTGCTGGAAGGCGGTAGAATAGCCGTAGGCCTCGGAAACGCGACTGATGGTTTGGGGGACTTGTGCTCCCTATAGACTAAGCGCTGGAGCGGCGCAAATGTCCCCTTTGCTGACGGCTTTTAAAGTGGGGCGGCTGCGGCTGAGGAGCTGCCTGACACAAGAGCATAAGCATGCAAAAGCATCCTTCCGTCAGCGGCCAGCCACGAGAGATCATCTCGCCTCCGTCGAGTGCTTTGTGCCACAGAATTCGCCTTATAATCTTGTTGTAGTGGTACTAGAAGCGGGTATAACTCCTGTCAGTCGGTATTGGCAAAAGCTTGACCTCGCTCGTTTCACGTTTCGAAACACCCCCGGCCGGTCATTGACGCACACCCAATCACAGTCGCACAACGCGCATTCACGTGCATTGTTCGTCACCTCGACAAGCAATGATTGGCAGTGACTTCTCATTGATCTGGTGCCATTGTAGGACAGGGTCCTGACTATCATGCTGACGGGCTGTTCGAAGGGAGGCCTTGAGGCGCACCGTCTATATCTTGGCCGTTCCCCTTCCTTCACTACACTGCCTCCTCACGGTCTCTCAACCCCTTATTTAGATCACTTGTTTCTGCTGGGCTGAAGCGTATTCAATTCAAAGTCACTCATTTATAAGACACTGTCCCCGCTGTTCACTTCAACAGAACATCAGAATTCAAGAGTTCACGAGTGTCCCTTTGTACTTAAGGCCTCCTCACCCTGAACCAGAATACCTTCTAGAATCCCAACAACTCAGCCTCGTCAGTCGACCTCTACACTAGAGCATCACAATCCACCAACCTATAAACAACATGGGTTTCAAGAAGAACATCCTCTTTGCAGGTGCCTTTGCACTCTGCGCCTTTGCGGCACCTATTCCTGACTGCCCCGACGACGTCCCAGAGACAGATGCAACAGAGTTGACTGCAGCCAACTTGATCGCCATCGCACCCGCCACCCAATCCTGCGCCGGTGCGGATTTCCCCGATGAATGTGCCGATGCGACACAAGCTGCTACCGCTCTCAACAAGGCTTTCGATACTTACAAGATCACCGCCAAGGGCGAGAAGGCTGCCATAGTCGCCTATGAGATTTTCGAGAGCGGTGACTTCAAGTACAAGAAGAACCATTTCCCAGGCCGACCTGGTCAAGGCACGAGGAGTAAGCAAAACCGTCAGGTGGATCGCACGTGGAACACGAACTGACTTTACACCCGTTTAGTGATGGCGATGCCACCGTTTGTCGAGAAGTACGCTACCGATGTCGCCGGCGCAGACGCTGTGACCCAAGCAAAAGCTGCAGGAGAAAACGCCGGTTTGGAGGCAGTACTTGCTCTGGTCAACAGCGACGATGAAAAGAGCTTTGGAAGTGCAGCGTGGTTCGTTACCACCCAGTGCAGTGCAGACGTTCGGGCTGGTCTTGTCGAAGGCACTGTAGATGGCTGGCACAAGTTCTTGACTGACTGTGTTGGCACATCGCTTGATCCTACGCGTGACACTCCTTGGACTGCTGCCACAGCTACCATCCAGTAAGGGTATTAGGACACGTTCAAACGCTGGTTTGGTACATGGGGTACTTGTTGCATAGCGCGATGGCTTTGAAAAGCTTCTTCTATTCTCATTATGGTTCACGGAACTTTTTCGTCATTACGAAATTTTATGATTTGTTTGTATAACTACCTTGAACGATGCACATCTCATGTGCACTAAACAATGTGTTACAGAGTTTGTATGGTTCTAATTCAACATCGATTTTAAGCACATGCTCCTCAACGAGGACGAAAAGACCGTGAGTGGTAACTCGCATTTTAAGAGATCTAGAATGCGCACGCGAGTGAACAAATAGTACTTGATGATGAACTATGTTTAAATATTATGGTAATACATACAGGCCAGCAGGAAACATAAGCTAGAATATTGCACTGTCTGAAGAGAAAGAAGAAGTCGCTACGAAGGCTAAATATATACAAGCAGATATGAGCATCGAGTCCCTCACGAGGGCTAGGAACACAGCTCCACCCATTCTTTCAGAGCGGTGATACCTCGCCCCAAGCACCAATGTCCTCTCTGGCCATAGCCTCTCCGCACTCAGGACATGTACATGCATCGAATCCATGTGAACTTGCACATTGCCTAACCCACGACTGTAAACATCCGACACAAGTTGCAGGTTCGTGCCAGCAGTTCGCCGTTATCCTGCGCTCACTAAATTCCCATATAGGTTTCGCCGTCTTGCACAGGATACACGTGCGTTCAATAGCTGGCGTGTTGCGTCGAGAACTAGGTGTTCCTGCTCGAGGGCTCACGGAGACGTCGAAGGTAGGGCGCTGATGTTGTTGTGGAGCTGTGCAGGTAATATTTGGAGAAGGTAGGGCGATCATGCTGCTGCGCTGTGATTGCATCGACAGAGGTCGTGATTGCATCGAAAACGGACGTACTTGCGAGACGTTCTCGACGGATAGCCGGGAGTGCATCGTGGTTGGCGATAGCGAATTTCCGCTGCTGCGGCGTCGGTCTGCGGAGGCAGCGGGACTTGGAGGGCCATCGGCCCAGGGGGCGAAGGGTGCTGGAAGGGGTGCTTCGAATTGGGTGGATTTAACGCTTAAGTCAAAGGGAGAGTAGGTTGGTGTTGGGATAAGATCGACGGTCGACAGACGTTTGGATGCCGTTGGGTCTTGGCTCACTTCGGTTTCATAGACGTGCAGATTTTCTTGCGTCAGGTTCATTCTCCGTAAGTCTTCAACTACGGTTGCGAACTTTGCTGGCTCATGTGTAGCTGACGAGTCTCTTCTTCTAGCCCCAAAGTTCTTCAATGCTTGCGGTATTGTCGACCATCTGTGTTTGATCTTCTTCTCTGGCTTGCTCTTTTCTTCGATGGCATCAAAAGCATCCAACGTGGAATGTATCGGCGTCGCTGGCGTGGCCGAGAACACTGGTGGCGGGGAAAACGCAAGTTTCGAAGATGTTACCGGCGTAGGTGGCCCGACTTCATCATCTCCGTATTGTTGGTAAACCATATCGTTCTCAATATTCTCGCCTGAGACAGCTTTGGGTATACTCCCCGACATGGGCCGAGAGGAGTTCATCGGGTAGCTGTTGTTTCTTAACCCGCGCGAGGAAGCGATCTTAGCGCCCGAGCGATTTCGTTGATGGTAGGTTGCGAAAGACGTAGGCCGCGGTCGTGATTGCATTGGTGGACTGTCGAGTGCAGTAAAGCTTTGAGGATGGTATGAAATGGGACGTTGCGTTTGTGAGACCTTCGGGTCGTTTATCGGGGGGTATGTCCATTGCGAAGGGTGTACTTGTGGCCTCTCACATTCGCAGCTACCTCGTGAGGAGATGCTACTCCTTGGCTTGTCTGGACTATCAAGGGACGACGATGCAGGGCGCTGACCTGGCGTGTTGGGGCTCATCGTGGAAGGGGAAGCAATCCATTCGGGCGATAGCAGGTGTTGCGGATTATACGATACCGGTCGTGTGAGTGGGAGTGGTCGTCGCTTGATGAAGGATGTGTCGAGTTTAGCGTTCGGGGTTGTTTCCGGGAGCTTCCTCAAAGTTTCTTCGGGATTGAAAGACGAAGTCGGACGATCCGGGTTCGTCCATTTGTCCAATAAATCAGAGTCACTGTCTGCCTTTGGTTTCTCTTCGACAACCTCTGGGTTCTCCTCGATGACCTTTGGCTTCTCCTCAACGACCGGTGGCCTCTCCTCGGCGGCCTCTTCCTCCTGCTCTTTCGTTACGTCCAAACGATGGCCCTGTTCTTCCTCGACATCGGAGACCTCCAAATGCTCGTACATCGGTCGTTCTAACCATCGTGTTGTTACCGACTTCTCGCGTTGTAAGTTTCTCAAAGCTTCCTCAGAGTCTGCGATAAAGCCAAGCATGCGCTGCGCTCTTGCAGAATCCCTCTTAATCGGCCTTGGATGCCTCAAGAGTGGATGTACGTCATCCTGGACATGACTCTGCGCCACAGCCGCCATTTTTTTGAGGCCGTTCAGCCGAAACGAGGGAGGCCTGAAGAAATACCAACGACGGCAAACGTGGTTGGGGAAAACGAAACAGTGGGCACGAGCAACGCAATAAATCAAGAGGCAGGATTAACCCCTCGTAACGACGTGGGACAGCGTCCCTCCATTATCAGCAGCATGCCGCGACCTTACCACTACCACGGACCCCGGCACGGTACGACTTTACTGTGTGGCTGGCAGCAGCATAGAACCGATCTGCCCGTTTCAAGCCCTTGCGCAGAAAGCCCGGAGCTGCGTAAATCACCGTTAGCTTGGCTCGCGCAACACTGCGCCTTCGATTATTCGTTGCTAGGGCCCGTATTGCGAGGCCTGCAGTCACGATAGTTCGGCGGTTTTGGGAGGTCCCCGCTGGGTGAGACGTATTTTTAGAATCAGTAGTAGGGCCTGGTGGGTTTCTGCGGATAACCCACGAAGTGCCGCGAGGCTTGTGGCCACGAAGAACCTCCCTTGCAACGACTGCAATCACGTCGACGTCAAAGTACGGGGTTTAATGATGACGAAGCATAATTCGCGCTGGCGGTGTGAGCATCTCGTGATGGCTGGCGCAATCTCAGGTAACGAAGAAGATCAGCGAGCCACATAATCGACTGACGAACAGTGCCCGCTGTTGTGCCAGTGCTTCGTTTTAGTTTGTCAAGTGGGTCCGTTGCCTCTGGAGCTCAAGACAACAGAAGAACTAGAGCTCCTCGGCTTCTTGGAATTATTTTGGTCAGGAGTAGCCACTCCGCGTGCTACCCAACGTAGAAGAGACGCGCATGCAGGCGAGGCGCCACCAGGGCGACAGAACTCAAGGCTGAGCAGTCCAGCGCTATCTTGCGCCTTCGGAGATCATGCAGCACATGGCAACGCGTCGGCTCCGCATTCTTGCAGGCTCTTGCAACTTGCATCTGTAGGCGTCAAGTAAGCTGGTACTTCACTTTGCGTTAAACCCAAGAACAATGCACGCATGAACCGGTTTGAGTGGACGGGTAAAGCTAAATGGCCTACGTTCGCCCGTTGGCAGATGGGTGTGCCGCATTTCGATATATTGCGAGGCGGACTAGGGTACCGGTCGTAGGCACACTGAGAAGGATGGCCACGCCGCTTGGCTTGAGTGTGGCTGGTATTGATGAAGTCATGTCTGAGAGCCTTGCAGTGGTGTAGCCTGGCGACGTTTTGTGCGCCCGCGTGCTGAGACGACTCCAAGCCATGAGTTTCGAGAGGCATGGGAGGGTGGGTGACTAAGCTAGATGCGCTAGCACCAATGCGGCCGCCGCCAAGCAGGGCATCGCGAAACTTTGGAGAAGCTCACAGGTTGCCATCGCCTCAATCACCCCAATCCCAACCCAACCGTCACAACCTGCTGCAAAAATGGCCGGGCCGCGCGCAGGAAACTCGAGGGCCAACGGCGCCGCCAACGGGGACACGTCGAACAACAAGCAGTCACTCAACGAGCCCCTCGATAAGGAGCTGTACGGCGGAAACAATGGCGACTACGTCAGTTCCATCGCCGTTGCCGACGACGACAACGACATGGAGGACGTCCAACTGAATGGCCGGAGCCTTGTCGGGCAGTACACAGCATCCAAGGAGATGATGAACGAATTCGCGCACGGCGATGCGGGAGAGGCGGATATCCTCGACAGTCGCGAGAAGCAGGCTCAGATCGCATCACGCGAGACTGACTACCAGCGACGGCGATTCGACCGCGCACTCTCTCCATCGCGGGCAGATCCGTTTGCCAAGGATGGCGAAGACGGTGGCCAGTCGTACAAGGACGTGATGAAGCAGCGCGAGTTTGAGCGCGAAGAAGCGCGTGTAAAGAAGTTGATCGAGGAGAAGGAAAGGACGGGGGGGAACGAGGTACTTGACCACAAGCCTACGCTCAAAGACGATGAGTCTACTCCCGTCGATGGCGACAAGACTCCGCCGATGAAGAAGACTCGCAAGAGGAGACGGTGGGACGAGGCTGGCGACGCCGAAACCCCTGCGATCAAGGAAGAGGCCGACGGCGTCAAGGTTGAGTCGGAGCCCAAGAAGCGGTCGCGATGGTCACCTGCACCCGAGGACGACAAGGTCGAGGCCGCTCAGCCAACCCGATCACGTTGGGATACCACTGCTGTAGCCCCTGCCAGCACGGCAACACCCGCTCCCGCTGCGAACGGCGCCCGTCCAGTTGCGCAGACATTCGCATTCGGTACCGACATCTCGAACCGCAATGCTCCCCTCTCCGATGAGCAGCTCGACATGATGCTTCCTGGTGAAGCCGAAGGATACAAGGTCCTCGAGGCACCTCCAGGGTACGAGCCAGTGCGGCGGCCGGTGGGCATGCCCGCACTTCCAACAGGATACCAGGGTTTCTTGATCCCAGAAGCAGACAACAGCTTGGCTGCCATGGGCAAGCAGCTGCCTACAGAGATTCCTGGCGTTGGTGATCTGCAGTTCTTCAAGAATGAGGACATGAAATACTTTGGAAAGCTCACAGATGGTGCAGACGAGAATGAGATGACAGTGGAGGAACTGAAAGAGCGCAAGATCATGCGACTGTTGCTCAAGGTCAAGAACGGAACGCCGCCTATGCGAAAGACTGCACTTCGACAACTAACAGACAACGCCCGGCAATTCGGCGCAGGAGCTCTCTTCAACCAGATTCTGCCACTACTGATGGAGCGCACGTTGGAGGATCAGGAGCGCCATTTGCTTGTCAAAGTTATCGATCGTGTTCTTTACAAGCTCGACGACCTTGTCCGACCCTACGTTCACAAGATCCTCGTTGTTATTGAGCCTCTTCTTATCGACCAGGACTACTATGCACGTGTCGAAGGTCGGGAAATTATTTCCAACCTTGCAAAGGCTGCTGGTCTCGCCCACATGATCAGTACAATGCGTCCAGATCTAGATCACCAAGACGAATACGTCCGGAACACTACCGCTCGAGCCTTCGCCGTCGTCGCATCCGCCCTAGGTATCCCCGCTCTCCTCCCCTTCCTCCGAGCTGTATGTCGATCCAAAAAGTCGTGGCACGCGCGTCACACTGGCGTGAAGATTGTTCAGCAGATTCCTATATTGATGGGTTGTGCTATTCTCCCTCACCTCAAGGGACTCGTGGAGTGCATCGGCGAGAATTTGAACGACGAACAGCCAAAGGTCCGCATGGTCACAGCTCTTGCGCTTGCTGCCCTGGCCGAAGCTGCCAGCCCGTACGGTATCGAGTCCTTCGACGACATCTTGAATCCTCTTTGGACCGGAGCTCGTCGCCAACGTGGTAAGGCTCTTGCATCTTTCTTGAAGGCTGTCGGTTATGTTATTCCGCTCATGGACGAGGAGTACTCCAACTACTACACGAGTCAGATCATGGAAATTGTCATCCGCGAGTTCCAATCACCCGACGAAGAGATGAAGAAAGTTGTGCTCAAGGTCGTTTCCCAGTGTTCAAACACTGCAGGTGTAACACCAGTCTACCTCAAGGACAATGTTCTGCCTGAATTCTTCAAGCATTTCTGGGTGCGCCGTATGGCTCTCGACAAGCGCAACTACCGACAGGTGGTCGACACCACTGTGGACTTGGCCCAGAAGGCCGGTGTTGCTGAGATAGTCGGCCGCATTGTCAACAACATGAAGGATGAGAACGAAGCATACCGCAAGATGACGGTCGAAACTGTTGACAAGGTCATCAGCACCCTCGGAGCTCATGATGTCGACCAGCGTTTGGAAGAGCAGCTAATTGATGGTGTCCTCGTCGCTTTTCAGGATCAGACTATCGAGGACCCTATTGTCATCGACGGTTTTGCTACGGTCGTCAACGCACTGGGTGAGCGTACAAAGACTTACCTACCTCAGATCGTCGCGACGGTTCTCGCTAGGCTTAACAACAAGTCCGCTACAGTTCGCCAGCAAGCGGCGGACCTTATCTCCCGAATCACTTTCGTGATGCAGAAGTGCGACGAGGATCCACAGCTCATCAAGCTTGCGCAGGCGCTATATGAATATCTTGGTGAGGAGTACCCTGAGGTCCTTGGGTCCATTCTTGGTGCTCTGCGCGCTATTGTCACAGTCGTTGGTCTCCACGCTATGCAACCGCCTATCAAAGATCTGCTGCCTCGTCTGACACCCATTCTTCGCAATCGACATGAGAAGGTACAGGAGAACACCATCGATCTGGTGGGACGCATCGCTGATCGAGGCGCAAACTATGTCAACCCTCGCGAATGGATGCGAATCTGCTTCGAACTTTTGGACATGCTCAAGGCTCACAAAAAGGGTATCCGTCGTGCTGCCAACAATACTTTCGGTTATATCGCCAAAGCCATCGGTCCTCAGGATGTGTTGGCTACCCTTCTTGGTAACCTCAGAGTCCAAGAGCGACAGTCTCGTGTCTGTACTGCCGTCGCTATCGGTATCGTTGCAGAGACCTGTGCGCCCTTTACTGTCCTTCCGGCCCTTATGAATGAATATCGCGTGCCGGAGCTCAACGTTCAGAATGGTGTACTCAAGTCGTTATCCTTCATGTTTGAGTACATTGGCGAGATGGCGAAGGACTACGTCTACGCTATCACACCACTTCTCGAGGATGCTCTCATTGATCGAGACCAAGTGCACCGACAGACTGCTGCTTCGGTAGTCAAGCATGTTGCTCTTGGTTGTGTCGGTCTCGACTGTGAAGACGCGATGATTCACTTGCTCAATCTCCTTTGGCCAAACTTGTTTGAAACCAGTCCTCACGTCATTGACCGCATCATTGAGGCTATTGAGGGTGTCCGCAACGCCATTGGTACTCCGCTCGTCATGAACTACGTTTGGGCCGGTCTCTTCCATCCAGCTCGCAAGGTGCGACAACCTTACTGGCGCATCTACAACGATGCTTATGTTCAAAACGCCGATGCCATGGTTCCAGCTTACCCAACATTTGAGGAGGACGAGGTTCGGAGACATGAGCTGGATATTTTCATCTAAAAGTAAGATCCCCAGTATCTTCATTTGCTTTCTTCCCGGGGCCACTGTCCTGGGGATTTGTTGCGCCTTGTTGTCTTCAGCGAACTGGGAATTGGTTATAGTTTGAGTAGTGATAGGCCAACCTTTTTGGAGTCTGGGCTATCTAGCTTATCATGTACATCACAGTATGGTTGGATCGGAGTATGCGGCGTTACAAGCACGCTGAGATAAGGGAGCGTAAGTCGCCGTCACCAGGCCACTTCAGTTAGGACCTCTAATGGTAACAAAAAGATAATCTGTACCCACTTTACACGCTGATCACCTTTAGGTTTCCGTGAAGTTATCCCATCTTTCCCAGCTTTTGATCGTTGCAACAAGGTAAGTCGGTGTTTGCTGTCGTCCTGTATGCTGAATTATCGAAGAAACCGGAGTACGCTTCCTCATTACTAGGCCGGGCGTCCTATTTTGTCATACGCTCTTGAGGATAAGTACGTGTGATTCACTTCTTCTCGTCCGCACACATCATACATGGCGCCTGGTCATTCTCTCCATCTAGCAGGTTTGCATCACGATCGTTTTGGCCGAACTGTGCTTGGACGTTGCTGGGTATCAGCTTCAATATATCGCCACATCCGCTAGCCTTCAACTGAGTTGAACAAAGAACCGACTCTTAGTGTGTTGTGCGCCCAGCACAGGCTTGAGCCTGTTGGATTTACAGCTCGAAATTCTCATACAGTGTGAGTGTGTAGACTCGATGTAATCGATTAAAGATACCCGATTGCCATTTAGTTCAAGTTTGTATAATGAAGCACCTTTTTTGAAACTTAACATCATGCCAGCTTGTGAGATCTTCTAATCCTTTCACTGTATCCTCACACCAACGACTTTCACTCTCCAGCGTTATCGTTCTCTATGCGCAACTGGACGCTACGAATCACATTCGGAGAAGTAATGCAAAACCGAAGAAACGGGTATTCGGCAGGAATAAACGAACAGAGGCCTGGACCAGATAACTTCAGGTGGGGGAACCTTCACCATGAACCTCATGACACGGGTATGTAATCTTAGCCCCAATCGATAAGCCGATACGAGAACGCAAAAGCCATATCCTCAGGCAGGCGCGCTACCGAGTCAGCGAGTGGTCCTCAGCTGACTTCGCATGCCACACGCGTCACGGCAGCATGTGTCAATACATCTGATTCGCGATAGCAGCAGGGCACCTTACATGCCACGACGAATAAACCATGGGTCGATCTTTGCGAACGTTAAAGGTAGGAATGGCAGCTTGTGTGTGGGACGCAGTACGATACTTTAGGCAGCAGCTGTTGATATCAAGGACTCCATAGTCCGCCAATCTTACATCTCACCCGCTATCTTCAGGCTCTCTTACTTCCAACCTGAGCAGATATTGCAATAGTCTTTCCCAAACAAAAAAATTACAGCATAGCGGAGTATGTCAGACTCAGCCGAACCCGATGTTGCGCTCCCCACTGCACCGTTACCCGACGCTCCAAAGAAAACCTACGACGCATCATGCCACTGCGGTGCCTTCAGATACTCTGTCGCTGTTTCACCTCCACTAGATGACCCAAATGCGGTTGTGATGGAATGCAATTGTAGCATCTGCGTATGCAATGGCTACCTCTTTGTCTACGTGCCCAACGAACTCGTCATTTTCACCGAGGGTAGTATTGAGCAGTTCAAAGTAAGCCTGATACGATTGAAGCAAGCTTTGAAAGGCTAAAGTACGCTGACCTCGATACACAGTCTTACTCTTTTGGCTTCAAAAGGATGAATCATTACTTCTGCGGCACCTGTGGCGCATCGTGCATGGTGCGCTCCAAAGACCCTAGTTTCTTTCCTGGAATGACTTGTGTCAACGTACGCATGCTTCAGGGCGTAAAGCTCGAGGACTTGAAGCGCAAGCCTGGCGATGGGAAGAGCTATTGAGTGAAATTGTGTCTGGCCCAGCCAGTATAACGAGTGGGTGATGCTGGGAGGAAAGAAGTGGAAACCAGTGTGAAGTCGATATCTAAACAAAATACGAGAATTCAATCGAGATATGGTCGATTAGTTGGTGTTCAAATGTTCCGAGGTATCGAATGTACGGCTCAAGATGCTGACACAGAGTGGGGACGATCGATTAGAAATACAGTTTCGCCCTGCAGGATATAGTGCATTCTTGATAATCATATCGTACTAACGCAGCACTTTTACATACAAGTGTTGCAGCCTCGTCCTTCGTGCTGTGCTGCTTGTCACCCGTTACAATTCGATTATCGACAACCTCCCTCTCGTGTCCACTCCTAGTCATGTCTCCCTCCCTTTCAATACCCAACACCTCTTCTACACCAACTTCGCCAGGGCGTTGGGTAGTCACAGAATTTGGCAAGCCATCCGTGCTAAGATGGGAAGCGTTCGATCCCACGGCCTCGCTTTCTGCCGGCGGAGTCCTCATCCGCATTCTCGTTGCTGGTATCGCAGGAGTCGACAATATACAACGCTGCGGGGGCTACCCTCATCCGTTGGCAAAAGATCCTGGGTTCACAACTGGGTATGACCTTGTGGGCGAAATCATAGCGCTGGGTGATGCTGTGCCAGAAGAGAGAGGACTGGAGGTTGGAGAAAGAGTGGCGGCATTGAGTATCATTGGTGCGCACGCTACACATATCGTGCTGCCCTATGAAGAAGTCATGAAGCTGGATAAGCATGACGATCCACTAAAGATATGTGCACTGCCGCTGAATTACATGACAGCATGGGGTATGCTGAAGCACAGTGGTGTGAATTTAGCGCCCGGCTCGAGCATCTTGATTGGGAGTGCAAGTGGAGGACTGGGTACGGCTGTTGCGCAGCTTGTCACGGCGTTCGATATGGTAAGTTATCGCTGTACGGAATGCATGCGAGACATACACTGACTCCGTATGTTCACATCTGCAGGGTATCAAGATGATCGGAACATGTTCGCCGAGCAAGTTTGAATATGTCCGCTCGTTGGGTGTGGTGCCGCTGGATCGAAGTGCTCCAGATCTTGTTAAACAAGTTCATGCACTGACAGACGGGAAAGGAGTTGACGTTGCATATGATGGCGTTTGCAATGAAAAGACTGCACACGACTTCCTCGCAGCAACCAAGCAAGATGTTGGCAAAGTAGTTGTCTTTGGAGCCATGGGAAGTATTGCTGATGATGGGAGCAAGATGTTGGGAAGCATCGATGAACTGTTTGCAGCACTGTTGCAACCTCCACGAGTGAGCTTCTGGTCGCTTGACATAGAGTTCCCAAAGAAGAAAGAAGTGGCGGAGTTTTATGCTGTTGTGGAAAAAGTAAGAGAGGGGAAATTAGATCCCGTTGTTGCGAAGCTGTTGAGACTGAGCGACGCAGTGGAAGCGCATGAGCTCCTCATCAACGGGAGTGCGATCAAAGGGAAGATGCTGTTTGTGGTAGATGAAGAGCTGGCCAAGTTCTACGGCGTATCATCGTGAAGAGTATTAAAGTCGAATTGTTCTAGGGGGTATCACGGTACTTGAGAAGAAGCTAGAGGGGAACATGATAGAAAGCGTTACAGCTCGTCGAATCCGCGCAATCGCTCATCGTCCTCGAGTACAAGGTGCGGATCAATGGTCTCGACGACGTGATTGGGGGTGCTGGTTAACGGCCCTATGATTGCCTCTTTTGCTATGTTTGGGATATCTGCGTTCAAAATGGCTTCTCTGGTCGCGGGGTCGAGAGTGCTCTGCGGTTCAGGTACATGATGGGTCGGTTGAGCCGGGCGGAAGAGAACGAGAGCTAGTATAAGCGTGACTACAAAGGCGACTATGGCCCAGAAGATGCGCACGCGATCTGTGTCATGTCAGCCCCAATAGATCAAACTGTATGTATGAGGACAGCTATACGGGTATTCTTGGCCTGCCACTGCGCTTCTGACTTGGCCCTCGCGTCGACACGCTCTTTCGCTCGTTCAAGTCTCGCTGTCAAAGCATCTGCTTTCTCTTTGCCCGCTCTGATGCGCTCTTCCAAGCCGCTGACCTGCTCTTGCTGTGCCTTGAAGCCGTCGAAGGCTTCTACCTGACCAGTCACATCCTCTACCAGCTCTGTGGTGTCCGACTCGAAGTTGTCATGGAGCTCTTTGGTCAAGCCCGATAGCTCTTGCAGCGTTCCAATGGTCTGGCGCAGTACGGAAACCTTCTCGAGGATGGAGTAGTATGTATCGTCTAGACGGCGCGACGTCTTGAGGGACTGGTCGGAGAGGGACTGGAGGACAGCACGGAGGTCTCTACGCGCCATGTTAGAGAAGACATGTTGCTGCAACAAGTGCTACCAACTGCAGAGCGAATGACGCAGACGTACCGTTCTCTAGCCTCGACCCTCTTTGCCTCTAGCTCCACATCCGCCTGCCGGAGTGGCCTCCGCGGCGGAATGGTGATGCCTGGGGTGCTTTCCTCCTTTCCGTTGACGCTGCCATCGGCCTGTCCTGGCGCAACGCTCTCTCTGCGACTGTGGCTAGGGCTGGTGTCTCTGCTCCCTCGCGCCTGCCTGAGCAAGTCTCCAAAGCTGGTAGGCGGTTGTATCTGAATGGCCGACTGCATGGCTTCCTTTGCAGCATGGCGTCTGCTGGAGCTGTGTCGGTGATGGCCATGATGACGGTCGTGGTGGTGTCGAGAGGACTTGTGCACATGTGGATGCGCCTTCTTGTCGGGATCTGATGTCACACGCGTCGCCGATCGGGAACTGTATAGGTTTGGGCGGAGGTCAGCCAGCCCTGAATGCAGGTGAAGCGACTCCATGTTCAGCTGGCATGTTGGTGTTGGTCGTCGGCACTGGTCGGTGATGCCGCGTGCCATGACATTGCAGGGGTCTCACGCTAACCAGCTGTAGCTGAACATGTGAAAGGAAGTTGCAAATTGCCTATACAAGTACTCATATGTCCATGTGTCTAGGATACTCAGTGTACGATAGTAATGCGCAATTCAGGACCGCGGACAACATTTTGTAAAAGAAAAATGCGTTTTACTCTTTCCTATGTCCAAATGCTTAGGGTATCATGTCTCTGTGCCTTTCAGTCGCTCCTCTGCGCCCATATGGCATGCTCCTTATGGAACGGCAATTCCTTCACCGTGCTTTACAGTTTGACTACAATCCTGCCACTACCAAGCTCATGACTTGAGCATCTTGTTGCGCTTCTCTCTCCTCTTCAGGCGCTCTACGCGCCTTTTATGCATCTTCTCCTCCATCTTGGCAAATCGCTCCCGTTCTTCCTTGGCCGCGCGCTTGGTCTTGATTGCTTCGACTCGTCGCTGTTGTATTGTCAGCCTTTTTCCGCTGTAGCCAGTAACCATGGATGGCTTCCTACCTGTCTCTCAGACTCCTTCTCTTCCTTTAGCTCCTTCTCCTTGGCCTTGACAGCAGCGAGCGCTTTCCTCTCCTCACTGCGCTTCTCCCAAGAGGTTTGACCTGCCTTCGGTCGGAACGGGCCCTTGTTGTCGTGCCACTGCTTGCCTGTGCAAAGTTAGAATGCCGTTGCGCAACTCGCACACAGCTGTCGCATACCGTTCTTCTTCATGCCCTTGACAGGGGCAGTTTCCGTCGCGGGAGGCGCCTCGATTATTACAGACTCAGACATGTTTGGGGTGTTGCGCGACCTGTGGACCTTGGCACGGAAATGGGATTGACAAGAAAAGTCCACGGGTGCTTATCGATAATAGCCAGTACCACTCGCCCAAAGCAGCTAGGGCGGTTTTGCACGGCGGCGGCGGCGACAGAGTTAATCAGATCGATCAGATAAGATGATGCAGGAGGGCGCTGACGACGCGTATTGTGCGCTTTAGTCCCTCACATCCATAATGCGCTCACGGCATGCACATGGTCTGGATCAGTAGGCGCTATGCGCTTTCCATTCCTCTAATACGTTCTCCCGGCAGAATTTTCTGAACTAAGGGTGCCCTGGTCGTTGGGCTGCTGTTGCATTCACCCAAAGTCACACAGGACCCACGGGAACTCTCTTCGTCGTGCTACACACCTCCGGCCCTCGCACCACTCGCACCACCACAAACGTCCTTGTCGCACCTCATCATTGACATGGGCTCCGCTTCATAACAGTAGCCACGCGCCCTCTCACCGCCCACGACTCTTTGCACACAACATGCGCGCCGCTTCGTAAACACACATTCAACACGCCTGCACATACCCGTTGACGAGCCATATACTCCTGATTCATGGAAGCACAAAAGAGTTCGGTGTCGGTGGTGGGGGGAAGAGGCAGGCTGCCGAACCCAGTCATCATGGAAGAGGTCCAGAGTCCTGCTGCGGCACAAGCCATCGGCAAGGGAGAAGAAGCTTTGAAGGACGTCCTGTGTGGATCGACAGCTGGAGTTGTCGGAAAGTACATCGAGTACCCCTTCGATACCATCAAGGTCCGGCTGCAGTCACAGCCCGATCAGGTGCCACTCCGCTACACCGGGCCATTAGACTGCTTCAAGAAGTCTCTACAACACGATGGCTTCACTGGCATATACAGAGGAATTAGTGCACCTCTGGTTGGAGCTGCTGTAGAGACCAGCACCTTGTTCTTCAGTGTGAGTGAGACGTGTGTACAAAAAGTAAACCATACTGACATGTCCTGCAGTATCGTCTAGCTGGCGATGCACTCAAGTCTTCAGGATTCTATCCAGAGTTGAACAAACATCCGGACCGGGACCTACCCTATTCCGGTATGCTCTTTTGCGGAATGATCGCTGGTGCCATCACATCGCTTTTCCTTACACCCATTGAACTTGTCAAATGCAAGATGCAAGTCCCTCTAGAAGCGCACGGCAACATCGTAGCCGCACCAACCATACGCGGTGTCATTGCTTCTATCTACCGTCACCAGGGCCTTACTGGCTACTGGCACGGACAATTTGGAACCTTGATCCGCGAGACAGGAGGCGGTGCAGCATGGTTTGGTGGGTACGAAGGCATGAAGATCCTCTTCAAGGGCTCTAGTACTTCGGCCACGGAGGAAGATCTTCCAGTCTGGCAGCGCATGGCCTCTGGTTCCGTCGCAGGTGGAGCCTATAACTTCATGTTCTATCCTGCCGATACCATCAAGTCGAGAATGCAGACGGAAGATGTCAAGCAGTTGACTGGTGGAAAGTCGACATTCAGCGCTGTAGGAAAAGCGCTTTGGAAGCAGCACGGTATCAAAGGCATGTACCGTGGATGCGGCATCACAGTCGCAAGATCTATACCCAGTTCTGCATTCATATTTACCGTATACGAGGAGTTGAAGAAGCGATGGCCTACCCGACAGGCACAGTAGAAAGATGCCGCGAAAGGAGGTGTTTGACAGGAGTAGCATATGACGGTGTTTGGAGGGCGTTTGTAAAGCATCAGGCAAGAGCGTCGAGATACCATATATCGTTGCTTTGAGCGCATAGAAATAAATATTCCTACATCATAGAGCACGCAAGGGCAGCAATAGCACATGTCATTGTCATCCATGTCATTCTGTCTTCACATGTCAATGCGCAAACACCCCCTGTCCCTTCCTTTCGCTTAGCGCGAAGCTGCTCCAATGTGGGGAAGCAGCGACCGGCAACGTGACGGACGCGAGCCGAGGATCAAATGCCAGCAGCCATTCCGCGACTGCGACTCTAGTTGCTCCGTGCTATACCCGACTACAAACCCTCGCTCACCTTTCCCATGTTGGCCTCATGATACGTGCATTTTATCCTGACACTTCTCTTCACTCCTTGTATCCTCTCGTTCAAGGATTCCACGGTTGTATGAGGTAGCGACAAACGTCATCGCAACGCGCGCGCTGGACCGAGGCTTATCTTCGCCGAACGCAAGCAATCACAACACAGTCCATAGCACATACAGAGGAACACCATGGACAAGCTACACGCCCTCGAAGTACGTCGGAAGGGATTTGGATCGTAAATCCTCTACAAAGCTGACTGACGCTTCAACAGGCTGCGCTTGAGAAGATCGTGTTGGATCCCAAGTACCACGACATCCTTACACTGGTAAAAGGCGTAAGGAATGGCATCGTATATGGAAGTAAAGTGCGATTCCCGCATGCGCTTGTGTAGGTTGATCGGAAATCGTATGCTACAGGGAACGGATAGCTGACGTGTGTTGTAGGATGATCTTTCTCTTCAGATCTGGGAGGTACGTCGGACTCTCTTCTACCTCGAATCTCGCACGCTTTCAAATTCCAAGACGGCGTTGACTGACAACCACCCAAATAGTTTCCGGTCAAAATGTTCACTCGTCTACAAAGCGACCCGCCAACATGCGCGTAACCTCGGCCTCTTCGCCCTCGTCTACAAATCCACCATGCTCTTCCTTCGACATACTTCCCCAACCGGCAAAGAAAGGCACTACGATTCCTTCCTTGCCGGTCTATTGGGCGGCTACACAGTCTTCGGTCGCACAATCCACAACTCCGTGTCTCAGCAAATCGTCATCTACGTAGCCGCACGCGTATGTTTAGCATTAGCAAAGTTAGCAGTACAACCGCGACATGTTGGTGGCGGAGCTAGTGGACAAGGAGTAAAGGGAGGTGGTGGTGGGTGGGAGCTTTTTGGTAATGGAGAGATGAGGAAGAAGATGGCGAAGAATGGATGGCCAGTTTTTGCCAGTTTGAGTTGGGCCATGGTCATGTATATCTTCAGGTGGCATCCTGAGAGTGTGCAAAGTAGTTTGAGGAGTAGTATGAGTTATATGTGGGTACCCTTGGAAGCTGAGGTAACATGGAGCTGCGCTAATACGTCGACAGTTATGTACAATCGGACGACTGGGATTCGTTGCGAACGTTGCTTTGGCATAACAAATAAGCAGGACGGCAAAGAAAGATATTTACCAATGTGTAAAGACGTCATGGCTGGATCTGGAAACCCGGCATCTGAAGGCTAATGTACGGGGAATACCATGCATTTCCGTCGGCGCGTTGTATCATGACGGACTAGAAAGAAAATAGGAGAGTATGTTCAAAGTAACATACCACGTAGGCATCCTTATCCCAGATCCATCCACCAATAGCGAAATCTTCCGACTCAGCAGGTTAGAAACGGGAGTACAGATTGACGTGACCTTAAACATCCATCAAAAGAGCAATGTAACTATACATCATGCTAAAGTGAAGCGACCAATGTTGTTTGAGGCAGGCCTAGGTCCTTTACTTGTGATTGCTCACGGTGCTGACCGGTGGCTTTTACCCCACTTGCGGAAATGATGTAGGCGGCCTCCGGTGAGTCCTTCAGGACATGTATGCGACACGTTCACGTCGACATACTCAAAACTCCGTCATCTGGCTAGATGAAGCAAGTCTCGGCTACCCTCGGGTTACCAACAGATTGCAATTGTATCCTATGTTATCCTTTGGTCGCGTGGTTACTCAAGGGTACTCTCGACTCCCTCCGAATATGGAGTCGCTGGCCGGTGTCAGGATACAGTAATAGATGGACGAAGGATTTTGGCCCTTCTCGCGTGCATTGGTCGCAGAGGAAGCGGGGAAGAGGCCTAGTGACGGTGTTTTGAAGCCGTGTAGGTGACCAGCTCAGGCCTGGGGTCAAGCAACGTGTCTCTCGCGGAAGCGGCTACGGGTATCCGTATGTTCAATCGCCTTGTGTCTGGATGCCGATCATCAGTGGCGTCAATTGAATATAAAGTCTGCGTATATTCTGTAGTGCTTCTGCTTCTCGATTCCCCTCCCAGCGTCTGTTTGTTTGGAGCCCTGGAGGATACTTGATCTGTATTATTAGCCTGTATACCATCATCTTCGCAAAATCTATCGCCCACGTGTGATAACCAGAGTTGTCTACCGTTTCTTGCCATATTGTTTTCTTTCTCGTTGATCTGCCAAGGTAAGATGCACTGTTCCTATATGCTTGTGTGCAATCAGTTGGATGTCGACTATACCCGTTGAGTGATGAAATTCGCATGGTTAGACTTGCTAACAAACCCTCAGCCATCGTCGTTTTGTTCTTCTCATCTCTACAATGTACGACCACGATGACCTGAACAGTCCTTCACACCAGCCATCTGTAGTCAGCCCATGTTCGGACAGGCCGCCTCAATTCAATTGGAGAAACTGCGGATATGATTGTGGAGAAGGATGCGAGAAGCCCAGCGAGGATGAAGGCGGTGCTGGAGTAAGCGACGAAGAGACTGCCGTTGATGCGGACGAGGATCAAAGTTCGATGACTGAATCGCAAGACGAAGATGTCGGAATGGCTCACGATATAAACGACTCCACAACAGGTTCCTCAGACCAAGATCCGACAGACTGTATTAATACTGTCGCTTATGGACAACCGCCTGAAGGAAGTCTGATCGTCGAACCGTGTGTTACGGCGGACCACTCTCCATTTGCACACAGCCCAGTAACCTCCACCGGCGGAAGCACTCGCAGCCGATCGCCTGATCCAGGAATTCTTTATTGGATTAGTAGCATGTCTTTTGCCACGCCATTGCCTATTGGCATTGAATACCATTTCTTGCAGACACCTCTGCGTCTCAGCCCCCAGTACGAACACTGCCGCGGGGACCCAGCGTCTCATCTGGTCGTTCCGGATCGCTCGCCTCTCTGGTATTTGGTGGAACAGTCGTGGAATGGGTATGCGCCTGCATATGGATACATCTCTCCGCCGTAGTTTGGGCTTTGCAGGGCTTGGTAGTATGGCCTTCTCTTCAAGGAGTATGGAGTTTGCTATTTTGGCGCCGCCTTTACTGGATGTCAAGTTCGCCTTGTGTTTCAGAATGTTAGCAATGTTTCTATTGCGTTGGACGAGGTTTTGTCTGTAAGTCTGTATACATGTGAACTCGCAGTTGTGTCAAGCAGAAAAGAAAGCGCATGCGTTGTGACCAGCCATGTGCCCAGAGCCGGGTAAAAGGCTGTATGGGTGTAGAAGTGGAGTATGGAATGGTAGAAGTGTCCATTTGTGGTTGTCGTAACCGTCCATGTGTCAACCGTGGAAGTCACCCGGGAACGCCCGAACACGACCATTTGCTTTTCGTGACAGTACTGCATAGTCACCGCGAGATCGCAACTTGAGTATGCTACCTGCGCATGTCGCCAGCGACCCACAGTGGGACGTGTCGAAGCAGTCGTGTCGCTGACTATTCCACAAACATGCCATCATGGCGACGTGCGTGAAGAGAAGAAAGTTGCCCGCGGGCATCAGCCGCCAGCGTGGGTATACGATGCGCAGACCCTCTGACGGCTCCTGGACGGAGACACTTGCGCGGCCAGGGTCCGTATTATTAGAAGATTGATTAGCATCTAAATGCCGCATCGCATTCGCTGTAATGCAAAGACTTGACCAGCTTCTGTCGTACCAGAAAGCTGGACTCAGTCTTCAACAACAAACCGGCGTGGAGTCGTGGAGAAGCGTATGCCATCCGCCGATCCCCCAGGTCGCTGTTGATGATTCTTCGTGTTGGTCGACATGGAATTGTCTAGTCCTGATAGTAGACCCACCCGGCTTCTCTCCACCTTTGCGCCGCGCACTGTTTAGCGAATTAAGGTGCCGAAGATGCGGTCGGGGGGCTGACTGTTGAGCTGACTCGACTGACCGCCGCACATGCTGTGGCTTGCCATGGGGCAGCTACTTGACACGCACCGAGCCCTAGAACTTTCTACTATGGCCCCTTTGGCTTAAGTACCATGGTTATCTTTGGAGGCAATAGCGGTGCATGCATTGACGAGACAGTTTAATTGCCTCGATCTTGCTGGTTCGAGAGCTGGTCGGAGCGCTATCCTTCTCCCAACAATGAAACATCAACATTGATCACCCAACGAGCTCCTCGCACGATTGACCGTCTAACCACGCCGTTGCACAGCCGCCCAGGATATAACTGACGGTGCCCGCCATCAGTGCACTCTTTTACCCAAACCCGCAACCCCCGCTGTAGCTCTCGGGCTGTTGATGCCACTGTCTACACTATACGTCATCCTGCACCACAAGCTCTAGATCCTCCTCGACGTCGTGCCATTTCACATGTTTCCCGGCAAACTCTCCTTCAGACGCTTTCCGCAGTTCGACAAACCCCTGGCCGTGTGGGAACTGCGATACGGGTTACGGTGCGTTGGAGCTTCCACCTTCTGCAAAAGCAAATGGGCACGCGACTGACAACCTCAAAGTTTACACAAGCACCCTTGAGCCCTGCGAACCCACAGATCCACCGCCGCGTACGCGACCGCATTCCTGAGCAGGCCAGCATTGGCTGCATCCTCTAGCCCTCCGACTCTACCACCATCTACAGCCATCGGGGCCTGCATGGGCTTGATTCTGCACCGAGCATCGTCCGCAGAGTAGCTGGCACACGCAGAAACGCCCGTTCACGCTTTTTATGCCTCCGAAATATCCCGAATAAATTCCCCGCTTTGGTGCGCTTCCGCATCACCCCAGATACTCGGTGTCTGCCACTAGTGTACCCGGGCGACCGAATAATCTTGCTATTGGCGACATCATATCGTCAGTGACATACAGTATTATCAATACAAGCATAGCATAAGGGAACGCCCGTCAAGTGCTGCATATACTTAACATGGCGTCGGCAGCTCCTCCCAGGCGGTTCAAGGTCGAGCCTATCGAGACGACCGTCTCGTCCTCCAAGGACAAGGCTCCAGCAGACCAGCCAGAGAGGCCGAAACCACGAAGATTTGCACCACAGCCAATAGAAACAACAACCTCGAGCTCTAAATCTAGCCGTAGATTTGCCCCCGAGCCTGTTGAGACTACCAAGCGATCCAACCGTCGCTTTGCTCCCGAGCCAATAGAGACAACAACACGGAGCAGTCGCCAGAAATTTGCCAAGGACTGGGAAGAACAGACGTCCCCCACGGGAAAGTTCAAAGCAAACCCTATGGAAGCTGTTGCAATCAGTAATGGTCAGTTCAAGGGTGCGCTAAAGCCACCTACAAAGAAATTCAGGCCACAATTGATTGAGACTGCCCAGAGGCATCGCAAAGCAGGGGACGACATGCCCACTCTACTACCATCGGACAAGACTGAGGCCACTCCAGACTCAGCGATAAGTGCCCGGAAAGCAAGGATATTGGGAATACCACCCACACCGCCAACAAACACACCGACTTTTGATATTACCCAGAACCCTTTGTTTTTGGAGATACAACGCAACGCCTCACCGTGTAGACGCCGGTCGTACTTTAGCTGCTCACAACACTCGTTCCGTGTTCCAGACTTAGACCCGATTGAGTCTTCAGAGTCTGAAGCGTCCGCCCCGCCATCACCCACAGAATCACCACCTTACACCTCGGATCATTCATTCATGTACAAAGAGGCTACTCGACGACGAGAGAGTGTCGATGATAGTTCTGCCGGCTACCTACTTGAGCTGGCAGCTAAGGCTGCTGAGAAGCAGCTCCGAGAACAGGCCTTGGCTGCGTTCCCGAATAGCGATTTCCACGAGCCTGTGGCCCATTACGTGGACCATGATACAGAAGGCTCGGAACCATCTGTTACCGAGGCCAAGCAGCAGCAGCAGCGGGAGTCGTCTTTCACACAAGTTAATTGGGATCTAGTGGCTATGCGTGAGTACCGAGAGAAGCAAATAGCCGACAAGGAGAAGCAGAAGCCGAAAGAATATATCAAGCCTGCCTTCAGTCCGTTTGGAAACCCAGCCGGCTTCCTAGATGCTGCCACAGCCAAGAAGTTTGCGAATGAGCGGAAAGATCCCGAATTGGAGCGTCAACGTAAAGAAGCCCGACCTCCAATGCTTGGTCAGGACATCAAATTTCCGCGATGCGAGTCGCCGGAGCCATCCCGCTTTGACCCTACTCAAGGGTGTGATGCAGTTAGGACAGCTATGTGCTACCTCTCTGAACAGTCCAAGGCTGCGTCCGAAAAAGGGGAAAGTCTTTGGTGTGGCAAAGGCAATGGTAGACAAACAAGTACAACACCTTCACTGTGGTCTAACGCCAACAGCCGAGCCTCGAGCACTACAGGCTTGTGGGGTGGGTTTTGCGTCAATGGTGGAGACAAGTCCCCACGCGGGCCGACGGGTCTACTCACCCCCCACAACGAGAAGCCAAATCCCATGTCGCCTTGTCCAACGCCTTCTACGAGTCTTTTGCCACCTACACCTCCTGCATCTAGCTCTGGCATCACTTTTGAAAACACTGGCTTCTCAGGTATAGATGAGAAGCTCGCTGTCGAGCAGTCCATCGAAGAGGAATTCGGTGACAACTTTGTCACTCAAGTGTATAACTACCTATCACTTGGATACCCGTCAATGGCCCGTCCATTCGACGAAGAACTTTCAAAGATCTCTCACATACCCATTTCCGAGCTGAGACAAGACGACCACCTTGCATCTTCCCGCGGTTACATTCGTCTTGGCAAAGACGGCAACCTGAAGGACACCGAGATTACCGAGGAGACGTGCATGCGCTGGCGCGCTCTACGTATCTACATTCAAGAGTGGGCGAGGCAGCATCCCAACATGTCCGAAGACGAATTTATGGTTGGTGGGCGTGGCACTGCCGTCAGGAAAGGCAGTTGGGCGCTTTAGATGAGTGTTCCTATTATGGATCCTACCTTATAGCTTTCTGAGCGGTTTAGCGTGTACATTCACCGTTCCTCTGGCGTTGTCTACGGCATACATGTTCAATCATTCCCTGCATTTTGTGGCTTGGTACCTGGACGTAGATCTCCTATGGAGCTGTTCCGGTTTCTCCGCCGTTGATATAGTGGATAAGGGTGGGTTGGACCTGCATATTTTCTTATCTTCAGAATGTATAAATGCTCCTTTTGAGATAGGTTCCTTGTAATCAAGCCTTGGTAAATTCCAAACAGCCTATGAAATGCTGGCGTCGACATGGTTAGGGTCTGCTTGGCGAATGTCATTCTCGTTTCGGCCCAACTCAGAAGTGTCGCGTTTGCTTTTTCCGTTATCTTCGACAATCACTCTTGTCACACCACGCCTCCACCACATAACGTCTTTTTGTGCAATGTGGCTGCGCTTACGCGCTTGAACGGTGGCAGGGCTCGTATTTCATTGCCTTGGTATACAGCCCGCATCGCTTACATGTGGACCTCGCAATTATTTGAGGGTGATGAATCGTAGCCCGATTCATCCACACATAATTTGTCCGAAAGATAGCTGCCGTGCGGCTGGAAGCGCCCGTCTCAGGCAGTGTACAAATTCCCACTGTACTGTCTCTTCGTTATATCCCGCGCCTTGTTCGAGTACAAGCGTGTTTTTCTGCGAAACGTCTCACCAATTGCATGCCTTTCTTGAGAATCCGACCACAAGTCAATCACTTGGCGCATTGGACTAGCCACGCAGGCCGACTGCGATGTTGATCACCACGACAGGGTCATTCACGGTAAGGACCCTTGAAGGATCTGAAGTAAGGATTATTGTTGCGCGGAAATGTTGATGTGGGAACAGTGCTAGGGTAATTGCTCGATATGCAGGACATGGCCTGACTTCCAGGTGCGTGGGTAGGTGAGCGACATCATATCTGTCTCGGCCGGGTCATCGAGTAATTGCGGCCTGCAAGCTTTAACTTGTTATCTACCACTTTGTTGTGAATGCCTTCCTTTTAATAAGTTATGCCCGAACGCAAACACGAAGAAGTGTAATGCACGAAGCATCTCACAGGAAGAGAAGCCATCTCTTGAATCGCAATTTGCATGGACGGTACCCTGTGAACGACTTGCAAACGAAAGCAAAACATACTTCGATACACCGACCCATCGTCGCAAAGGTCCAGAATGTCTGACTTTCCAGAACAACTAGCTTCGCAATCATGGACGTTATATAGTATCGGTATGGTTGTCATCTTGCTTCGCATGTTAGTAACACCTAGCAAAAGGATATCACAATGCTCATTCTCAGTCATAGGTTTGCGCGATGGTGCCGAGTCCGAAGTCTACGCGGCTTTGCAGCAGATGACTGGATGATGATAACGGCAGTACCACTTTTTTACACTGGGCTAATAGTATGCCTGAACATCATTGCGACAGGGGGTGGAAGCAATCTCTTCCCGCCAGAGCAGTTCTCCACTTTCACACAGAAAGAGATTGACGAGAGAATCAAAGGATCCAAGATCGTGGTCATCTCCGAGCAAGTATGTTAGCAGAGCCTGGAACGTATGAATACACAATAACACACAGCTAACATCAAACAGTGCATGCTGAACGTAATTTGGTCTTTGAAGGCCTGTATGCTATTCATGTATGCCCGCATGCTCACTGGAACGACAAACATGAAATGGATCAAAGCGGCTGCAACATGGGTTGTTGTTGGTTGGTTAAGTGTTGAGATTGCCTTCTTCAGTGCATGCCGTCCATTCACAGGATACTGGGCAATGCCGCCTCCAAACCCGCAATGTACGACACTCGAGCACTTCGCGATTGTACAAGCAGCTTTCAATCTAAGCAGCGATGTCCTTATCATCGCTGTGCCGATACCGATGATCGTATCGCTTTCTCTTCCCTTGAAACAGAAGGTTGTTCTAGGCATACTATTCAGCATGGGCACTTTTGTTGTGAGCTCCCTTCTCTTTCCTGGTTTACAACCTTCGTTTTACTAACACATTTGATCAGATCATTGCAGCAATTCTAACCAAGATCTACAATCTTTCAAACGTGTATGCTACCACATACATGCTGTGGTACACCCGCGAAGCTTCCGTTGCAGTTTACGTCGCCAATCTTCCTAGTATATGGCCTCTTCTCCGGGAACATGTACGCTTCCTTCGTGAGCATACGGGTTCTTACACCACCAGGCGATCAAAATTACCTGAATACGGTTCACAGGGATATGGTAATCTGCCTAGAAGCAAGCGTCAAAGCCGCGTACCAACATTCATCAATTCCGGCTCAGATGACATCGAACTCGCACATGATATGAAGTCAGGCGTAAGAGCAATATGCACCTTCGATGAGCAGATTCAAGAAACCGAAAATCCGTTTATGAGAAGAGAAGAGATTGCGGGAACTGATGGGAAGGGATCGGATAAGGGAGAGGTGAGTGGCCGGAAGGCAAAGAATGGTATTGTCCGTATGGATGTACAAGTTGATACAGAAGTGGAGATTCAGAGTGATCGATGGTTGGGAAGTCAGCTGGAGTTAGGGCAATCAAGGACAGTTCGATGCGAAGGGCCCGAGGGACAGGCAGGAAGATGGTAAAATGAAGTTATATATGATTCAGTATTCTTCTCCAGTTGCAATGAATATGTCAAATCTCGTTCCATCTAGAGCCAGACGTCACGCAATGAAGTAATATTAGATAATGCTGATCGTAGCAGGAGTTTCCCTATCCGCACCACCTTTGGTAACGTTTTCTGCATCTATTCGTCTCTGTCAAAATTACAGTTTAGGAGTTTCTGGGCGGCTTATAGAAAGTACTGGCTTCATGATTCATATGTACATGTCGTCTCAACCTACTGCGTACCTTACTGCGTTACCTAGACAAGTATTAACAAAAGTCGATTGCTGCTCGGTTACCTTCGCCTGAGCCACCACCACAGCGTAATTTTTGACACTAATGCTGTCTAAAGATGCTCGCTATATCTAGTCAGCGATTCCTATTCGAGTCGATTTCGCATTACCGTTGATTCTGGTCTGATTTTGTTCACTCGACGAGTAATCGCCCACGATTTGATACTACTACTGAGACAGTCAAGCTCTGGTACATTCGGTTGTAGTAATTATCTGCTTTGCTCAATGGAGACCTTACAAGTGCACTATAGTTACCGACAATGCTGAGTGAGCAAGCCAGTACCCTTCAATCACCGAAGACACATTTGAGGTATACATACCTAGAATTGCCAAACAAGGCAACTATGATGATAGAAACATCTCACTGAGTGTTTATTATGCGGTAAAATAGAGACATCGTTCGTGGTATTCCCTAGTTGAGCAACATTCAAATCCGTTGAACCATGCGAAGGCTGTTCACTTGAACCTCAGGTGCATGCCGATGACGTCACTGCTCAGACCGCGCTAAAACCCAGTGAGTCTTAGTCCCCTCGTGACAGCGCGATCTCGCGTGTCACCGTGCCTGTGGCAAGGCAGTACTTGCCTTAGATCGAGGCGTCATTTCGCAGCTTACTGCGACCACGGAAATGGCGCTCAATCCTCGAAGTCCTTCCGTACACAACCAGATGATTACCCGGTTCATCAAGCATCCAAAATCCACCAACTTCGATGGCGAGCAAGATCGACCGGCCAAGCGCCAGAAGACGGGCAACAGCCCCAAGAAACCACCGCCAACACCACGGAAAACGACCAAGCGCGAAATGCTCGACTCCGAAGACGAGTGTGAGAGCATTGTGATTAAAAAAGAGGAGAGAGAACACAAGACAGACCTGGAGACTGCGTTGCCTCAAGTCGATACGAGTGATGACGCCATCAGAGCATACGAGGCGTACAAGGCAGAGGAGGAGAGCAAAACCGAAAGAGCGGATGAGCGTTTGGAGAAACGTGCATGGATTCGGGGTAAAAGTTCGCTCTATGTTGATGCATTTAACTTAGCACTGGATACAGTGTTGGATGAAGAAAGCCATCTCTTTGATGAGGCTGAAACAGAAGTCTTTCGGATATGGAGGGAAATAGGCTATGAAGCACAGTATTTGTAAGTCTGAATCGGGAGTAAAAGACCGTCCATGCTGTTGCTGATTGCTTTCTCATTCATAGATATGTACGGCTGTTCCTTCGCAAGACGTCCGTCTGGCATCGGATAAAGAACCTGGGCTACCATAGTGATATTTCAGACCTTGAAGCAGCCGCCGAGACACTGCAGCGCACATACAATCTCCCTCCGTCTTCCTCCGAAGTTGAGTCACATCCGGGCGAGTTGAAGGCACCAGCAGGGACGACATTGGGCACCTCGTTCACATTCGCGGACCGGTCCGAAGAGGAGATAAGCACACTAGAGGAGGCATCATCGCTATTGAAACTCGATGAACTGAAGGTTCTTGCGAAAGACGCCAAGGTCAAAGGGAAGAACAAGGGGGAGCTCTTGAAGGCCTTGCGACGCACAAGCCAGAAACAGGCAGGTCTGGGCTACGTTGGACTGAAGCGGTCAGACTCGGAGATTTCACGAGGGTCATCCGCGTCTAGGTCTCGACCAGAAACACCAGAAGTCGAGCTAGAACCCGAAGGCGACCTCTCCGATGATGCCAATCGAGACGCGCACTTTACGCGTAGGATCATGCAAGAGACGGGGCCTTGTATACGACTATCCCTGGATACCTTGAAGCTTTTTGAGCGCGTCCATCTTGTCTTCTACCGCTCCACGGAATGGACCGAGAAGTCATTAACGACAATCATCCTGGCGAAGATCGCACGCTGGAACTTTCCAGAGTACATCGTTTCTCGATCTGCGAACATATTCGCCTCGCGTTCACTACTGCTAGAGTATGAAGCTTCTATACGAACACAATATCGAATAGATAGTATTTTGGAGTTTAACGGAAGGCCAACGGAGAAGGGGTATCAAGAAATCATAGATACGTTTAACGAGGTTTATCCGCGCTGGCAAGTTCTGGTTCAAGAGGAGCAACAGAAGGAGAATAGCATTTACCAAAGCGGCGAAGGATCGTATCTGCGCCGTCTTTCGCCAGCCTGGATCTACACACGCATCATCCATAAGGCGCTTGACGTGCTCAGGCGCCGGAAAGAGCATGTGCGAGAACATGAACTTCTGACCGAACTACTGCAGCAACGATTGTTTCATCATTCCCGCAGAGGAGCATGGTATCAGCGCAAAGCATTGCTTGAAGAACACTATATGGCTGCGCTGACCGATTCTGAGAAGAGAAGTGCAGACAAACAGAAGAGACATTGGAAGCTCATTGCTTTGCAGACTTGTGAGGATGGACTGCAAGATAATCTTGTGCATATTATATATCACTATGATCTGCAGAAGCGCATCACCAAACTTGAATTGTCACTGAACTTTGCCAAACGAATGCAACACGACTTCTCGCATGTCCGCTTGACTAAGCCAGTTGAAGTTTCCATGGAAGGAACCCGGATCGAACGCGAGCGCCCTTCATTGTCAAGAAGAAACAGCTCACCACACTCAAAATTCGGTCGGCGGGGAGGAAAGACGATATGGATCGATCCGCGCGAGGATGGGGAGTGCTCCGTAGAAGCAATGTGCCTCTCACATTACCGCAATCGAGGCTGGAAAGGCTACCACAGCGAGGGTGGGATTGTGCGCACTCTCTTTGCATACCTGTTCTTCGACGTCCTGTTCACATACGTACCCAACGTCTTCCAGACGCCATACCAAACCTGTCCATTAGACCTACATACAGACGCGTTCTACGCCTCTCGTATATCAGAGATCAATGCACGGCTGAATGAGATATCAAATGGCGACGCACCAGCCATCATTCAAAGAATATACGATGACCACCACGAGCGTCGAACTTGCGTTGTAGGTCTGGATTGGACATATGATGTTCTGGACCTACTCGAGATCGCTCATTGCTTTGATGGTGAAGCGCTAGCGACTGTGTGCAAGGTCATGGCGCAAGAGTATGGACAGAGAGGAGGCGGTGTACCGGACCTATTTCTCTGGCGGATATCAGAAGAAGGGAAGAAGGGTGAAGTCAAGTTTGCGGAAGTCAAGAGTGAGAACGACCGTCTGAGTGACACGCAGAGGCTTTGGATACATGTGCTGTCCGGTGCGGGAGTGAGAGTTGAGCTGTGCGCTGCGGTGGCGAAGGAAGTGAAGGTCATTTGAAACAAGAGGATGGGTGCGTGCTTGCCAGAAACGAAGAGTTATGACCTTGAAGACCTGTTTGTTGTTTTTATATCAATTGGACTCTCTTGTATTCACCTAGGACGCTTCTCCTCTCCAACTCCCCATCAGCCTTCGCCAACGAGCGAACTCCAACGATGGCTTGAATCGTACATCCTCGGACTGCTATGAATGCAGACATGATACCAGTGATGACGAAGCTCTTACCCTCCACAGGATTTGATTGATGTCGAGCTTGCTGTTCCCACTTGCGGAAGTACACTGAATATCTTGATGATACGTGGGTTAGGCTTGCGCTGTATCCGGGGATATGACATTTCATATATTCAAGTTATGCACACTCTAACGGGAGAATGGCGTGGTATCATCTGAGTGAGCCGCCCGCCACGGCCGTACCAGGGTATCTGCTCCTCGATATCATGTATCAAGCTGCTAGGTTGGAGCATGTATAGTAAACGCTCTTCAATGTCCTTTGTCCCCACAAACTCCGTCCAATGTAGTCAACCTTTTGTAGCGCACAACGCCAAATGCTTGTGTACGCCCATTCCTGCGCCCTGTGTATGCTAGTCGAGATAGTCGGAGTTTAGTTCGTAATGTGTATGCACTACGCTCAACCGAGAACTAGTAGGTAGACTATCATGAGGGTGTTGATTAACATCAAGGGTACTGCAGCCGTGTCAGTATGTCTGTTGGCTCTACATTCCACCCCTCCAAGGGATGCGGGGGATGGAGACCATGGTGGGGTATACGTACACCTCATGAGAGTCCGTACCGAGGAGACAAGGTTGATCAATCGCGCTTTTATGCTGGCATCATCGCCAGGGCGGCCGAAACCGGGGTCTGCAGATGCTGTCCAGCCAACTGTAATCTGGGTCAGTCGGGTGTTCTGCTGTACGTTCGCGTCTCTTGGTGTATGTATAGATGCGCGAGGACCGAAGGGGGTCAGAGAGGCCTGGTAAACGTACTGCGCGCGAGGAAGCGGTCCTCGGAGAGGATTGCTATGGCATTGACGAGGAGTACCGCGACTGCGCGTGTTAGCGAGCGAATCTGTAAGATGTGACTCGACAGGTAATACCAGTAAACAGCCCACCGAGCCCGAAGAAGAACATTTGGAAGACTGTGGCAGGATCGTGTTGTTGCGTCGTGCACTACTGCATGTAACGAGGCTATCGATGAGCGTTGCAGTTGTTGATGTGGCTGCCTATCAGAAAGACAGCTGTCGTCGACTCCAGCCTCACGGATTATGTAAGCTCCAGATCCATACATGTCCCGAACGGGAGCAATCCTCCAAGTAGATCAAATCCATGCATGTCGTTGAGAACACAGCGCCATAGAAACGGCATCGGAACGCTGATATCGCTATAGCAGTACCAGCACAACTCCTTCGTGTGGCGGTGCACCAAAATTCCAGAAGCGCTTCACGGACACGGTAAACATGGGGGTTCTTGTTCGGCATGGATCGCTTGCCAATCGCATTTTGACAAGGCGGCAATTTGAACCGCATGTCGATCATACCCCATCCATGCCAGTGCACCGGTGTAGCACATGAAGATTAGTGGGGATCGTTGTCAAAACACATAATTGACATGCTCACCATATGCTGCTCGGTGTCCAAAAAGTAGCACCAAGACGGAGAAACCCTAATCGAATTATGCTCAGGGCACCCACAGTGATCGCCATATGCCAAACGGGACGGCCAAAGAAACGGAGCTCCCAGATCTCACGCCAAACATCTCTCAAGCCCTGCTCCATCAAATGGTAGGGCTCGGGGGAGTACCCACGGCCGGCTATGGGCGCGCGCCGTCTCATCGTCCGTTCTTTCAGCACCCAAATTTGCGTCATTGCCATGGCACCCACCTGAACCGGAAGCGCGGTTCTAGAACCTTTGTCTTCAGAGCGAGGTGTCCGGCGTACACTCACACATTTTCTTGCCGTGCTTGTGCTTGTGCTTTGTGCGTCTCGTTCGTTCACTTCACGGTTTTCGCAGCTTGGGTACGTACTCAATATCCCAACCGATGAGAGGGTCTAGAACCGATCTGCCCGCTTACACGACTCGTACATGCGATCCCCACTCCACCTCCAAAGCGCAACCACGAACATCGCCCAACGTCTCTCCACTTCCTGAGCTCGCACTTTTCCTTCTCGAATACGTCTGCGCGCGACTTTCTCCATGGTCTGGCCAGGGCGTCCGCTCCATGTTGTTGTTGTTGTCTGGTCTAGTTGAGGCGTCACCAGTCGCTTCTTCCTTACCGTTTACGGGTGCGGCCACTATTTCCGGACACGAGCCGCATCACGATCCTACACGGCCATACACGCGCACCACCACACCACCGTAATCATAATGACAGAGGCCGACAGCCGCGATGGCGGATACTTCGCCATGGGAGAGCGCGCAAGATCTGAATCTCCCAACTCGATACGTAGCGACTCCATGTCAATGCATCTCGCCGAGCCGTCAGCCACCATGGCGTCTTTTACTGCGCTACAATACTTACCAGTACCAGTCATTGTCTTGTCAGCGCAGAAAACCGTGGTCCTGGCAAATGAGGCTATGGGTCGCCTTTTTGGCATTGACTTTGAAAGCGTTCATCATCTTTCTATATCCGAGGTGTTGCAGGACAAGACCATGGGTGATCTTGCTGTAGACATCTTGCAGAACGGCTCTCCAATCATGATCACATGGGAGGTTCGTCTTTCCCCACACTCGTGCAAACATAGTATTTAAACCTGCCAATTGCTAACTTTAATAGAGCTTTCTGGACTGCGTAGTAGACGATTCAATAGCAAATGGCTTGGATAAGGACGGAGATTCCCACATGGGAAGTGGCCACACCACGCCGACTGCAGCCAACATGCCGTATCAAACGAACAACAAATCAACAGAGTCATTGCCACCCTTGAGCAGTACAAACCTCGCTCGAACTATGGTACGCGACGTGTCAGTAGACGTCGTTGTTGCACCGCTGGTTTTGGGTCCCGAAGGCACGCTGCACAAGTCGGACAGGAAAACAGCGTACGAAAATGCAATGCAGGCATCTTGCATAATCTCTGTTTGGAGTATTGAGGAAACCCAATATTATACGTTGACTTTCACAAGCGCAACAGCTGCTGATAGTGCGCTACCACCTTCCAGTCGTATCGTCACCCGGACAAACACAGGAGCCCGTCTCGACAAGTCACGTAGCTCAGGCTCAAGCTCTTCATCAGGCCGTCGTTCGGGAAGTAGTTCAAACACGGCTTCGAAAGCTGTAACGCCTACGCTACAACAACCAGAATTCCCTCCTCGTGGCCCTCCTACCAAAAGTAAGGGGGATATTGGGACGGCTGCATCCGTATTCCAGAAGGCGACACAACTAAAAGACGCCATATTGAACTCCGTTACCATGCCTGCATACGGTACGTTCGATCTCAATTTCTTTTAGCCAACTCTCCACTAACCCCTGCACAGCCATGTGGAAAGACGAAACTTTTGGTATCCCAAACAAGGCCCTACTGCGGCTCCTTTCGAAAGACGGAACATATGTACCTGGTGACCAAAGGGATTTTCTTTCTCAGTTCTCGTGTTGGACCGAGGACTTCCAGCGCCTTCTCGGCATTGACGAATTTCCTATCATTGAGGTCTGCCGTACGCGAGAGAGAGTTGAGAAACGGCGCATTGGTATGCGACACCCGCAAACAGGCACTCGTATCGTGTATGAGATCAATGGGGAGCCTGTATTTCATGAAGAAACTGGAGATTTCCTTGGTGGTATAGTGATCTTCAAGGATGTCACCGAATATACCAAGCAGATCGCCGCCCAGATTGAAGAGAACGAGAAGCAGTTTGAGTACATCGCCAACTTCATGCCAGTCATGGTATGGACAACGACACCTGATGGACTTCATGACTGGTTCTCACAACGGTGGTATGACTACACAGGGTTAACCGTTGATCAATCACTAGGCGAAGGCTGGCGCCTCCCATTCCATCCAGATGACATGTCCACAACCGCGGAGCGTTGGTTTCATTCACTCAGGACAGGCGACGAATACAATACGGAATATAGATGCCAGCGCTACGATGGAGAGTGGCGCTGGATGCTGGGACGGGCTGTACCCTTCTATGACGACTCTGGGCGTATAGTTAAGTGGTTTGGCACATGCACTGACATCCACGATCTGGTCCTAGCCCGTCAGGAGGCGCGTCAGACAAGAGAGCAATTACAGCAGGTCATTCAGCACGCAAAAATTGTCCTCTGGGTGATTGACCGCAACAATGAAGTCAAGGTGATGGAAGGAGACATTGAGCCCAACGAACGGTTTAGAAAGAACCAGTTGGGCAGAGACGTTTTCGATGTCTTCAATTTGAATGACAACGATCGGAAGCGATGGCACGAACCTATTCAAGAGATATTACAGGGTAAACAATCAGTTGAGGTTGTGAACGGAAGATACATGTCGGAGGCTCACTACTACCGAACTCGTTTAGTACCGCTTATGAGTACTTCTCGGACTGCCGGCATTGAAGGCAACACCTTCGTGGATGGCGTAATCGGTGTGTCCATGGATATCACAGAGCTACGAGAGAGGGAAGAACAACTGAAAGAACAGGAGAAAGAGAACTCAAGGCTCTTGGCTAATGAAGCGGCGGCAAAGGAAGCCAGTCGTATGAAGTCGCAGTTTCTGGCCAACATGTCACACGAGATCCGGACACCTATAGCAGGGGTTATTGGCATGAGCGAACTGCTGTTCGACATGAACTTGGACGAGGAGCAGAAAGAGTGCGCGGAGAACATTCATCGAAGCGCGAACAGCCTCCTGACGGTGATCAACGACATCTTAGACTTCTCAAAGGTTGAGTCAGGTCGACTGGACGTGGAAGAGGTACAGTTCAGTCTCAGCGTGGTTCTAAGAGATGTGAACAAGGCAAGTCACTCACCAAAATCCCTGGTTGTATTCTTACTAACTAGCTTAGATGATGTCTTTTGCTGCCCAAAGGAAAG